TTTGGCATTAATTAATTAAGACTTAAATATTTTCCTTTACCTTTCGCCTCCCCCCTTCGTTTCACTGAAACCGATGTACTCACCTAGGCATGCGCTACACAACTGTATGTTTACCCATGCACAGATTGAGCCCCCACCCCTCCCCCCCAAATGTGGCCGGCCTACTGGTGACTACGGGCCAAGTCCCGTGGCCCAGTTAGCGTCGCGTGCTACACAGCCAAATGTCAGGGGTTGGCCAATTAGAGAAAATGGGGGCCAGGGTTTAATGCGGATGACGTAAGCGGAGCATTTTTAGAGAGAAATCTAGAGGGAGTTTACAACATGGAAGCTTTTTCTATGTTGTGTTATAATGCCAGTTTCTTGTTATATGGCCAGTTTCTTGTTATATGGCAAGATTCTCGTCATATGGTCATTTTCCAGTTAAACTGACATTTCTTTACCATGTTGCCATTTTCTACTATTGCACTGTCGATAATGCTAGATTTTTGCGTTCAGTTTCTATAACAATGTGAATACATTCTTGTCACATAATCATTTTTTTTTTGTCAAATGAACAGTTCTAGCGCTGTGATCGATTAGTAGATTACTATTGCATTTTTTTACTAACTAATCTTTATTTTCCTTCTACGTTCTTAACTGTTAGTGTTTCCTCCAACACAGTCAAGTATTTCGTGTCAACATGATGTGCACCTTATATTGACTTCGATTTAAGCCTGCTTTTCTTTTTGGCTAGGTGGGTTGCTGTCCCCAGCTATCGAGCCTCATCTGCCTGGAGTTCGAACTCAGGATTTGTGGTTTAGCAACCATAAGCGTTACCGCCTCCCCACACCGACTAACTAATCAACTGACATAAAATAACCCATCAATTAACGCACTGACTAACCCATCAACGGACAAATTGACTAACCCGTCCACTATAAACATTTTGTTTTTGCTGCAGTGCTAAATATGTGTGAGTGTGGGGTAATATGTACCTAATTTTCAAGTGGCATGATTTACAAGTCTCCCTTTAAAATAACTTTATCGAAGATCGCATAGTTCATTTATTTCACAGCGTGTTGATTTGCCAGTGCTTAACGGATCATCCCTCCTTAAAAACAATTTTACACTAAAATAGCTGATTTACACATTGTGGAGAAGAAAATTCTCATCTTTAAACCACAATTTCAAATTTAACACACACGCAAGTAAACAGCTGATTGACATAAACAGCCTTCACTTCATCAATAAAAAAAAAAGTTTGGCATTTTGTATGACACTCTCTTTCTCCCCCCCCCCCCTCCTCCCTCCATCATACGTGTGTCGGACGGTTGCTTAATGTTTTATGGGAGCTCTTTTTGATGAAGTTAGCGCAGATTTAATTTAGCTTGACTCTAATGCTAAATATTTTAATGAAGATAGCGCCCACAACCCCTCTGATATTTATTCACAAAGAACAGATAACTCGAGATTTATTTATTTTTTATTTTTTCCTCCATTATTCAGGTATTTATTTTATTTCATTCTCCCATCCTAATAAATCTGTTGTGTTGTCTGGTGCACTCGCTAGGTGGCGTGTTATCCGCAGCCTGTGTTGTAGGTATTGGCTCAACTTTCATCTTTCTCTCACCAGTTTTTTACGTTATCATTTTCCCCGTGCTTGCGAGCCCGCTAAACGCGTGCCTTACCTTCATAACCTAAAATAAATTCTACCTGCGTGCTAAGTAAAAAGAATCTGAGCACTGTTTTGGGGAAGGAGGAGGGGGTGAAACTGTTGTGGCAGCCAGGCCTATTTCTGGAGGGGGAGAGCCTAGGATGAACTTGTTTACTTCGTCCTAAACCTTGGCAGTTGATTGCTTCCCTTGATTTTTATGTATATGGGTTGTTTCCCTTAAAACTTCAACTAAAAGAATTTTTAGCACGTAGGTGCTCAATCTGTTTAAGTGTTCAGCTGCCTTTTTTTTTTAAATTATAGGCTGTTAATACCTTAACTACAGATAATGCTAACAAAATAACGTTGTCTTGATGAATTAGCGGCTACGTATGAAGCAGTATTTAAAAAGAAAACAAAAAACCGTAAAGAATTAAATGTTCAGTCCTTTTTTTTAACGCAGTTGTAAAGTTTCAGCGAATGAAGTATTTATTTGGTCAGCACTATACCCGTCCATTTATCACAAAGTTACACGTAAATGTCTTGTGTGTATTTTAAAGATTACATGTGCACAATATTCCCTATTGTATTTATATTTAGAATAGAATTACTGTATTTGGAGCAGTCCAGTGATAAATCGTTGTTGTTTTTTCAAATCAGCATTTAGATAAGATTTCTATTTTTATTTTTTTGCATAAACCTTAGATTTGTTAAGTTAATAAATATGTGTCTCGCTTTAGCCTATATCATACACTGGTGTTAGGTGGTCGAGTTGCTAGGTATGTGAGCTGTAGTGTAAGCACTTTTTTTAAACCTAGGGGAGGTAAGTAGTGGGTCAAATCGGGAAAACCTAAAAGTAATAAATGCGTAGGCTACATTTCGATTCGCGTTTCACGAGCCTAAATAACCATTGGGTTGTTTTAAAAGCAACGCAGTTGCGAATTGCGTGTCTTTATTTCGTATCTGTAAATTACATTTTAAATTCGCATTTTTACAGTTGTTTTTAATATATTTTAAAATCTAGAATTTGATTTATATATCTATGCGTGCTGTTGTAGCTGATGACTGTTGAAGTTGATGTATGCATCATTGGCACTACTCATCGTGTTTGTCATACATGACAGACACACATCATGCTTGACTCACACAGAATGACACATGCAAGAGTAACAACGCACGAGCGCGCACACACACACACACACACACAGGAACAGATGCACGGACAGATAGTGTTGGGGGAATCAAATATGTAGGCCATTGAATGGATTTTATTTTCAAACACCCCCACCCCACCCTCCCCTACCCCATAACCACTGCTTTCCAAACGCCACTGAGGATTCTTGAGTTTAATGTAGGCTGATCATTATGTAACAAATCCCAACTTCTATAAAATATACTGTCTATAAACATAGGTCCTGTAATTTCTCTGTTAAATTCAGCTTTCGTTGTATTTTTTCTCTTTCTTAATGGATTATTTTAAAACACGATTTAATACTTGGTAAAGATGGCTTGGGTATTTAAACAGGTGATAAAAATGTTTTGCGTGAAATTTTTAGCGTTTACTGGAAAAGTTCAAATACATTTTTTTTAAAACGCGTTCTCTATTAAAGCACTCACGGGACTGGTAATTGTATGCCTATGACGTAAAAAAAAAACCACACAACATCCAATCCATTATATTCAGGTATTTATTTTCAATCTTCACCCACGCCAGAGTTATCTTTCCCAACTTGACTGGCACGCTAAAAAAACATATAGTACAAAACCTGTTTTGGCGAGGGGTTTTAAGATTATGTAATGAGATTATGTAAGGAGGTCAACGTAAATCATACATTCTATCTTCCCTCCTGACATCACACCTATTTAGCCCCCCCCCCCCTTCCCCACCCCTCCACTCAACCCAATTTTCTGACATCACTAATAGTCCCCTTTCCCCCCCCCCCCCCTCCCAGTCCCTTCTGACGTCTAAACCAGTTAACCCTGTTACGCCTGTGATCTCTATGCCTTTGAAATTGTCACATCAAAAGCTCAGCCTAACAAGCCAAGCATTAATCCTGTTTAACCCTCTCACTACTATCAAACTGTTACATCAAGTTACAGCTGAATTTTGTTACGTCCCCTGTTGAAAACACTTGATCTACTTGTGCCTCTTTTGGTATAAATATAATTGATGCACATTTAGACCTAGTAGTACATTTCCCATATGACTAAGTTTATGTAACCCACAGACTAGATATGCTTCTGCTTGCACCATACATTGTATGTATCTGTTGGTCTAAACTCGCACAAGTTCCTTCCAGCCCCCCCCCCCCCCCGGAGAAAAAATTCTGGAAGAAACACTGACTAGCAGTATGTTGTATTTACGAGTAGGCTACGTTGTAATTCTAGTCCATCTTTCTATTAATAGTTGTTACTTGCTGGAGTATTTGCTAAGGTGGTAGGTAGTTAGCCTGATGTCCCATTAGGACATTGATCTGACCACTAGGACATAGGTTTGTTGTCCCACTAGGACCTTCATCTGACCACTAGGACATTCATCTGACCACTAGGACCTTCATCTGACCACTAGGACCTTCATCTGACCACTAGGACCTTCATCTGACCACTAGGACCTTCATCTGACCACTAGAACATAGTCATATTGTCCCACTAGGACCTTCATCTGACCACTAGGACATAGTCCTTTCGTCCCACTAGGACATAGGCCGCCCACAAGACCCTCCCACACAACAAAGTCCTAGCTAGTTTTTCCAACTACCCCCATTTGTAAACCATCTTCTTGCGTTCAAGTTTAATCTCCAGGGTTTTTCTTTAGCTGCCTCTTTTCTTAAGGTATTCCAATGCTAGTTGAAATACTGAACAAAACATCATACCAGCACACATACCCTGCACAATCATATATCTGGCATAGACACTCTATTTCCCCATTCAGCTGGTTGTACCTGGCACACACCACCTTGTCTATCTGGCAGTGACCCAATCATTCAGTGTTGCATAAAAAAAAGTCATTAACTCGTCATGTACAAATGAACTTTACCTACATGATGCTGTCTTGTGTTATTTTGTTATCTCGTAACCAACCAATGTTAGAATTTCGCTTTGATTCCGCTGTAGAATCGAGTGCAAAAAAAATTACTTGATATATAAACATTGTTTACTAGATAGATGCATTACTGGAAGCGGTAGAAGCAGTTATCTTCATGTGGATTGCTTTTTATTTCTTGCAACCAAAGCACTTTCTTTCTAAATTTGTTTACAGCTAAGGGGAAGTGACTGGGTTTTTAAAATCTTATTTAATGTCTTTCAGAGCAGTTCCCTAATTACCTCCCCGTTTATTCAAGCGAATTAATTTTAATTATTTTATTTTCAGATCCAAGATTCCCAGATAATGGCAAAGTAGAGTTTGTGTTTGGTCCAAGTTCTGATGTTTTAGTCTCAGGTAGGAGTTGACATTTAAAAACACCATATAGAAATTTAAGGGGGGGGGGGGGGGGGGGGTGGGGTTGTAGGGCACTAAACACAAAATGAATAAACACTATACAATAAGGAAGGCTTACACCACACCAATGATCTCCTCTTCTACCATCATCCATGGTATTTAAATAGAATATACTAAAGTAGCAATACCAATATTCTACTACTCTACCATCATGGTATGGTATTTAAATAGAATATACTAAAGTAGCAATACCAATGATCCAGCTTTTCACTTTACAAGAATATTTTGGCATCACTTTCTTTCCTTGTCTTATATTGTTATCTGAAGCAAAATAGAAATATTTCATTGCTAACACTAGCAACATAGAATGTTTAGCTTAGTGTGGATAGCAATATAATTTACAATATTTAATAAACTATTACACAATCAAGCTGTTGTTTATCTATTGTTGTGGTTAAATGTGATGTTGTTCTAGAGTCAGGTTTAAATGTTGATGTTTTTTGAGTGTAAGGTTTAAATGTTGTTATTTCCTAGTGTCAGGCTTAAATTTTGATGTTTTTCTAGTGAGGTTAATATGTTGATGTTGTTCTAGTCAAGTTTAAATGTTGATGTTGTTCTAGTCAAGTTTAAATGTTGATGTTGTTGTAGTCAAGTTTAAATGTTGATGTTGTTGTAGTCAAGTTTAAATGTTGATGTTTTTCTAGTGAGGTTTATATTTTTCTAGTGAGGTTTATATGTTGATGTTTTTTTAGTGTCAGGCTTCAAGTCTGATGTCACGGTTCCAGTAGATGATAATGAGGAAACTTTGGCACGCTCAGATTCTTACGAAAACTTTCATCGTGTCTTGGAGTCCATAGATGGTAAGTCAACGTACAACCAAGGTTGCATGGGCTGCTGGGCAGGTGTCCGACTAATTAATTCAATCAATTTGTCATTCAATTCACAATTTTCTGAAATTAATTTTTTTGGGAATTCGGGATTGTAGTCAAAATGAATAATTCACACATTGTTTTGTAAATTGTGACATAAATCAGAAAACAATTAGAAAACATTTTTAATTGTTTAAATTCTGAAACACATACACTTGATCTACAACAGTTGTCTAAATGACAAAAAACAAGCAAAAATGAATATAGCAAATGTGAAATGATTGTGACAATTTTTTTCTCCTGCTTAGATATGGTGTTAGTATGGAGTAGAGATTTTTATAACATTTGAAAACATTTGCTTAAGCCTGAAACAGGAGCTACTAATGTTTTGATACTCTTATTCAGTATTTACAAATAATGTTAACTAACCAAACCTCTATCCCCTGGAAAAAGATAATTTCTATGTGTTTCAGGCTTAACAGTAATAATGTCCTTTTACAGTTTTTTATATTTCAACTTCAGTTAATTCTGTGTATTTTCATCTTATACCTGCTTTCACATTTCTGCTTTTGACATTAAGTTTTATTTTATTCCAATAATAGTGTGGCTTTATCATGTGTACTAAATAATTTACAAATCATTTTCTTGCAGTTAAAATGGAGAAAAACAATACTAATTTAAGATTAAAATTGCATAAAGGAACTGTCATTTGTTTTAAACAGTAACTGATTTTTCAAAAATCCATTTTGAATTAAATTTCTGGCTTTTTTTAATTAATGTTTTTAAAGAATTATTTTTAAATATAAAAATCAAATTCCCAAAAGGTATTTTCTGTCTATAGTTACTTTGCTTGTAGATATTAGACAGCTTTGATTTTTCAATCTCTTAAACAATGCTTCATATTTTCTTACAAAAACAAAACACAAAATAATGTTGGCCCTGAGAACTCAGATGTAAATGTGTCCTATGGCCAGGTAACAAGAAAAGCAGCTATGTCTCTACAGGTGTAACGACCAATTCCTGCCTGTATTCTACTCTCCCTCAATCCCTATTTCAGCTGTGGATTTCAATGAAAACGGAATTTCATCTTCCCAAGTGACCAAATCCCAAGTTTCCAACCAGCGAGGTGTGGACCACAACAAGGCGCCAGACGGAAGCCTGTACGCCACTGTCACAAAGAGGGGCCCACAGTCTCCGCCAGCTGCAGCGCCATCACACCACGGCCCCCCTCATTTAATCAATGGCTCAATATCCTCTAGTTTAGATTCTGGTTAGTCAAGCTGACATTGGTGTCCCTAGTTAAGGAGTTAGTCATAGCTGAGATCAGATTTACAACCGCTAGATAAAATACCTTTTTGCTGATAAACCGCTTCTAGTGAAATAGAATTTTAACACCTACTAGTAGTAATAGTTTAGTCAATATAGCAAAACCTAACTTTTATAGTCTTTATTCTCTTTAGCTTCAAAAAAAAAATTTCTAATTAATTAAATTTCTAGACATGAAAATACTATTTTTCTATATCTGTTCTTTAATTGTAATAAGTTTTCTCATTTCTTGGCAAAATATAGAATTGCATGTTTGATTTTCAACTTTCTAAAATCTTAAGATTCTTTTAATTTTTCCTTAAAAAATGTTTCATTTAGAGTCATAATGTTATATTTCTATTATATCAAAATTTTTTCTAAAAAAATTTGATTAAAACATGATTTTGATTAATCCAATACAACCTTGATTAAGGCTTCCATTTGCACATTTGAAATACTACTATGGACTAATTTTTTTGAGACTAGTGGTTTACTGTGCCTAAAATACTAAACTTATTATTAAAGCTGTCATTCTTTAAAATAACATGGTTTTCCATGCCTTAAAATATTTTACTTATAATATTTTAATAAAGTAATTAGCAAAAAAATAGTACGGTCATATCAGTCATTTTCTCTACTGAAATTTCATGCTGGATACAGATTTGTTTTCTAATCTGCTAAATGCTATGCTTATTTTTTTCTCAACACTATTTTTTTTTATAGTTAAAGTTAAATTATTATAAAATCATATTCTTATAAAATGTATGTTTACTATAGTTACTGCAAAATTTCAGTACCATTTCGTAATTTAATTTGGTTTGCATTTTTTATGAACCAGGGTACGCAGGGCACAATACAAGCTTCAACTCCCATTACACTTCCTCTGCCACCACCTCCAACAACATTAACAACAACATCAGCAGTCCTGAGATCATCAGCCCGCCCTACCAAAGCAGCCAAACCACACTCACCAGGAAACCGGCTCAGACGCTAGAGGAGCGCACGCAGCTTGACGAGCTGTTGAGCGACCTGCTGAGCGATCAAACCTTCGTCTCTCCGACCCAGCGCTCACCCAAATCTTTCCAGTCGGCAGTTGAGTCTCAGGCGCCGCTGTCCCCCAGCGGTGGCAACGTCGCCACGAGCCCAACCATGAGCGCCGCAAAAACTGTCACCACCACCACGCGGACTTTCACGTCGTACTCCAGCACGGATGCGCACCGGAACCCTGACCGCGTGCTGATACAGCGCGCTGAGGTCTCGTACAAGGTCCCGGGTCAAGGTGAGGTCAAGGATCACTACACCATCGCAGCTGACCCGACACAGATGCTGGACACGAGTCCCACGCGGCCGCCCCCGCCCAGCCAGTACCACCCCAAGGGTGTCCCCACCAATGCCTTTTCTTACACATCAGGAATCTCCCAGCAGTCCTCGTCACAGGTAAGGACACAGACACATACATGTCTGCTTTACGTCATGTCTGTATGTTATTATCACTATGCTGCATACGTCACTAACATCAATACTAAAAATTATGTATTTACATATTACTGGCAGTTAGGTTTATACGGTACCCTAAGGAAATTTCCGTTCAGTTTTAACATCAGATTTATTCCGGAAATATCCTGGCAAAAATACTAAAGAAAGTTTGATTTGTTAGACAAGCCAGGAAAGTAAAGCCGTATGAAGCCCACCAACATATGAAGCCCACCAACATATGAAGCCCACCAACAGATGAAGCCCAAAAAGTAATACCTGATGATGCAAAGTTGACAAAGCCCAGAAAGTAATGCGTTATGAGGCCTAACAGAATAAACCAAGAAAGAATTACTTCACTAAGGCCTACAGACCAAGCTGAGATAGAAGCCAAAAAACTCCATTAAGAAAGGAAACTACCAAGTACAGCAGGATAGACATTTTCAAGTTTAGAGTTGAAACTGATTGACACATCACTAAAACAAACTGATGTTTTTTTTTTTAAAATGTGAATAAATTAAATGTAAACATTTCACATCAACTTGATACACCTGGATTTGAACTGAAAATCAAGTTAGGAAAAGAACTAAAGAAGTTGCTTCCCCTTGAGAGCTTAGTGTAAATAGATCAATTTAGATAACAGCCAATTTTTAAATGCTTACATATAATTAATCTTGCTAAGAATAATTAAGTATAGCAATGTAATTAAACATTACAATTCTAATCAATTCAAGATTTTGCTTGTTTAAAAAAATGTTTAATTGTCATATAATATTATACTTTAATTATATTTATACATAAATATATGCTTACATTTATTTAAAGTTCTAAAGCACAGTTATAAAATCTGAAGAGAAATCTGGCTCCTCTTATAAGTAACTTAGTCAAATGTTTGGTGTTGATGTTGTAATGGTGTAGTCAGTCAAGCATGTCGATACGTCCCAGTCCAAATGACTTGCCACTGTGGATGCTGACTTTAAATTACCTGAGCCATTTCTCCTGATATGCTGCGACGTTGTTTTTTTTTTTTTAAATTACTGGAAAATAAAGTCAATTTTGAAATTAAGTAGGAAAACTCTCCAGCGAAATTTCCATTATTTTTTTTTCAAATGGGATTTGGCTGTATAAAAAAAAAGTTGAAGCGAAAAATTTCATTCTTTTAATTTTGGAAGTTGACTGCACCTGAAGAGACACCAAATCTCCTGCATGTCTTGCCATAGAAGGTTACCACTCACACCCATTTTTCCATCTGTCTTTCATCCAGAGAGCAGAGGTTATCGAACATGACGTGTTCAGGTCCCCTGTCATGCAAGGGGTGCAGTCGACCCCCTCCTCCAACGTCTCTTACCGCACAGAGTACGAACAAAAACTGGACACGTCCTCACCTTCATATTCCTACAACTCCCTGGACGGGGATACAAACTCGTGGCTAGCCCAGCAACAGCAGAAGTTGAAAAACTTCAAAGAAGGGCGTGACTCTTCTGGAAGAACTGAGCAAGAAAAGAAACTAGTAAATGAATTGAGATTTGCACAGAATAAATATTACACCCGCCGTACGCAGAGCGAAGAGGAAGAAAGGGTATGTGGGTTTGACAGCATGCAGCGTGGATTTAGTTTGCTTTCTAATTCTTGTACTGCTTATATTGGCCTTTATAAAAGCTTTGTTTATTTAACTTAGTATTAAAAACCTGGATTTTTTTTTAGTAGAATTTAACAAAACAAATGCTAGAAAAATAAAAACTTAGATCTGCCTTAGTGAGATATCTAAAAGCATGAGTTCTTGTTTTCTTATAGGAGGAGAATATTTCTGCTATCAGTTTTTTTTTTACTTGTTTTTTTATTAAATTCATTTTCTCTTTGCTAGCTTCATTTTTATATATTGACAAAATCATTAAAAATTCTTTTAATTTCTTGTAGGCTATTATGGACTCTTACAACAGGCAAGCTCTCCACAATGGGCCGCTATCTCCAGAGCGGGTCACACAGACCTATGCACCCCAAAGATCCGCCAGCACCTCGGCCGTGGATGCACCGTGGCCCCAGGACCAGCACTACAACACCTCCTATAGCACCTCCTCCTACATGGAGTCCCGTAGCTACGGTGACAAAAGATCCAACAAACCCCCACCCTCCCCAACTATGCAGAGATCTGTCCAGCCCGCCCCCGCACCAGCCCCTGTGCCGGCGCGCACCAGCAGTAAAGAGTACATGCGCACCAGGTCGAACAGCAGCAGCAGCAACTGGCAACAGCAGACGGTGAATCAGCAGCAGCAGAAGCCGCTGCAGAGACAGCAGAGTGACACACTGTACGACAGGAACCGTGAGGTTGAGCACATATTGCCGAGGTCGTACGGCTCGAACCAGAGCACACCTCCACACTCTCCCCGGGCCATCTCACCTGTGGTAGGTTTACATTTTAAAATTGGTAACTGCATAACTTTATCAACATGTTTCAACACTGGTGACAGCACAATTTTATCAACATGTTTCAACACTGGTTATTGCACAAATGTCACATGTTTCAACATTATTCAACATTAGTAACTTCATAAATTTGCCCACACATTTCAACCTTAGTAACTTCACAAAGTTATCAACACTTTTCAAGATAGGTAATAAGTTTACCGACACATTTTTTTTACATGTAATTTTGTTTAAAAATCATATTTTTAAACTACAAAAAGCAATGTTACTCACACACATATATATATATATATATAGGTTTCTGTCACATTTTTTATTTATTTTGTGTATTAATAGTTTCAACTTTTTATTTCTCCCCCCCCCCCCCCCCTCAGGGTCCCATCAGCACAACAACATACACTACGTACAGAACTATAGACAGACAGAGGGAAGAGAGACAGCGTGAAAGACAGGAGGAGATGAACCGTGCCATGAGGGTTCAGCAACAGCAAGCACCACCACCACAACAACCACCACCACAGCAGCCACCAACCCAGATCAATCACCACTACATCACGGAAGTATTTGTCCACAGAACAGGTCCGTTCTTTTTTTCTTTTTTAATGCAAATAACAAACAACTGTTATCTAATTTAATTGTACTTCGTTACTGTAAAAAATTGCTTATTAGATGAGATGGTGGCAATTTAAACCTTTTTTCATACTTTTGAGTCATATAAATTGATTTTTTTATTCATTTAATTTTATTTAAAAAATTAATACACTTTAGGCTGTTAAATATTTTCGAATCTTTTTTCATCATGATGTTACATCCACTTTTTGTATGTTGTGGGTGATTTACTTAGTTTTTTAAAAAAGCACAAGGATTTTTTTAATAGTATACCTTCACTTAAGGGCTGTTTTATATTTTCAAAAATTCTTTTATTTTAGATCTAATTTTACATTCGTAATTTTATGCTGTTTTATGTCGACACTACATATTTTTAAAAAAGCCTTGATTTGTACTTGAATATACTTTCATTTGACAGACTAGTACATTTAACAAAATATTTATTTTAGATCTAAATAAAGACTAAACAGTTACATTTTTAAAAATGATTTATTTAAAAATTATAGATCATTACATCTTCTTAAAATAATTTATTTTAGATCAAAGACAAGAGAGTTATATTTTCTTTAAATTATTTTAGATCTAAATAGAGACAAGATAGTTATATATTTTTTTTTATTATTTTAGATCTAAATAAAGACAAGGCAGTTACATTTTCTTTAAATTATTCTAGATCTAAATAAAGACAAGGCAGTTACATTTTCTTTAAATTATTTCAGATCTAAATAAAGACAAGACAGTTACATTTTCTTTAAATTATTCTAGATCTAAATAAAGACAAGACAGTTAGGCCTACATTTTCTTTAAATTATTCTAGATCTAAATAAAGACAAGACAGTTACAATTTCTTTAAATTATTCTAGATCTAAATAAAGACAAGACAGTTACATTTTCTTTAAATTATTTTAGATCTAAATAAAGACAAGACAGTTATATTTTCTTTAAATTATTCTAGATCTAAATAAAGACAAGACAGTTATATTTTCTTTAAATTATTTCAGATCTTAATAAAGACTAGACAGTTACACTTTCTTTAAATTATTTCAGATCTAAATAAAGACAAGACAGACTCCTCCACACGCCTGGATGAGCTTGAGAAAAACCTTGAGGCTGCCTCGCAGTCCATCAAGGCCTCCAAGTCGTCGCAGCAGTACGCGACCCTGCCGCGCCAGCCGCAGGTGATTGAGGAGACGGTGCAGCACCACTCCCAGCAGTTCCACACCTACCAGGAGAGTGTGAGTACACACGATTCGGAGTTGCACCATGCCGAGAAAAGCATGCACACTAACCGCAGTGCCTCACCTCCCATTTGGGATAATGTTTATGTATGTACTTTAGTTGGCTTTTATTTTTTGTTTTGGTTTCGAAGAATTTTACCCAGAATCTATTGTAACTATCTTAACAATATTTCAGGTGGCAAAAAATATTTTTATTTATTATTCAAATATTCTTTTAAGCACTGATATAATTTTATCTAGTAGACATGTATCAATCTATATTAAACAACCTTGAATAGACTGGGTAATTTTCTTGAAGAGATAGGTTCTTGTTTACAAATTTTAAATAGAAAATAAAAGTTTTAAATTTCACACTAATTTCAATTTTTTAAGTGTTTTTCACAAAAATATTGTAAAGCAGGAACCTATACTCTGTTATAATTTTGAAATTTAGTTTATGCTTGATTGTCTCCCTTATTTGTCTTTTTTTTTCTGTGTTTTTATTTTTATTTTTTTTAAATGAAAAATATGTTTTTGAGTAATGCAGTGCATGTTTGACATTTTAATTTGCAATTACCCCAGAAAGCATTTTTAAAACTTTATGTTCAAAAATTAACAATGGGGTCATCCATAAATGACGTCACGCTTTTTTTGACGATTTTTACCTCCCCCCTCCCCTCCGTCACACTTCGTCACAAAAAGCCAGACACCCCCCCCCCTAAAATGACGTCACACCTCAACCTACAACCCCCCCTCAAAATTGCAGTTGAATTTTTTTAAAACATTTATCTAAAACGCGAAATAACTTCTAAAATTCGTTTTCTAACATTGCTTTTTTATAATGCAAAAATGTGACGTTGCAACATCTGACCCCCCCCCCCTCCCCTCCCCCTCATCACACATCGTCACAAAATTACGGACCCCCCCCCCCCCTCCCCCCTACGAGTGTGACGTCATTTATGGATTACCCCAATAAGCATAGATCTACAGCATGATTTTTAGTTTTATTAAACTGTGTTCAGAAAAGAAAATTAAAATTAAGGATATTTATGCCTTCTTCATGCACAAATGGACTAGAGATTTTTGTCCAGTAGTTTATTTTATCAGGACATAGATCTAGATCTAGCTAATTTTTTTTTTTTATCAACTTTAAAGTCACTCATTCTTTTAGTGGCACTGTTCACACACAAGAGGTCTATATAATACTCCAGTAACTAAACACATTGTCCCTTTATAAACTATGGCCTAACTAAATAACGAAACACATTTTCTTATCATTCGTTGTGATCAATCATAAAGTCTTAACTCTAAGTTTTTAACATTTTGCCTGTATTTTTTTTATTTTAGTATTTTACAACTGCCTTTTTTTTTATTTCTCCCCTAAAAACAGCCATTGCATTACACCCTACACATTTTTGCCCCTCCCCTCCTCCTAAAGAATGTCTACTAAACCCTTCCCCCCCCCCCCCCCCCCCAATCAAATAGAATTTACATAGAATATGTTACCAGCGTCCGCCTCCCCCCCCCCCCCCCGAAAGTTTAGTCCCGTCCCCCGAAAATTTCAAGTGCACCCCCCTCCCCGAAGGAGAATAAAAAGTGGGGGAAAACACTGCCTGTACCCTATATAGATCTAATCATATTTACATTTACAAATTACAGAAAAATGAAAAATGATTTCCTGTCCACGAAACTTGATCCTATGCCACATCTCACCTCACCTTTCCCCCCCCCCCCCCCCCCCCCAATTTCACTCTAGCGATACGTGTTCAATGAGGCGATAACGAATCTTAATGTCCCGCACGTTTTATCTTACAAGTTATTTGCCCAAAGTTTTTTGAAAGTCTATCAAATGGGCTATTAGTGTCCGTGCTCTCGTCTCGCCATTATTTCCATGGTGTCAGCTTGTTCTGTTTACTGTTGTGTCGAGCGATTGGCTTTCAGCGCTGGAATGTAGGTCACGCGGAAAAGTTTTTATTCGCAATATTACTGTTTATTCAAATGATTCACAAAGCCTGGTAGGCATATGTGTCAAAATATGAAAGTCAACTATTTTTAGATGTAGAAGCTTTTTTTTTCTGAATAAAAACCGTGCGTTAAAAAGTAAAATATTTAAGACGATTAAAACTAAAGGCATACATACATAGTTTGTACATAAGCGTGTGTTACTGTGTATGTAGGCACTATTTTTTTCAAGTTATTTTTTTTTTATTCCTATCTCTTAAATTTAATTTATTCGGTAAACAAATGTGTCATTAAATTTTCGTCTTTTTCCTATTCACGATTTTTTTTTTAAATTTGTTGATTGCCTTTCCCCTAATCCCTCACGTACGGTGCGAGGTTTGCCCCTCCCTGTAAAACATTACACTTCTCGCGTTTGGTCATATCTCTACCTTCTTGTTCATACAACGACGTATGCAACCCCACTTCTTTCATGCTTGCCGCTACATGGGGGAGGGAAAAATTACATTGGAAAAAAATCTGGCAAAACCATGGCGTGTAAAACTACCAGATAAGCTGTGCACTGCCACACAATTATCCCTGTTACTCTCTTTTGGCTCGTGGCATTGGGGAGTATTTACGTGAACACAACTCAGTTTATATTTTTGCAGTTGCATTTTTATTTCACGTAAAATTTGAATGTGTAAAAATTAAAATTAATAACTAAAACGACACAAATATGTATTTAGAATGTGATTTTGATTCTTAAAGGAAAGTTGTTTTTTTATGTTAATTCGCAATGGATTTATCATTTTTCAAAAGTAAGTAGATATATATCTAAATTCTATAGCTAGTTTTATTTCTAATGTTTGTAGAAGCTTTGCGCTGTATCCAAATATTCGAGTTGTTGACGTTGTTGACTATTTTCAGTGGGATCTCAGTTAGTAAGCTTCGTTCGTTTTGTCATGATAAACGTTGAGTTGTGTGTGTGTGGGGGGGGGGGGGGGTGTATAAACGGATGTTCTAGCCTGTGCCATTACTGTGGCTAATATATCTTATCGTCAGTGACAAGAATATAATGATGCACGTCTCGCCGTGTATGGTACATTAGCTCTCTTGTTCCCTGAGTGGTAGGCCTACCTCATTTGTTGGGGGGGGCTACCTCATTTGCTGGGGGAGGGGGCCTACCTCATTTGTTGGAGGGGGGGGGGGGCTTTGAAATGTAATGCCAGGTTTTCAACTAACTTTATAATATTGGCTTTGTAGCAGTGATTTTGAAAAGTCATATTTAGACATTTTTTCTACGATAATTCGGTTCTATAGCCTATATGTCAATAATCATATCTAATTTTGAGTACAAAAAATATTAGCAAAAGCACGTTTTGCACATTGATTCTAAATCTCTATCCTAACTTTTTATTGTATAAATTTTAAGATATCGCTGAAGAACCCAGGAAACTATAAAGTAAATTACGAAACAAATAAAAGTACAGACAAGCAGGGCGGCTACACGGAGAATTAAATTAGGCGTGTCTTTAGTTTTCAGTTGATCAATGGGGCACATGTTTACACAAGTCACTAGTGTGTACTTATTTTTTTTCTTAATTCAAGCAGATCTAGTCTCGGTTTGTATTGCGTCACGTGACCAGCCGGGACTATTAATAACTTGGATCGGTGGGTGGAAGAGGTGTTTATGAATAATGTGCTGTGTGTGTGGGATAGATCTATCTACCTCGCTGTGGTAGTCTAGCCAGCTGGGCCAATCAATGTTGGGTGGATTAAAATCATTTGGCGGTTTTTTTTTTATACGTGTAAACAAACGATCAACAAAACGTGTTTTAACGTGGGAGGTGGGGGGGGGGGGGGCCGGCGACCCGTTAAGACGACACAAAACACACTCATGTAGTAATAGTGAATCGATCTTCGCCCTGAATATCTCATCAAAGAGTTGATAACCCATGTTACAATCTAAAGCTCCAATTCTGAATCGTCTGTTTTTGTTTGTTTTTTTTTTTTTTTTTTTTTTTTTTTTTGTAAAACATTTTGTCTTTATACCGAACATTTAGACGTAAAGCTATGTAAACCCCTACTAACACATTACAAAGCGGAGCTTTTGTTATTTCTGTTTTATACGTTTGGGACTATATCTAAATGAACTTTGTAACGTCTAAATGGAAATGAAAAGTTCCAAAATATTTCTGTAATATAGTATCAAGTTAAAACTTACTTCAGTCAGTGTGTACGGTTTTTTTTTAAGTAAGCCTCGATATACGTTCTCAAATAAAGTAGCCTTGATATACGTTCTCAAATAAAGTAGCCTCGATATACGTTCTCAAATAAAGTAGCCTTGATATACGTTCTCAAATAAAGTAGCCTCGATATACGTTCTCAAATAAAGTAGCCTTAATATACGTTCTCAAATAAAGTAGCCTTGATATACGTTCTCAAATAAAGTAGCCTCGATATACGTTCTCAAATAAAGTAGCCTTGATATACGTTCTCAAATAAAGTAGCCTTGATATACGTTCTCAAATAAAGTAGCCTCGATATACGTTCTCAAATAAAATAGCCTCGATATACGTTCTCAAATAAAGTAGCCTTGATATACGTTCTCAAATAAAGTAGCCTCGATATACGTTCTCAAATAAAGTAGCCTTGATATACGTTCTCAAATAAAGTAGCCTTGATATACGTTCTCAAATAAAGTAGCCTTGATATACGTTCTCAAATAAAGTAGCCTTGATATACGTTCTCAAATAAAGTAGCCTCGATATACGTTCTCAAATAAAATAGCCTCGATATACGTTCTAAAACAACTGGAAGCTCAGTTTCAAGTAGCTAGGAACTTTTACAAGCTGAGTCATCACGTGACTTGTAAATGTTCGCCTAGTTCCATGGGTGATATTAATGACTCATTAAACAATCAAGTTAACAGATGGGCGGGGTCAGCTTTTATTCTTAGTTGAAGACAAGGCAATCAACTATCATCATGCCAACATCACGTCAACTTTCACCATCATGCAAACTTTTACCATCATTTCAACTATCACCATCACACCAACATCCAACATCACCCCAACATCCAACATCACCTTAACATCCAACACCACCCCAACATCCAACACCACCCCAACATCCAACATCATCCCAACATCCAACATCACTCCAACATCGCCCCAACATCCAACATCACCCTAACATCTAACATCACCCCAACATCGAACATCCAACATCACCTCATCATCCAACATCAACAAAACATCCAACATCACCCCAACATCCAACACCACCCCAACATCCAACACCACCCCAACATCCAACACCACCCCAACATCCAACACCACCCAAACATCCAACACCACCCCAACATCACACCAACGTCCAACATCACCCCAACGTCCAACATCACCCCAACGTCCAACATCACCCCAACATCCAACATCTCCCCAACATCCAACATCACACCAACATCACCCCAACATTCAACATCACCCCAACATTCAACATCACCCCAACATCCAACATTACCCCAACATCCAACATTACCCCAACATCCAACATCACCCCAACATCCAACATCACCCCAACATCCAACATCACCCCAACATCCAACATCACCCCAACATCCAACATCACCCCAACATCCAACATCACCCCAACATCCAACATCACCCCAACATCCAACATTACCCCAACATCCAACATCACCCCAACATCCAACATCACCCCAACATTCAACATCACCCCAACATCCAACAGCACCTCAACGTTTAACCTTATCAGCGTTATTAAAACAGCCCAGTTAGCCGGGATGCGACAGTGAATAAATGAGTATTTGAGCAGAGAGGATTTGGACGAGTTTTATTAGGTGTAGACAAACAGGTTCTCGGCCAACTTGGCACATCAAACATGGATCGATCCCGATAAAATAAAACGATACTTGTTTGGGTCTAACACATTCATCACGTTATCGAATTGGAGAGCGAATTTTTATGAAGTATCGAAATTGCCATGATAGAGTTTTATGTGAACTACGATAAATAGGTTTTGACTTTGTAATATCATATGTAAATTTATCAAATGGAGATGAATTACTATGTATGTTAAGAGTACTTCTAATTGGAACTGAGCATCTATTGTCGAATTCCTTCTTGAATGATTCTGGCAAAATGTTTTCGGAAATAAATCTTCCCCACAAATTGAAATCAAACGAATGTTGCGAGTCCAGTGTAGTATACCTCCACAATATATGTAAAGTATACCTACACGATATATTTAATAATAATATCCATTACAAACTGTTTCGTTATCTGAATGAGCATACGCCTTAAATCTAGACAATGATGAGGTTACACGACACTGAAGCCTAAAATATTTGATTTGTTCAGATAATAGACACTACTCTGAAATGACTATTAAACCGGTGAGCATTTGACCTTTCCATCTAATTACTCATTGGCTGGGAGCCGTGGGAGGGGGAGGAGACGGCATGCGCAAGAATTCCGTTATTTTCATAGTAGGTACCACCAGCTCGTGCGTTCAAACAAGGTCACTGCGTACTTTATTCGGTTACCTTTCCCTGCAAGGTTCCAGTTTCATAATTTTTCACTCATAAACTCTGAACAATGTTTGTTTTGTTTTCAAGTGAATTTAAAAAAAAAAAATTGGCACTTTATCTTGATATGTAAGACGTAGCGGTGATGCCATTCGTTCAAACTTTACGTTCCTCCGGCTCCTCACCCACCCCCTCACGTGCTGGCGTGATATCTACCGCGGCGGGCAACACACCGGCTACACAGCTATCTATTGCCAGTTGGCCGTTTGTTTTCTGACCTCATTTAAAAAACACGTTCTGTGTGTCATTGTGAATCAAATGTAGTAGGGCTATACCTTTAAACATGGGTTCCCTGTGTGTTTTGTTTAGGAATAAAATTTGGAGAAAAAAATGGGTTAAATATTATAAGCACGGTATAAATGTTTCAATAATTTCGTTGAATTATCTCTTGCGTGAGTTGATGCAGATGTTGCTGCTTAGTTCGTGAGTCAACACGAATTCTCTCCCCTCCTGTTGTATATTCTCACTTGCGTTGAGTTTTTTGTTTTAAAACTGTTACATTTGTAGAAGTGTTTAACTGAAATATGTTAAGCCATTTTAATTATTTGCCCCGTATGTGTGTGTATATGTATATATGTATGTATGTATATATATATATATATATATATATATATATATATATATATATATATATATATATATATATATATATATATATATATATATATATATATATTCTCCTCTGCTCACACATAATATAGGCCCACATGAAGCATATCTAAAATTGACAAAATAACAAATTTACAAAGCAACATGATACATTTTTTTAAACTAATACCTTGCATCTCTTGAGAAAAACTAGTGCTAATTTTGTTTCGTTTACCATGCCTAATTTGTGCATCACAAATGTTAAAGAAAAAAAACTAGCAAACCTCCTCACCTTCTATTTTAAGATTCAAGTCTTTACTTTAAAAAAAATTCCGCAACTGTTTTGAGTTAAACCTATCTGTAAGCAGTTATAAAATAATTAATTGAATGCTGCATTTGATTAAAGTGCTCATTAATTTTCCAACCCCCCCCCCCCCCACCCCATGTTTTTTTTCACCCCCCCCCCCCCCCCCCCCCCACACACACACCCTCTAGCAACCACCTGCACAGCCAACTTAACACCATCCACAAGCTGTTTCTTTTAATAAATTCACCAGGCCATTTGTACTCACCACATACACATGAAACACAAGCCGTAAACATACAGGCTGCACTCAACTGGCCGTATGAGTTGCACATAAGGCAACACAGAGTACTCACTTTCATGGCCATTAGTTTTGTTGTTTCACTGTTGCTCACTGCTGTGGAGTAGATGTATGTTGTTGTATCATGTTTTTCTTCAATGGAATAAATGTTGTTTCACCATATTTTCATCTCTGGAGTAGATGTTTATGTTTTCACTGTGTGTTTCATTAATGGAGTAGACATTTGATTGTAGTCAACATTTGGTGTCTGTAAGTGCTGCATGCTTTAATATCCCCGGAATGTTTTGACTAGGTGTTTGTGCAGTTTTCTTTTAAAGGGAACACAATTATAGCAGTAGAGTACAGTAGTTTACACTTTTATTTAACCTGAAACATAGGTGTGAATAGGAATGTAAGGTATTCTATAAAGTGAACACAATTATAACAGTAGTTTACAGTAGTTTACACTCTATATATTATGAACTAAAGCATAGATATAAATAGGATTGTAAGGTTTTCTATTATAAGTGAACATAAAACATTGAGTTCAACTACATATTTTGTGTAAACTAAAAGTACAGGCAAGAATAGAAGTATAAGTGTAAGGTTTTCTTTAATTAAGTGTAAGGTTTTCTTAAATAATTGTAAGGTTTTCTTTAGAAGTTAACACAGTCATAGCATCTAATTGCAGCATGTGAACTTAAAGTAATAAAACATAGGCATGAATAGAAAAGTGAATATTTTTGTTTTTAGTTTTTTTTTTCTTTTAACAATAATATAAGCGAATAATGTGGACAGTTTTCAATAGCATAAAAGATTATAAAAATAATGTTTGATTTTCTATATTTACAGCTTAGTTTAGGTCTTCAACAATTTATGTTACTTCAATAACAATTTTCTTTCTGTAATTGAACTTACAAATATCATTTTCATTTAAAAGAAACTCAGTTCAACATTTTAATGAATATAAGGACTGTTAGGGGTTATTAAAATTAATTATTTTGAGTTCAAATATGATGACAAACTAAGGTTTATTTTTATTTAAAGAACTATTATAATATACAACTTGGCCTAGTAAAATTAGTTGTGCAGTTGTGTTACCTTATAAAAGGGGGGAGGGGGATATAATGGGGGGGGGATAACTTAATAGCTTACACTGCAGTAAAAACTTGTATTACTCTTGTAAACAACAATAAGCAAGTGTTAGTCATCCAGGTACCTGTAGAGAACACCTGGTAGTCTTGAATATCTCCACTAGAAAGTCATACTCTAGTGCAGTGTGTATGGATTTTACATAGACAACATTTGTTTTTTCTTTGGATATTTTAATTTTAACAGCAATTTTTTTTTCATTTTTTTTTTTATCAATTAAAAAAAATATTTGTTTTCAAAATAACTACAAAATGTAAAAAAAAAAATTTTTTTTTTAAACTTTAAGAAAATTTGTAGATTTAAGCAAAGTTATTATAAATTTACAGACATTACTTGAAAAATAGGCTATTTTAATTTGCGTATTTTTTTCTGAATACCTTCAAACACCAGTACAATGCAGATATTTAATAGGTTTTATAATTGCTGTCCTGTAATTATTTTTTTCATAACCTATCTAGATTTTTCTTTCAGATTTATCAGAAATTTTTTTTTTTTAAATCACAAATTGTTTTATTTCATCTAGAACTTTTTCCCCATTATATTTTTAATAAAAAGCAGAAGCCAGAGCCGCCAAGGGTGAAGGAGATAGAAGAGGATAGGATTATGCTCCGACCCATTGGGCCGGGCATGCAAACATTGGAACCAGAGAGTGCACACACTGGGACACTAGGCAGACCTACGACGCCAGGATTCCCCACAGGACCTGGTGAGTACCTACAGAGTTTTAAATTTGAGTTTTATTCAACGTTAATCAAACTTTTTTTTTAAATTTTATAAATTTCCATAGTAACTTGCTAGTTCCTCTTTTTTTATGACCTTTAATATGAAATAAAAATATGTTGCTGTTTTTTGTTATGTTGTATGTAACATTCCTTTTAAGTTTTGTATTAGATTACTTTTATATTGTAATAACCAATTTATTTTTTAAAATAACTTGAAAAATTAGATTATGTAAAGAACTTACTATAGTTTAAAAACAAAAAATATTATTTGCTATTATTTAGAAGCCTATGATTTTTATTCAACATACATCAAACATTAAGACCATTTATACAACCCACACCAAACATTAACACACAACCCACACCAACCATTAAGATCATTTATACAACCTACACCAAACATTAAGACCATTTATACAACCTACACCAAACATTAAGACAATTTACACAACCCACACCAAGTATTAAGTTAAATATTATTAACCCTTTGAGCCCGCCAGGCCGGTAAACCGGCTTCAACATTAGGCATATATGTCCGAAAAGCCGGTTTTCCGGCCTGATGATCTAGCGTCATATTCGTAGCGGCCTGTATACCGTCTAATTAAATATAATTAGCGGAAGACTGACTAAAACTGCGCATATGTCTTTGAGTGCGGGATTATGATTTTAAAAATTGATTTTTAGGAAAAGTGAAAGTGTTTACATTTCGTAGTAATGCCGCCGAAACGATAAGCTGAGCCACAGCCGTCGACTTCATCACAAAAAGTTGGTGCAAAAGATGAAGCAAAAGACCGAAATATCAACAAAAGAAGTAGAATGACTGCATCTCAGGCAATACAACTACTTATTGATTCTGTTGAAGAAGATAATATTCCTGGTCTATATTGTGATGATAGTGACTTTGAATTTGAGACTGAACACAGTGACATTGAAATTGACAGTGACAATGAAACTGTTCAAGTACGTTCTGATGCACGTGTTGCCAAGGACAAAGACTTTCCGAAACGAAAAAAATAAGTTTACTGGTGCAAAACATGCGAAGTTTTTCTTTGCATCGGGTCCGGCAGTGATAACTGTTTTGAAATTTATCACACAATAGTGGACTTCTGGCGATGAACTAGTATGGCCAGATATCAATAATAACAAAACAATTACTAAACGTAAATTGCTTTCTTCTATGTTTTATCAAAACAATAATTATACGTTCGTTTTATATACATTGTTCTGTATAATAAAGAATAAAGAATTTCAGAATCTTGCTGCATTGGTGTTTGATCCTGAGTCTGGATACCAAATTTGGCTTGATTATCTCAAACGGTTCAAAAGTTATAGGCAAAGTTAGAAGCAGATAAGTGAAAATTGGTTTGGGCCTGGGAGCTCAGGAAATGGGAGAAACTAGGCCAGGGAGGCCAGGGCTCAAAGGGTTAAGACCACTGAGGCACAACCTACACCAAGTTGTTATAAGAAATCTTGAGCTTCAATGAATGCTTTAGTTAGCTTTTTCATGCCCTTTGCTACATGAATGGTTTGCATTACAAGCTGCTTAAGGTGTTTTTTTTAATAACTGTTTTGATGTGTAACTAAATGCTTACTACAGACATTTTTTAAGAGTGTACAGCACTTATTTAAAATTCTTTACAAAAACAACAAGCAAATTAATTGTTTTTTTATACTCTTTTTGGTAATCGCATAATGTAATTGAATTCCACATTAAGCTCTATGCATTTCCTACCCACCAAACACAAATGAGTACTTTGATGAATGGTTTTAGTGTTTTGATCTGGTTGTTGTAACAATAATGTTGTGGTGTGCTGTTGTGTGTTCCTGTTGTTGCTGAATTGCATGTTTTCCACCACCAGCAACACCACCCTTTCCCGTATCGCCCCGGACCCCGTACCAAAACTCAGGTAAAAGATTTGAATCTCTGCCTCTCGTATATTCCTTGCTTTGAGGTCAACAAATCTCTAGCACTTGATGATGCCTGAATGAGCTCTCCACACTACTACAGCTTCTGCTTTTATCTAATAGAAATATCTAATTATTTTTTTTTTTACAATTACTTCTCTGTTTTTTCATAAACATAAATTTAGACTTCGTTATATTTTCTTACTCTGACTTGTCAGTGATTTATAAATAAACTATTTAAATATTGAAGTATTTATATCCATGCATAACCAACAGTGATTCACACAAGAAGTGAGTTCTAATCAATTCACTTATCCACACACACTTTTCTAATTTATCTGTATCTTTATATTTTCATCACCTTAGAGAATGATCATTATTATTTTTTTCTAAGAGCAATTTTTAATATTTTTGTAGACTAGTTAGTGAAAAGCACTGATAACAGAATTTATATTTAGAGCAATGCTTTTTCAACACCAATTTTATATTGTTAAGCTTGGCATTACGTTTACAGATTAAAGATTTAAACGTTTAGTATAAACCAGCGTACAGACTTTCCGTCATTAATTTACTCAAACTCAAAATTTAATAAATATGGATAAACAGTGTAATACTTAAACATGCATTATCTTTGGAAGGTGAATTCACACCATGGAATTGTTGAAAAAGTATTGAAAAATATGTTTTCTAATTGTATGATTATATACGATCATCATAACTAGTATGTGATGATTATATCAATGAGAGTTAAAATACAGTTTTAAGTGTTTTTGTACACTTATTGGGAGTTAATAGTATATAACTACTATTTTTATGGTTAATATTTTTCTGTTTGCCTTGTTGCATTATTTGCTTGCCATTAGCTTAATGATTTGCATGTTGATCTAATGAAACCCATGATAGATTTCTAATAGCATAAATTTAAACTTTCATTAAGAAAGATTTCCATCAATATTTTTAAGTAAAAAATGTCTCATGGGTTTTATTAGCATTGTTTGCTATTGTGAATTGAAAACCATACCTTTTTTAAAAATCAGTATTACTTGCCAGTTATTTCTTTGTTATAATTTTATATTGTAAGTTCAACTTCAAAGGACACTTAAAAAAAAAATTAGAAATATCTGAAAGAGTAACTGGCCTTGTTTCTACACACACACCATGTATTTATTTATTTATCTCTGCCACATTTCTTTTTGTTTTTGTTGGCATCACTTTAGCTGCATCTCCAACTAGTGTCTTTAGTTCTCAGCCAGCTCAAGAATTTCACTTTGCGTCAGGGAGTACAAACTCTCTGCACCCACCACCCCGCATGGGGGTGCGTCCACCCCAAATACGGGGTGTGGATGTTGCACACCTCACAATTAACGAAGGCGTTGTTCTAACAGGTATGAAAGAAAATTACACAAAGTGTTCCATTTTTGTGAGGTTATCTTTCTACAAACAGCAAAAAGAAAATATAGAATCTAAACTAAACCATGATGAATTTTTTTAATTTTACTCATCTATTGTCAGAAACAAATATTAGTCATAGAAGGCTTCTATTCAAAATTATTTTCATATTGTTTTAATAATCTGCTTGGCCAGGTAAAGGGTGCAATGAAGGGTTAATTTATTTTTGCAGCACACTTTGTGAAATTTTGTTGGCTAGAGTATAGCACTGGGTTTATGTGATTTAACTTTAGAAGATTTATGTTTTTTCTGCTCACTGCTATATGTCTGCTTGCATGTGTTTGTGGTTTGTGGATGCATTTTGGTTGTTTTTCAATAAAAATCACAAGTCTTGTATCATTAAATTTGGGTTTTAGTTAATAGTTGAATCACTTTGAAATTATGAAGTAAATCTATATTAGTTCATAATTAATAGACTTATTTGTTATACAGAAGAATGCATTAGCTTATTTCTGTTAAATTCATTTTTAAAAACTTTTATCCAATGGAAAAATTTAAGTATTTTAAACATAAGAACATGTTTGTGTTTCAAACATTTAGGTGATATATTATTTAAAAAGTTAACGAAATTATATTTTTCATTGGAAAACACTCTGCTGCTTGTGATAATCATTGTTGTGATACTAATTATTTTAATGAGCTCAAGCTGCAGTGCAATCATCTGTTTTGTTTTGTTTCTCCAGGAGGTCAAATCATCAGCCCCACTGGAACTCTGCAGGCTGCGCCCATGCACCAGCACCAGTCTATTCAGTACCAGCAGTACCAACAGGTAGGAGATCTCTTCTTACTGATATACAGTCCATGGTGTTGTCACTCTAGAGGGTCATTACAGGGTCATCGTGTCACTAAAGGGTCATGGTGTCACTAGTGGATCATGGTGTCTGTAGTGGGTCACTAGTGGGTCATGGTGTCTGTAGTGGGTCATGGTGTCACAAGTAATTCACTAGTGGGTCATGGTGTCACAAGTAGGTCACTAGTGGGTCATGGTGTCACAAGTAAGTCACTAGTGGGTCATGGTGTCACAAGTAAGTCACTAGTGGGTCATGGTGTCACAAGTAAGTCACTAGTGGGTCATGGTGTCACAAGTAAGTCACTAGTGGGTCATGGTGTCACAAGTAGGTCACTAGTGGGTCGTGGTGTCACAAGTAAGTCACTAGTGGGTCATGGTGTCACAAGTAGGTCACTAGTAGGTTGTGGTGTCACAAGTAGGTCACTAGTGGGTCATGGTGTCACAAGTAGGTCACTAGTGGGTCATGGTGTCACAAGTAAGTCACTAGTAGGTTGTGGTGTCACAAGTAGGTCACTAGTGGGTCATGGTGTCACAAGTAGGTCACTAGTAGGTTGTGGTGTCACAAGTAAGTCACTAGTTGGTCATGGTGTCACAAGTAGGTCACTAGTAGGTCATGGTGTCACAAGTAGGTCACTAGTGGGTCATGGTGTCACAAGTAGGTCACTAGTGGGTCATGGTGTCACAAGTAGGTCACTAGTAGGTTGTGGTGTCACAAGTAAGTCACTAGTGGGTCATGGTGTCACAAGTAGGTCACTAGTAGGTCATGGTGTCACAAGTAGGTCACTAGTGGGTCATGGTGTCACAAGTAAGTCACTAGTGGGTCATGGTGTCACAAGTAAGTCACTAGTGGGTCATGGTGTCACAAGTAGGTCACTAGTGGGTCATGGTGTCACAAGTAGGTCACTAGTGGGTCATGGTGTCACAAGTAGGTCACTAGTGGGTCATGGTGTCACAAGTAGGTCACTAGTGGGTCATGGTGTCACAAGTAAGTCACTAGTGGGTCATGGTGTCACAAGTAAGTCACTAGTGGGTCATGGTGTCACAAGTAGGTCACTAGTGGGTCATGGTGTCACAAGTAGGTCACTAGTAGGTTGTGGTGTCACAAGTAGGTCACTAGTGGGTCATGGTGTCACAAGTAGGTCACTAGTGGGTCATGGTGTCACAAGTAGGTCACTAGTGGATCATGGTGTCACAAGTAGGTCACTAGTAGGTTGTGGTGTCACAAGTAGGTCACTAGTGGGTCATGGTGTCACAAGTAGGTCACTAGTGGGTCATGGTGTCACAAGTAGGTCACTAGTAGGTTGTGGTGTCACAAGTAGGTCACTAGTGGGTCATTGTGTCACAAGTAGGTCACTAGTGGGTTGTGGTGTCACAAGTAAGTCACTAGTGGGTCATGGTGTCACAAGTAGGTCACTAGTGTGGCATGGTGTCACAAGTAGGTCACTAGTGGGTCATGGTGTCACCAGTAGGTCACTAGTAGGTTGTGGTTTAACGAGTGGGTTATGGTGTCACTAAATGGTGATGGTGTCAATATTGGGTCATGGTCAAACTAGCAATGTTCCACCTGTCATTTGAAGTAGAGTTCATGTGTTTCTCTGACCTCATTCTTGTGTGATCAGCATTATGCTCAGTCAGTTCAACATCACCTACTTGAGTATTCACGCAGACTATGGACTCAAACCCAGGATTTGAACTGGAAACTTTTGGGCTAGCAGTCATGTGCTCTACCATCCAAGTTTTGTCATTTTCTATTGACTTCTCAGAACCAAACATGACACTTCAACTGGGCCAGTTGTATACCTACCTCTCAGCCACAGACCATGCAAATGACATAAAGAATCCAATATTTTTATAATAAATTTGATTTCAATATTCAAATAAAAATTACAACTATTGAAACATTTTGTGGTAGGAAAACTAATTAACCAATTAGGAAGTGAGAATGTTAAGAGTTCATTTTTGTCCTTGTCCTCTAGTCAAAGTCCTTAATTTTTGTCCTTGTCCTCTAGTCAAAGTCCTTAATTTTTGTCCTTGTCCTCTAGTCAAAGTCCTTAACTTTTGTCCTTGTCCTCTAGTGAAAGTCCTTAATTGTTGTCCTTGTCCTCTACTCACATCTTCTAATCACAATCATTAATTGTTGTCCTTGTCCTCTACTCATAGTCCTTAATTTTTGTCCTTGTCCTCTAGTCACAGTCCTACCAGACCCAGTCAGGTCAGTCAGGACATTTGGACGGCCAGGGACAAAACTCTCTACACATTGATACCAGTCCTAAGATGTTGATCAGTCCCTCTGCTGGGAGGTATGTGTCTTTAGTTATTTATCTGTTTGTAATTCATTAGACTTTAATATAGTTATGGCTGCTTTTAAGAATTTACAACTAACTTAAAATCTTGAAAATATTTTTTGTCTTTTTGAGCTTTAGCAAAGGAACCAAAAAATCTTGCCATTAATATTTCTAACGTCCTTAAACAAATGAACCTACACACCTTACCATTAATATTTCTAACGTCCTTAAACAAATGAACCTACACACCTTACCATTAATATTTCTAATTTCCTTTAAAAAGCAACCTAAAAATCTTGCCATTAATATTTCTAATGTCCTTAAACAAATGAATCAAAAAATCTTGCCATTAATATTTCTAATTTCCTTTTTCAAATGAACCTAAAATTCTTACCATTAAAATTTCTAATTTCCTTAAATAAATGAACCTAAAAATCTTTCCATTAATATTTCTAACTTCCTTTAACAAATGAACCAAAAACAGTTTCCACCACTACCTATGTTCCCTCTAAGCTGCGCGGTTGCACGGCCGCGCAGTAGTTTTTAACTGCCGCGCAGTCATTTTGTAAAATAAATGTATCCTTATATAAGACTTTTGGAACATCGCGCACACAAAGTATACATTGCACACCATCTTTTTGACCACCGCTAATGTTTCTTGCATCTACCCCCAGCCCCCCTTCACCTGGTAACTTCAACACACTGAGACAGCAACTGTCCTCCGCCCACTCCATGTCTGGCTCTGTCATCAGCCCTGGGCCTCACTCTATGACTGGCCAGAGCTCCCCGAGTGTTTACTTTGGCTTGTCAAGACGAGGAAGTCTGTCATCATTGGCAGGTAAGGGAAACAACTCATCTCATCTTATGGTCAAGCTAACCTCATCTTACCAATACATTTTTAAAACAATTTTTCTTTACTTTAGGATCTATAATGAAGTCTAATAAGCTTGATTTTTTTTTTTAAATAGGCGTCACTATAAGAACTAAATAATCACTTCATAAACATACTGTACTTTTCAAACTACCAAAAAAGCCAGATTTTCTTTAAAAAAAAAGCTTATCTACTCTCTTAGAGTTACAGAAAAATAGTAAAATAACTTTTTCAATACCCCTAATACTATGACATAGCTTATTTTTAAAACTATATAGCAACTTTAAAATTCCTGGTGTAAAAAAAAAGTTGTCTTGGTGATATTTCAGATTCTGACATGGTACACACTACACCAAAGTTTGTGAAAGACACATCCAAATACTGGTACAAGCCAAACATCTCTAGGGAAGATGGTGAGTGCTCAAAGTAACAAATACACAATCATACATGCACAATAAAAAATAATTAATGATTAATGGTTGATCCTACATGTTACCCAGCAATAATCAACTATTTTAAATTTAAAAACTATGTTTAAAATAATTCAAAGCAATTGAACTATATTTAATTCTTCTTTTGTAATTATAAATTTTAGATTATTTCTGTTCAATTTATTGATTAAATTATTTGATTAAATTGACCCATGAGTAATTGATCGTAAAAATATTTTCAGCAATTCAAATGTTGAAGGATAAACAACCAGGTACCTTTGTGATCAGGGACAGTAACTCATTCCCTGGAGCTTTTGGCTTGGCCCTCAAAGTGGCCACAATCCCACCTAATGTTCAGGCCAAGCCTTCAGGTAACAGTTACCTGTTTAAAACTACTTGTCACTGAAATTGTATTAAAAAGTTTAAAAACAAATATTTCATGACCTCCTAAACTAAGTCATCACACAATTTCTCATTTGTCTATACTAGTCTTATTCTTTTCCACTATACATTCTATCTTAATATCATTTCATTATTCCATTGTTACTATTGTCTTTAATATTTAAATGCTATTCCATCAATAAGTCACTTTTATAATCTATATATATAATTCTCTTCTGGGAGACGCTAGAAAACAAGCTGTAAGCGCGCTCCCTACCTCCCCACCCCTACATGGTCTGGTGAGCTGTGGTTCACTCTAAATGTTTACAAGCAGAGCCGGGTTTAGTGACGACTATTAGGGGCAGATAATTTAGTTTGAAACAATTTTAAACGTAAGGGGGGGGGAGTAACTAAGTGGAGTTTACTGTAACGGAGGGGGGGGGAGGAGGGGGTGGGGGGGGGGGGGGTTATCGTCCTTAATGAGCTACTTATAGTGTTTTAAAGAAAAATTGTCAGTGGCAGCATTGGTACTGTTGAATTCACAAATTATGAATTACTGAAAAGTAGAAAAAACAACAACTAAATAGCGGCGTATGATATGCTGCGGGTCGGCTCATTGTTAATAAAAGCAAATGTAACTGTTATAAAATAAACTTTATTATTATTATTATTTATATCATTATATATAATATTATTATCTCTCATTAATTAACCCCCTTGATATCATTTACCTGTGAAGCTTGTCCTATGTTTCAGACAGAATTATTATTGTTGTAGTGTAGACTAATTTTTCCAACATTTTTTTCTGCAGGTGATCCACTAGCAGATTTAGTTAGACATTTTCTAATTGAGCCAACACCTAAAGGTGTCAGATTGCGAGGATGTAGTAATGAGCCAGTATTTGGTAAGAATATTTTCATACTTTTTTATTTGAAATATTAAAACTGTTGCTCTAATAAATTGTTTTTACGTTTACAATATTTTGGTGACTTATTTACATCTCTATAGCCTTTTTATAAATCAACCTTTTTGTTAATCATTTGTTAAGGTTTTTCTTTTTTCTTTTTTTTTCTTTTTACAAATGGTCAAAATATCCACTCTTTTTATTTCATAAACAGTAGGCCTAAAGAATTTGACATTTATATAAGCCTATAACACTATGACTTTTTCACCTAACAGGTAGTTTGGCAGCCCTTGTGTATCAACATTCTATCACACCTTTAGCCTTACCTTGCAAACTTGCATTACCTGAAGCAGGTATGTCTATCATTTTAAACCACTTTTTTTATCAACTTTTTCATAAAGTTTTTAATTGTATTGAAAAATGCTTTTTTTTAACTTTTTCGTCAAGTTTTAAATTGCTTTGAAATGCTTTTTTTTAAAAACTTTTTCGTCAAGTTTTAAATTGCTTTGAATAATGCTTTTTTTAAAAACTTTTTCGTCAAGTTTTAAATTGTTTTGAATAATGCTTTTGTCAAAATACATTTTATCTACAGATGTCATTGATGGACTTATGACACCAGAATCTCCGTTGAGCAGTACTGAACTCAACTCAGCAGCAACATTGCTAGCACAAGGAGCAGGTAGGTTTCTACAAAAATAATTCCAGCTTACTATTTTAAAGTGGAAAGTAGACTGTCTATTGTGTTGTATTAACACTAACAGTCCATGCTGTATGGTCTACTACCTGTACTTGGTGAAGATAAATACTATGTCAAATTCATTAATATCCTGTTTGCTTTTTATACAAAATTTATATATACTTATAAACTCAAGGTTTTTTTAAACAATATATACAATATTTGTTGAAAAAAATATGCTGTTTGCTTTCTATACACATTTTTTAAAAAGGTGTATGGGTTGTATAATTCATTTCAAATGCATTCTAAACAATATTTGGTATAGGCCTGCATGTTTTACATATTAGATACTAAATGTATTTGTAGGCCTATTCCATTCAATTAAATATTCTATAAATTAACCATTTTTTTATTTTATTTGTTCCTTTATTGTCTCCCCAGCCTGCAATGTGATTTATATCAATTCAGTTGACATGGAGTCACTGACAGGACCCCAGGCAGTGGCTAAAGCTGTCAAGATGACATTTGACAATGTCGTATCAGGGAGGACAACTATGGTTCATTTTAAAGTGTCCAGCCAGGGTATAACTCTCACAGACAACAACAGGAAGTGAGTTGATTCAGTGGCTATTTATTACTTCAGTTTATGTCAAGTCTATCAAATATAAGACTTCTATTAAAACACTGGCCTGGCTATACAAGATTGTTCAATACAAGTTTTGCTTTTATTAGTAGGGCTTCTGTATTATTGCCTGGGTAAAATTTATAATATACATTATATAAACATATATACAAGCAACAATTTAGCTTTCAAGTTTTCTCGTGGAAATTTTCATAAATACCAAATTATCTTATAAAAACGTTTGGAGAAAAGTCATAATTAATGTTGTAGAAATATGCAAAATGCTTGCACTAATTAAATGTTTTTCCTTGATAAGATTGTTCTTCAGACGCCACTACCCTGTGAGTGCAGTGACTTACTGTGGAATGGATCCACAAGACAGAAGGTTTGTAGAAAAACAAGCTTACAGCTGACATCCTTGCATATTTAAACATTGTTTTTTGTTAACATTATTACCATTTTCTTACAACTTATATTATTTTATCTTAACTGTTCTCTAAGCATGTGAATTCAAGATGAACATTAACATTAATTTACATAGATGACTGCACTTTTATTCTGATTTTTCAGATGGAAAAGAGAATTGGATGCCCCAGGTTCACAGGGGGATGCTAGGTAATTTACACTTTTTAGTCTTTATGAGTATAAATTTTCTCACATTAAGTTGAAACATTTTCACCATTAATTTTGGGATTAAGTTTTCTTACATAAAATAATACTAAGTTTAATTTTTTTTTTTTTACCTTTGTATTTTTAATTAGGAAAACTTATAATATTAGCTACAATAGAGCTACAAAATCTAATTTAAAAAGTTTTAATAGGCTCCAACTTGTATTGAAATTTTCAGATTTTAATGCAATTATTTTTCAATTTTCCAGATTATTTGGATTTGTTGCCAGAAAACAAGGCTCTTCCAATGAAAACTCATGTCACATTTTTGCTGAACTTGACCCTGAGCAACCAGCTTCAGCCATAGTTAATTTTGTAACGAAAGTCATGATTGGTCAGAGCAAAGTGAAATCATAGGGAAATAGATGATGAAATAGATTTGAAACAATTTTTCACCTCATTATCTGCCTACATAATTCATCCATCTTTGAACCATCTCTGATATCTAAACTACAAAATGATACCATGCGAACCGGATGTTTTGAGAGATTTTTTTTTCTTCACCGTAATAGCCTCTACTAGCCCATTCATATGTAGTCATTGGTTAAAACTATTCGTGCTGGCCTATTATTTTTGTGGACATTACCTGTAAACCAAATGACTCATTTCTGCTACAGTTATATCAATTCTTATATTAATTTATACATTGGTTGTAATTGTTGTGCATTGCTTCGGTCTTGTGCTGACTTATACGAGTAACATGTTTACCTAAATAATTGTACATTTTATGTTTTTAACTTCGTATTCTAACAACTGTGTTTAGTGATCTTGGACAGTAAATAGTGCTTGTACATAGATCTACTTTTTGGATCGTTAGATAGTTGAGTAGATCGTTGTCATTCTGACAGTTAAATTTTATCAGTGGCTGTTATTTTAATTGTAATTTTTAAAAATCGGAAGAGTTTTAACATGTGTATTTTTTTTTAAAAGGGCAATTTGCATTAAATACATTTTCATTTACATAAATATACAATAACATATTTCAAGTATTTATTACTGTTTATGTAGAACAACAATTGTAATTTTGCAATTTAAAATTATTTTTTTTATATTTAAAACTACAAGTTTTTGAGCATGATGCAAAGTCATATAAAATTTGTGCATGATTGTATGACTAGCATTTCATAGCTCATAAGATTTCTTGTTTTGTGTCTCAGTTAGATGAAATGGTGTACATGACATATATAGTCTGGCTGTGGTGGGCTGATGTACATTACTTATTTCTGTTATACAATTTCACTTGTATTTATCTGATGTTAAGCTACATCTAGAAGGCTTTTTTTTTTTTTAAATTCTTTTAACAAACATTTTAATGAGCTCCGGTGTGAAGACTTTATTTTAAACTTAATTACAGCTCATTGTTGATTTGGAGAAAATATTCAACATGTTGGAGAAAGAGCCTTTATAGAGATTAATTTATATATCTCGAATATTATTTTTTAGAATATTATTTTTTAACAGCTTAATTTTATGATTATGCAGATATATATTGTAACATTAAATATTTAATATATAAATTATACGATGAAAAGTTAGTCTCAAGATATTCATGTAATTATTTTTTTAAAAACGTTTTTGACTATTTGTATTCAATTTATTTACCCTGTTTCAGGCACATCATAATTATGACTTTTTTGTTAGGTTTTTTTAAAGGTAGATTTAAATAATTTGGCCGTAGCACCCTTTTTTCAACAAGTTTATTGATTCCTGTTATGTTTTTATCATTTTATAAACATTTCTTTTTTCTCCACTTGTGTATAGAGAGAGATTGTTCATCTATCTGTGTTTTTATTACCTGTAAAGAAAACTAAACATAAAAGCAATGCCACGTCTCCACAATCTTGGTGCTATTTTGGTCCTTTGGCTGTTTGTGTGTTTGTTTTTGCTAGTGAAACGTACTGGTTATGTTGTAGTCTCCTGGTTTTTTTTGGAAGGGTATATTAAGGACAATGGATTGCAGTACCATTATATTTGGACGGATAAAATTTTTAACTAACTTGGTATGAATGGTGGCGTTTTTTTTTAATTGTTTTTAAAACTAGCCCAAAATGTTTGAATGGCAGTTGGAGCTAACCACACTGCCAGTTGATGACCACAGGTGTGCTGAGGGGGTTACATCATGCAGTATACATCTATGGTTTTGTCTGTGTAGTAGGTTCGTCTTGGAGACGTGATTACAGCATTGTGATATACCAGGATCTATTTGTTTTAACAATGTACGTTTGCTACTGGAAGCTATAGTTATGTGTAAACAAATGTTTAGTCTAGTTACAAATACACTGTGAACCATAGCTAATGTTTCTTGTTTTGAAATAAATTTTAACTTTTTTTTTTCAACTTGAAATTGATGTCAACTAAACTGTGCTGCATATTCCTAGGACATAGTTGCCCTCAAATATACGCATATTATTTTAACGTATATTAATCCTGTACAAATATTGTATACCGCTCTCAACACATATAATAGTGCATGGGTTTTTTTTTGTGTTGAAAAGAATGCTTTATTTTTAAGAACAATTACTTTGTAGTTTCTGACACCCCCTTTAGGCCACCTCAGTTATACAATCCTTCACATTTAGTAAGGTTATAATAATTTATTTTAGATGTACATTTTTTTATTTCTGTGAAAGAAAATATTTTTGCCAGTTCTTTTTAGGTGCCTTGATTTGAAAGTGCTAAAATATTTTGTATTTTTTTTTTCATTTATGCAAGAACATAAAAAGATATTTTTTAAATAGTCCAAACACAAGACTAGATCGCAAACACCACACAGACCACTTTCATACATGATGCTTGTTTTCACTCTAAAAATATATCACACCCTTTCTTCAGCTGATTAGTTTGTAAAGTTGTCTAAATAAACATGTTTATGCATGGTCCATTTTGTTTTATTTTGTTTTTAGTTGTCACTAATACACCTAAGTTTTTGAACATTTGACATGTTGCAGTAGCACATAATTGTTTAGAGAGAATCAATAATTTGACACATTAAAAAAGCAATAAAACAATTTTATTACAGACAACAAAAATATTATGCAAACAAATAAAATGCAAGTACAACATTCTGTTTTTTTAACCAACAGATAAGAAATGTAAAATTTTGCACAATCCAAAGTTATTAAAATAAACTTTTCTCACATTTTGATTATGTAAAAAAATATGTATAAATGATAAAGAGTAAGTAACACCATTTTGGTCCCAATTGAGTATAATAAAATAAATGAATTTAATTCAAATAAAATTTAGGGACTAGGAAGCACAGTGATCACTGAATTTTTTAATCACAGTAAAAATGTTTTATTTTTTTTTACATCTTTCTTTGTAAAAATCAAATCAACAAAGGTTCTTTTAAATCCATGAAAATAGTTGGCTCTAAAAAAAATAAGAAAGAATATTTTGTATTATCTACTGTAGGAAATACATCAAAACGAATTAGAGTCCTTAAAAAAGAATTAAAAAATATAGATCAATAAACCCAGTCGCCTAGAAAAAATTTACAGCAAAAAAATGAATATCACATTAGAGGTTGAGATTACTACAGAGTAGAAACAAACAACAATACAGGTAATAGAAAATAAACCCTGTGTTATAGTTGTGATGAAACATACCATTTTCATGCAATTAATATCATGTAAGAATTGCACTAAAAATTTTTTGAAAAAAATTGCTCTATAAAGCAAAACTTATATCTCTATTTTAATATTTAAAAATTTATCAAATAAGTAGACAAAGTTAAAAATGTCAAATTTTCCTATTGAGAATTAGTTGATAGCCATCTGGAGTTGTATAAACTGTTTATAATCTCAATGCATTTACATTTCATAAATATAAAATAAAGAGCTTTCAATACAACCAAATAAGGAGAACCATGACACATAATCAGGCTCAGGGAAATAATAAAAGCTGTGGTCCATCTTTAAAAAAAATATTTTCATCTCGAAATTAAAATGTATCACAACCACTTGGAACTTAATTTTGCCACAGAAAAACTTTAACCACAAGACAAGATTAAACTACAGAAAAAACCTTGACTTTGAATTCTATAACTAGATTGCAGTTTTAATCTTTTTTGGCGTCACTGAATTCTTTAGTCAAGGGGTCTGACTTGACTAATGTAACAGTGTCCGCCTCCATGTCCAGTGCACGGCTTGATGATCCATTCTTGTAAAAGTAGGCCATGACTATGAATAACAGAGTGTCCAGCGCCATCAGACCAGCAAACATGAAGAATTCAGAAGACTGGAAGTCAATTTCAAAGTCGATGTTAAATCAGAAGACTACATCAGTTTAACCATAATCAATTTTAATTATACAACATTATCATATTTTGTACTTAGCAAAACAGTTTTCTATTAGTGAATTTTTTTGTAGAAATATTATCTCCCTTTAATATTCTGGATTACACTTTTAATTAAATACTCTCTCCTTAATTATTATGAAACATGTAAATGAATTATTTTTTCCCTTATTAAAGTTATTTTCTAAAAGATAAGTTGCACTAACTTGTGTGGGCATAATTTGAGTTTCTGCTACAATGATGACCACCAGGTCACCAAATGCCACAGTTAAAAGCCAAGCAGCTTGAAGTACTGATTTCATAGAGGGGGGAGCCTGTAAAAAAAATTATTTTTGATACCATTGGTACATTGGTCAAAGAAAAAGCTGTAATTTTTTTTTTTTAATTCATTAATTAAATTTCTATTTGACTTGAGGTTATAAGCGCTGTGTGCAAATATTAAAATACATATTTTAAATTAAGGTCCGTGCCCTATGTTATTTAAAAAAAGTAATACGCAGATCTAGAAATTACATAAGTCTACCTACCTGACTGTAAGCAAACGATAAGCCAGTAATGGAGAACAAAATTTCCCCAATGGTGATCAAAACATACTGAGGTATCATCCAGGCCATAGTAAGGTCATTCTCTCTGACAGAAGTAAATATTAGGGCAGAAACCTGGTGTAGCCACGCAATATATTAAGTTATGAAAACAGTGAAACCTGGCACAACAACAGGACAATAGGTTACAAATGCAAACAAATCTGACAAAACAAGACATAAAACAATACAAAATAATACATTTGGTTACAAAATTACAGAAACCTAGCATAAAAACAGGACAATAGGTTACAAATTCTGAGAAATCTGGCAAAACAAGACATAAACCAATGCAAAATAATTACAAAATTACAGAAAACTGACACAACAATATATTATACTTAGTTACAGAGTCACAGCTATGGTTTCAGTTAAACTGAGATTTTTTTTTTAAATGTAAAAATAAACTTAATCATGCTTGCTTTTTAACTTCTAGGTATAAAGGGCAAAATGAATTAGAGTTAATTCCTCTACAGATCAAAGGAGTATGAAGTAATCTTTATTTTCTATGATGTAAGTCTAGACCCATCAAAGCTGAATGGAAACAAGGTCACCTTTTGCAATTACTCCATATACTTCTTTACTATCTAACTGCTGGAACTAAGTTTATGATAATTAAATCCATACGATTTTAAGATCTGTTATTAAATACATTAAACAATAATATTATTTCATAGTTATTTTACACAGTTACTGCTAGTAAAATAATTATCCTAGATTAATGGTCAGGTTCACAGAATTTATGTTAATGAGAAGAAATGTAATTAGATGTTCAACATGACAACCTGTGTGGGCAGATTTGTTTTTGTCTCTTCAGGTAACAAAACAATAGTCTGAACAGATCCCCCACCAAAACTTAAGACTGGCTCTACAGGGACCAGCTCACTGCTGCTTGCTGTCTTGTGAAACACAAACAACTGGTAGCTGGAGATAGTTACACACATTGTTACATGAAATATTTCACACATGTTATGTGTAGTAAAATTTCTATAGAATACCTCACTTTAATTTTAATCACCTAAGTTTAAGTACATTCTCTTTCTAGACCTGACAATCTATCAGAGAGGTATGTGATTAATTGGTCTTTATAAATATGGAATAGGAAGGAGTCATTGAATTGCCAGAACAATAACCTTTGGCCAAGGGATATTTTATAGACCAAAATCAAGAACCACTAAACTCCAGAATTTTGGTAATAGTAAATTCAACAGCTCATCCACACCATGTAACTGACCCTTGAGTAACAATATAACTTATATTTTCTGTAAATATAAATAGAAAGTTTTTTTAATTTCTCTTGTTAGATTTTTGGTAGAAAATTACTGTAAAAAAACAATATATAAAATTGTATCTCTGAATTTGGATAAAAAGTTGCATTCACTAATTAAATTAACACAAGATTAAGGTACCCTGTCTTTGACCATGACAATGAGAACTATCAGTAGCCTTTACATGCCCCTGAATCATGTCAAGAACCCATCAAAGCTAGGAAAACTCAAGACATCCTTCATACCCTAGGAACTAAACTTTAAACTTATGTGTAGGAAATCATATGCTCTATCTCTGGACCACACCATCCCACAAACAGAGCATTTGAAGATGAGGATGCAACAAAGAAAAAAAAACTTACTGCCCGGGCTCAACTGAAGTAAAATCAGAATCCCCATCATCGTGGAGGGAAATGTTCAAGCTCCCTGGGATGATGGAAACATTGTTTTTCTGTTGGCTGAAGATGACTGTAGTGTTGGCTTCTACTGGGAAGTTGGCTATCAGGCTGAAACAAGTAATCATTCAAATCTCAACTACATACAATTTATCAGGCTGAAACAAATAATCATTCAAATCTCAACTACATACAATTTATCAGGCTGAAACAAATAATCATTCAAATCTCCACTACATACAATTTATCAGGCTGAAACAAATAATCATTCAAATCTCAACTACATACAATTTATCAGGCTGAAACAAATAATCATTCAAATCTCAACTACATACAATTTACAGACTTTATTACAATTTTTTAAAACTTTTCATAATATATTAGTCATACCACATCATCAAAAAAAATTGTTAAAAAACTTCAATTTCTTTTAATGTAAAATAAAGTACAAGAGAATTTAACCTTTACTTATACCCCTATGGATACACCTCTAAGTTTTATAAAAGGTAATATTAAACTATTTTGTTTCTAATTCTCAAAGTCACTGATACTTAGATAATTTAAACCTCATTACGATTTATTACCTGACAATAGCTTTTCCATCCATATCTTTCTTCCTTTTGTCTTCAAACTAACAATGTTAGATAAAGAATAAATTAAACAGAGGTTTTGTTAGAATCAATGTAGTAAGGTAATAAATACTACATAGCGAGGGTTTTTTAATTTAAGCTATTGTAGCTTGTCAAAGCATTGGTGGTAAGATAGGGGTTAATTTTAAAAAAGGGGATATAATACACTAGGTATGATTTATTAGGAAATGATTGGATATGTACGGCATTTGTGTGTTGTCATGAAGAGTAAAAACAAAATATATTTTATTTAAATAACCATCCTTATCAATACATCTCAAAAACTGAAGAAATAATTGCAAAGTACCAATGGATATTGGTATATGAAAGTTGAAAGACAATCAAGTGATTTAATGTTGTAGTTAGCTATTTTCATGTAAAAAAAAAAAGTAAAAACAATTTTTTAAACCTGGTGCAAATGTATGTTTCTCTTTTTTTATTTTGAATCTGATCCAACCCAAACCAAAATTGTATAGATCTAGTTTTAATATAGTAGCTAAAGAAGATTCATTCTCTCTGTTTTGGTGTCTACATAAACTATAAAAAAAAAACTTTTTTTTTTAATTAATAAAAGAACTAATAAACCTATCAACCTATCATGATGTTTAGTGTGTTGATATAGAATATTGCTAAAAAGTCACCTGTAAAATAGTAAGTCTGTCACTGTCTGAAGCATCCACTTTGATGATAGCTCTGTAAGCTATGTGTTTTTCTGTGGTCAGCAGAAGTTGAGTAGGTTTACCACTGGGTTCACAGTTGATAGACAAGGTGTAGTTACCTGGGCTAAACAGGATGTACGATGATGCCTGAGAAAAAAATATTTTCAAAACTTTAAGCAAAGTTTTTTATAAACTTTTTTATTGGCAATTTTTTTTTTTTGCTTCAGAAAATGTATTTAAGTTTTAGAGAATGTGCTTTTACATATATCTCTATCTATATACTATATGCACTGTAGTGTGTTTACTAGGGATTTACCCTTCTTGTACTCCTGTATGGTGTGTGGAATTGACAATAATTTACACAAGTCCAATTCACAGATATATTACAGTTTCTTTATTTGCACATATAAACTCCTACTCCTAACTCTACTGTACACACACTACTTCTACTATCTCAACTATACCCTAACTAATCTTAAGCCCTACTCAACTATCTCCTAACAATATCTATCTACAACTGATTTCTAACATGACTGTTCGCTGCACATTCCAATAACCAACTCCTAATGCTATCGCTTCAATGGTCAGCTGACCATCTCACATCTCATTGGTTTACTACCAATTATACCTAATCTACCTAACTCAGCTGCTTGACATCTGGCTATTGTACATTTTCTTCTTTCTGTTTGACTTATTTAATCTAGTCTAACAAGGTCATCAAAATGTGCATGAACAAATATTAGTTTGTAAAAACTGTTGAGTTAAAATAAATGAGTGAAATATTTATATATAGATTAAGCACAGAACCTTACCTCATGTGCTGGAACTGTAGCAATATAAAAACTTGACTTGATGCTAACAGGGCAATTGGCAGTGTTGATGAAGGTTACAGCACTATTTCCATCCAAGTGAGGGTCTTTAGCACTCTGGAAATGTGATTTTATTGTGGGATCAATATCCTCATGTTTATACGGTTAAAAATTACTTTGACATAACAGGAAAAACCAAAACACAAGCGATGGGGTGTTTTGCAAAATGTGAGATGCTTAGAAACATAAAACAAAAACTAAAAATAAAATGAGAAAAAAGATGTTTCTAGGATGTTCTTGTTTTTATCTATACAACATTTGATTCCTGATTCTTTCATTTTTTTTTTAAAAATTTTTTAAAACTAGTGCGTAGGTGAAAAGCTTTTTATAAAAAGATGATTCTAAGTAATCAAACTGTTCCTTACATCCATTTTAAGCTGAACACAACCAGCAACGATAAAAGCAAGACAAGACAGGGCCATCCCTGCCGACATACGTTGTAGAGGTCTGTAGATGAAAATATAAATATTTAGAATACAATTTAACATTTCACAAGAAATAAAGCTGAAATTCCACACACTTTCACTCTTTCTAGCATATGTTACACTAGAGTACAAATATCTTTTTTCTTCTTCTTTAATCTTAATTGTTATGTTATGTATTTCCTCCAACACAATGTAAGTTTTACGTAGTGTGCCAAAGTATCAACTCGTCTGCCAAAGAGGCCGTTGATTTCGGTTTCATCCTGCTTTTTTTTTTTTTGGATCCATCCAAGAACTAACTAGCAGCAACAACGCAGAAGTTTATTTTGGAGTTGTCTCTCCTACAGCTATCAAGCATCATTTGCCCAGGGGTTCAAACTTGGGGTTGTTCTGTTTAATAATGATGAGCTTAACTGACTCAACCACGCAGACTCCCAAATATGTATATAATTCTTTAAATTTTGAAACTTCGTAATAGACTGTCATCAATTACTAGGAGCGCAGAATACAAGAAATAGTTTTATTAAACTACTGAATAGGCCTACACTAAAGAACAGGCTTATAAATACAACAATCTCAATCTATAATCTACAGTTGGTCAGTGAGTCAGTGTCCTATGTATATGAAAACATCCAAGCTGGCTTATAGTGGGGTTAAGACCATAACAAGTGAGCTTATCAACTCCAGAAGCAGGGCTGACTTGTGAAGTCTAATCCAAGTTTAAACTAGATTATCAATGACTATAACAACCTGTTTGGAATGTGAATCTTGGTAAGACAAGGGTAGACCAATTTGTCAAAGACAGGAATCAGGATGAGGATAAGAAGTGGGTTCAAAACCTGCATCTGATCAGGTTTTATTCTCCCCAAACTGCCCTGTAAAATAAATAATTATAATCTTAAAATAATTAAACATTCAGTTGTTCTTTTGTTTTTTTTTGGAAATAGACACATTTTTGAACTATCAGACAGAACACTGCTGGCTTAAAACAAGGCTTTAAATTAAAATGAAGGCTACTTTTGTGTAGAGCATATGATATAAACCTATTATATATAGACTTATACTGGTGACTATAACCCAAAACGTTAATGTTGACTATTTAACACCGTAGTTTATTTAGTGAAACTGTTTATAAATTGATAATTTACATGCATTCAATACATAAAATTGTACTACTCTGCTTGATTTTGTCTCACAAAGACTTTAGTGAAAATGTTTGTTATATGGTATATTTTAATCAAGGTTTTTTTTTTAAATTTGTTTAGAAATAAACCAAACATATTGCTTAAGACACACTTGCTAGAAGTTTAAATATATATTATTTGTTAGGTTTCTCACCCAAACAAATACTTCTACTTACCACTTCCCCATTCATTTCTACAGCTTGTAAAGTCCATCTTGACCCCTGAAATTTAAATAAATGTGTGGATGTATACAGGCATTATTATTCAATTGAGCCTCTATAAAATGCACATAGATATAATGAAGAGGAAGGTGTGTGAACATACAAATTTTAAAACACAAAGAAACAATTGAAATAACACAAAAATATCAAACAATCACCTTTCAGCAGAGAACTAAACAATGAGGCCTGAAAAAATAAGAAGGGGCTGGGTATAACTATAAAGACTGATCACTACCTGCAACAGTATGTCAATGACTAGAGGCTGTCTAACCACATTTATTCTGTTTCTCATATTTGGGTTTAACCTGCTAAAGCACTGCTCATTGGCCAGGCAGACTACTGCAGGATAAAGAATCAAGCATTTCACTCACAAATGTTACTAGACGCTACACATGTGGGTTTCAGCCCATCAACCATATCACCTGGTTTAGATATGAGGGGCAGTATGATCAGGAACAACCAATGGTCTTGAGCAGAGGTAAACTAAGTCCTGACATTTGGTTAGCAAGAGTGCATTCAACTAGTAGAGTCATGGGCTTAAGTTCCTGATCTTAAGATAGAGATAGATATATTCTATACAAATAGACCTTACAGAGCAGCTGAAGTGGATTTGTTTCTAAATAATTGTTTGGGCTGTTGTAAGTCCAGACGTTTTTACTTATCCAACTTAAGTCAGGTACCACATAGACCTGCTCTTTAACTACATGTGAGAAGATTAATGAATCAGATGTGCAGTGAGAACAAAAATTTGAAATGCAGTTTAACTATAAAAAAAATTTCAATTTATTCAATTTTAATTAATAATGGTAATGACAGTAGGTACATAGGCCTTTTTCACACTAGCGGTTTGTTTTTTACAAACCAGGTCTATTCATTAAACAAGAAGTAATTGCCCCATCACTGACTAACTATAAAATTGTGCGAAACATACTGCGATTTGAGCATTCATTATCTTATACATCTTATCTTTAGTTTCAGCCTTATAGCAACTCTTTTATAAAGCAAACTTAAGTGTTATATGTGCACTAGATATATTTAAACTAAGAAATGATTGGCTTACCAATTAAATGAGATTTAATAAATCTTTAGAGTTGAGTTTTATACACATTATTCAGACATTCAAATGAGACAAGGCAAAACAAGCATGAAGACACAATTTGTGTATGCTGGTATTCTATTTGTAGCATGTTATTGTTCAGGTACTGTATGGTGCTTACATTTTTTTCATCAGAGTAAATTAAAATGGCAGTATTAGTAGTGTACATCCTTGTCAACTAAAGTAAGATGTTCATAATTGGTTGGGCTTGGATTTAGGGTACGTAGGTCCTATACTTGTTGGCAGAGGCTACGATAACAAATAAAATCCAGTGACCAATTAATTTATAATTATCAAGCTTGCCGATTCCCACAATACCGCACTGAAATAGCATACTCCTTGCCATATAAAAAAAACCACCTTATTGGTTATTTATCATTGATTAAGTAATTTGATATTATTACAGCATCAAAAATACTATTTGAAGCAACACCAGAAGCAATAGCTCCATACCTTTCTAAAACGTTAACTCTGAGATGCTCCGTGGAGACTGAAACTGAAACGGTTATTGGACGAAGACATGCAGCAAAACGCGTGACGGAAACTGTGACGTCACATGCCGACGTCAACCACGTGACGTCAATTATCGTCACAAGGGTCTCAGCCGGAAGTGATCAGAACGTCACAGTTGCTACAATGTCATCGTACGAGCCGGCGAGTGCAAAAGTTGACGGTGACAAGGTCAGGGTTACAGGCACGACAGAGCCATCAACAACCTCAGGAGAAAAGGGGTACCTGGAACTGACATGGACGCATCCCTTGCAAGACCAAGCTGGCGTCTATGTGTGTGAAGTGTTCGCACTGAACTCCAATCTTCACCCCGAGGCTTTGAGAGTATCAGTGAACATCGAAATTAATGATGTCGGTATACCCGAACTCATCAACTTTATTTCAGAGAACGACAGAAAAATAGAGACTCTTCAAAGTCAGCTTGACCAATACAGATCTCAAATAGGACCGCTAGACAATGGAACACAAAGTCTAACAGATCAAAATAAGGTAAAATTTGACGCCATAGGAGCTGATATTTCAAATTTAAAGATGGCCGCCAACAACTTGACGAATCGAAACATCCAGATGGGAAACATCACGTGCACGTCAAGCAGCAGCGTGATGATCACATTTGACCGACCCTATGATTCTCCACCCGCTGTATTTTTAGCATTTGACAGCTTGGCGTTATACCAAGACATAGTCATCTCTCCACGCTCCATAAACATACAAGAGAATGGATTCACTGTCTCGTGTACCTGGAACTCCTATACACGTGCATACGGTGTGGGCTGGTTAGCCCTCAACCTGAATACATAAACGTATATTTTACTAATACTACGATATTATTTGATGTCGTTAATGTAGTAAATGAGAAAATAAACTTCAAAAAATTTTAGGAATTTAAGCTGTTTTTTTTTCTATAATTGTACAGGAAATGTATGTCTGTATTTAAATTCTTTAAGTCTAAATTAAAAGCAAACAAATTGGATTTAAAAGACAAATGTTTCTTTTTCTATTGCATGGTACATTGTATTACACATTGATATTTCGTCATTATACTGATATAACGGAATAATGATATAATATTAGTAATATTCCAAGTAATAAATCACTATTTTCCTATTTGATAAGTCTAATACTATGCAAGATATTGTACACACATGTAATAAAAAGCAGGTCTCCCTCAATCCAATTGAAATTTTCATTGTGCATTTTTCTCCACCAAAGCCTAAATTTTACGCCATGGTAAGAAAAAATGAAGGAACGGTAAAATACCAGCAAATAAAAACTCTAATAGAGTACAGCACCGTTCCTGGAGGCCCATCGAGATTTGCTTCCTCCGGGGGGCCGGTAGACCGGCAGGCCAGTCCTCCCCTGGACACAACCCCCTCCCACATTTATTATCACTACCCCTTCCCATTTGTTGGTGTGCAGGGGGTTGTATTTTAGCAGCGCGCGATGTGAAACTTCTCACACCCCCAAACGTCGATCAGCTGCTTGTGGCTTGTGTTAATTTTGTGTCTGATTACTTAATTTTTTAAAGCTCCGGTATATTCAGTCATTGTGATAGTCACGTGTAGATGCGCAGATGTTGGGGGGGCGAATGAGATACAACTTTTACACCCTACATTTGAGGTGAGGTGCTGGGATCTACTGAGCTTGGGTTTGTTGTCCGGTCTATCTGTTAAGTAGGCTACGTGAGCAGGGCATTACTCCCCCTTTCCCCCCCCCCCCCCTGAGATGAATCAGGCAAACATCCATTCGGCCATTTGTCGTATTCGGGTAAACATGCATTAGGGAAAACATCTATTTGGGCAAACGGCCTTCGTGAAAAATATGCATACGGGAAAGTATCTTTAAAGCATTTATAGTTCATCTGCGTGTATGGCTAAGGCGTTTACAAGGTTCAGCCACAATACATTTAATAGGCTAGACTATGAAGATATAGGCCTATATGCTATAATTAAATTCTGGAATGATTGTGTAAATGTAGTAGGGTTTAAGTAAAAACAAAAATTCGATGTAACCTACATTCATTCACCGAAGGAGTGTCGGATAAGAACGCCTACTAACGTCTTTCTTTTAAACAATTATATCTTTCTTTTAAATAATGACAGTGCATTATGTGTTTTTAAGCAACTGATTTAAATTATTTGAAAAAAAAAATTGAATGTGTCCGAGGAAGTTACTTGCTTGTTATCTTAAAAACCTTATCAGTATTACTTTAAATAACACCTTTTATAGGCAATTTTAAACAAATCCAGTGCGACTGTTTTTTAATCGGATAAGAATTTTCTTTCGTTTAGAGAAAGTGTAATTTAAAAATGATTTTTTTTAGTTGATGACACGCATGTAAGGAAAAAATCGACATTTGTATTTTCTATCGAACATAGAACATCTACAACAATTAAAAGAACGCAAGCAAGTTGAGTAAAGTATTTTTAAAATGAAGTCACTGCTGATTTTGTTTTTCATATGTTTTATTTCATGTTTAGGTAATATGTTTTATAATACTTTAGTGTACAGTCAAAGTTAGTTTATTTTAGTTTCATTTGCACATTATATTTTACATTTTAATGTAGAATTGTACGTCTAACTATTTCATGTAACTGGGCAGTGCTAATTAAAATAATGCGCTACGTTTATGATTAACTTAATTATAAAGACCATATTACTTGTCATGCTGTATTTACAGTTCAATACTGGCATATTAAATAAATAGTTGTCTTCGGAAGGAATTTTTTTAAGCGATTTTCATTTGATTGTGTTTGTATTCTACCTTGGACGATATGTTAAAAAATATTACTATAACAAGGAGACGGTGTGTTTGGGTGGTAAAGCGTTGCTTACCAGAAAGTATCGAGTTCGGATCTCGCAATCGAATCTATTTGACGTCAGAGAGTCAACCCAGCTCAAATGGGTACCTGGCCACACCATCCCTTCATATGTCATAGGCTAGAAACAGATGAGCTCTACTACATCTGCCTTATGGATAGTCAGGTCCAAAAGGAGAACTTTACTTTAATACGTTAAAGGCGATAAGTAAAACCCTGACTATTTGAAGTAGTTCAATTGACTTCGCTGTAGCATAGGCAATACAAATAAACGTATTAACTAACATTTGAATGAAATGTATTTCAGCTTCTAGAATTGTTTTTTAAAGCGACGCCAGCAAAAATTGTACCAGTCCTAACAAAAACAATCAAATTAAGATGCTCCGCGATGACGGACACAGAGTATATCGTTGGCAGACGAGACTTGGAGAAACGCGACACGGAGACTGTGACGTCACATGCCGATGTCAACCACGTGACGTCAATCATCGTCACCAGAGTCTCGACAGAAGGTGCGCAGAACGTCACAGTGGCTACGGTGTCGTCGTTCGAGCCGGCGAGTGCAAAAGTTGACGGTGACAAGCTCAAGGTTACAGGCACGACAGAGCCATCAACAACATCAGGAGAAAAGGGGTACCTGGAGCTGACATGGACGCATCCCTTGCAAGACCAAGCTGGCGTCTATGTGTGTGAAGTGTTCGCATTGAACTCCAACCTTCACCCCGAGGCTTTGTCGGTGTCCGTTAAAGTAGATATCGAGGATGCTACGATTCCAGATTTAATCCATTATATCTCGGAAAACGACAGAAAAATTGAAAATCTTCAGAATCAAATTGACGAGTTTAAATTCAAGATAGGCTTTTTGGACAACGATGCGCAAAGTCTTACAGATCAATATAAAGTTAAGTTTGACGCTATTGCAACCGATATAGCTAACTTGAAGATGGCCGCTAACAACCTGACCAATCAGAACATCCAGATGGGAAACATCACGTGCCACTCCAGCAACTCTGATGTGTCAGTTAAGTTTGATACACCTTACGTGTCAACACCTACTGTGTTCATCGCCATCAACGAACTGAGTGGAAGTGTTTACAATAGTTACTCTTTCAGTCCGTATGTCTCTAAATTGGAACGAGCTGAATTTATCCTCAGATGTTCATCAAGTTCAAATGGTTTTGGTGTTAGTTGGATTGCTTTGGACATAGATAACGATATAACTATTTTAAATTAAATTAACAAACTGTTTTAATGTAATAAAATAGTAAACTGTTACTTGAATTTAGTTTGAGTTGAAACGTGTGTGGACGTTAAAACTTAATAGTTAAAAATAAAATGTAAGAAAATTTTTCGTCGTATTTAATGCAAAACTAATGGTGGCTGAATGCTAAAACAAAAGGGTTAATCAGGTCTACGAAACGGGATTTAGAAAGCTGACCTATATTTTAGTTTAACTGGAAATATCGTGAGTACAATAGTGGCCTGCTTATTGCATTTCCCTTACAAACTAAACGTAATACTAAACGTAATAATAAATACGCCACATAAATATAAGAAAAAAAATCGACAAGTCCAAAGAATCTTAACATGCAATTCCACATGGGATTAGAATAGGTAAAAATGGAGATTTTAATAAAAAATGCATGGAGCAGAACTCAGCAAAGTTGGAGAGATTAAACACAAGAAATGTAGATCTGTTTGTTGTAAGGCCTAAAACCTCTTTCTGAGTTAATAATAGCAAGAACAAAATAATTTATTAATCGTGAACTAGTTACTAGTGGGTCATATTTTATATATTTTGTTGATGTGTATCCCTTGTATGTTTTGTTAAAAGATTGTAAATGTATTGTTTGAAAATTATGTACGAACATTAATTTGAAACATAAAATCGTCAGGGTTTTTTTTTATTCAAACGCTTCATAATAGCACCAGAGTTTGAACGAATTACAGCGATAGTTTCAAAGAACACGATTCTCCTTTATACACATCCGACCTCATTCGACTTAGCCAGAAACAAGATAAGCAAAGTATTTTTAAACTACATGCTGTGGCCATAACACAGGCGACAAAAACAAACGTGTTGCGCCATGTCTGACAACAATATGGCGGCCGTCACAATCTAACAGCTCCTTCAACTCTACGAACCAGACGAGATGAAGATGGTCAGTGTATGCACCGGATTGACGCTCTTGCTGTGTCTGCTTCACATCTCATCAGGTAAGTCGTGAGACAGACATTTTGATAGGAAAATTCGGTCTTCATAGTGTACAGATAATACGATAAGATCTTTCACGTGAGTCTTGTTAAATGTTAACTATTAAATGAGCATTAATGTGGTGAGAATATAAAAGTTTCACGCTTGAGGTAGTGTTTGGTTAAAGATATGGTTTTAGTCAGAATTAAATTAACGTTTGCATGCGAGTTTTCATAAATTGACACAAATCTAATACATTAGCTATTTTCTAATTTGAATGAACAAAGTTTAAATAAACCTCATACATGTTGTTTTAAAGCTTCACAGGTGGCGTTTGTTGCCCAGCCTATGATAATTGACCCGATCCTCACCAGTACTCTGACACTTCGATGTTCCATCACATCCCCGCCTATGTCGACAAGACAGCTGCATGTTGAATGGCCAACCAACCCGCCGCTATCTACCCAAGTCTCACAAGTGTTGTCAGTGGGGATCTTCGCCTTCGACCACAACATCAACCGAAACCAGCTGGTGGCCAGCGTTCGAACGTCGGAGCATGCAAGCATAGAACAGACCTACGCCGGTTTGGTGAGGGTTGAGGGTAGTACAAACACATCACAGACCCCGGGGGAAATGGCGTATCTTCAAGTCCAATGGGACAATCCGTTAGAGGAACAAGCTGTGAGCTATACCTGCGAGGCTTCAATGCTGACGTTGACCGGTCAAACTACGAGCATGAGTAATGTTTTAGAAGTGACATCATCAGACCCGACTATATCAGACTTGGTTAAGTTCATTTCTCAACATAAGCAACAGATTTCTGATCAAGAGAAAAAAATCGCACTTTTACAAGAAGAAAATCAACATCTTAGGCAAGCAATAATTTCTATACAATCCAACGCCAGCCATTATGCTTTAGACGGTGGCGCCATACAACAGCAGATTACAGTGCTGCAACAGAACTTCAGCTCGCAAACACAAGAGCTGCGGGCTAAAGTGGAGGAGATGAAAGGACAAAACATAGAATCTGGCATCGCCGTGTGCCATACCCACTACGTCAGTTTCAAGAGACGCTACCTGGTCAAGCCGACAGTCCTGACCACGTTCGTCAGGCTTGGGTTCACGACCAGTCCCAACAAAGACACGGCAGACACGTTTGTCTTCCAGGTGAATACGGAGAATGTTGACGTCACCGGCTTCAATGTCACGTGCATCAACTCCGGGTACAGCTCTATAGCTGATTTTGTTTGGCTCGCAATAGACAATTAAAATAAATGTCTGTCTTCAGTAATACAAATAAAATCATACATTGAATGATAATATTCTTGCTTACACATACTAGCACTAAGCCCGTTGTGATCAAATAATATATTTTATTTATTATTTATAATGCAATTTCTACTGTTGGACATCAAGCAGTTTAGAAAAAAAGCTCGACTCAGTATACAATTATGAAGATTAAAAATAAATTAGTAAAATTTTTATAGTTTCTCTACGCTGATTCTTCTGAATAAAATATATTAGAAGCAAAAATTACTTTAACAGTGCCTGCGGTTAGAAGATAAGCTATTTTACGTGAAACAAAAAATTAAAACGATTAAAGTGCTCTGAAACAGTAATATAACAAGTGCAGTTCTAGAAAAAATTTTCTCAACATGCAGTACATAAAAATCGTGACTTTAAAGGAAAGGGTGTTTAGGTTATTATAGAAAAAGGTGATTAGGTTTAAAAACGAACGACGTCCGCAAACAAAGAAGTTTGTAATCTACTGTCCTTGTCAAATCTAAAGTTTTAAGCACGGCTAATCATTCTTCTTATCTTTATTGTTAATAAGACTGTCACGGGAAATTACTTAGAAAATGTATTGTTGTTAACATGTGATCATTACAAAAAGTACGAGATAGTTCTTGTAAATAGATAATGCACGCATCTTATCAGTTCAACAACAGAACAGAGCAGATTAGTCATTTTTGAGTAGAGGAAGTCACAAGAGAAGCATATAATAAACAAGAGTTTGAATTTGAAATAATCACCATGAATCTGCACTTGATGTTTACAGTTTTATTCTTGCCTGTCATTTTAACGATTTCAACAGGTAAGATAAAAATAAATATGTCATTAGTTTAAATTTAAAAAAACACCCAAAAGTGGTTCATTTTTTTTTTACATTTATTTTAGCATTACTTATATCGCCGAAAAATATCCTACTTAAAGTTGGTATTTTTTAGTTCACCGAAAAATATCCTACTTAAAGTTGGTATTTTTTAGTTCACCGAAAAAATATCCTACTTAAAGTTGGTATTTTTTAGTCCACCGTGCCAAAACAGTACATTGTATGTTTGTTCTTAGCATCGAGGATGGTATTTGAAGCAAACCCAAGCGTCATCCACCAGATCTTAACCAAAGAGCTCAAGATGCGCTGTGCTATAAAATATCAGTCATGGCAAGTACAACGTCAGCAAAGAGCCGCAACCATGACGTATAGACCAGACACCTCGACAGTAGGCTACGACTTCACTACCACAGAGACACCTAGCAGTACTGGACTGACGTCGTTCGCTTCAAGTGCCCAGGTAGACATTTCTCACGTGACTTCAATCATCATCAATAAAATAAATCCTGCAACAGGCAGTAGAGAAACAGTGGCCAGCGTGACGCCCTTTGACCCGGCCTCGTCTGAAGGACGTTACCAGGAGAACCTGAGAGTAGAGGGCAGCGGTACGACGTCACCTGTCCCAGGTGAGCTGGGTTACCTGCAGCTGACCTGGGACAGCCCTGTGGCAGATCAAGCCGGTACCTACACGTGTGAAGTCTTTGCACTCAACGGTGAAAAACACTCCGTCTATTTGAACGGTTCTATTCACGTTGACGCCACTGAGCCGACCGTTGCGGATCTAGTCAAGTACATTATCATCCACCAGAATCTGGTAGAAGATCTACAAGAAGAAAATCGACAACTACAACATGAACTGATGGACCTAAAGTTTAACATCACTCTGCCTTTATACCACGAGTTAATGAACATAAAACAGTCTATAGAGGAAATGAAGAATACAGTCAATCTACACTCAGCAGAGATAAGCTTTCTAGCTGAAAACTTGCACAATCTGACAACACCTGTAAACGTTACCACAGCAACCCCACTCCAAGTTTCTCCAACGGTACCAGTTGTGTCATAAAACTGGCTGTCAAGATATTGTACTAAAGTTCAGACAGCCTTAAAAATACTGCTCTGGAACTATTTTTTGGAACATGATTTATGTTGTTAGTTATCTTGTTCGATTCATTAAAAATAATGACTTGCTTTATGCTATAAGTGGTATCTAAAAGTAAAAGACAGCAGATTTACTATGATAAGAGCTGCATAAAGTAGTTGTATGTTTAGGCCCAGAATATTTTTTGTGTTTCCATTAAATATAATGAAAATAAAATCCCTGCATTGTTTTAATGTATGAAAAACAAATATTTTTAATAACAGAAAACTATAAAAGAATATCGTGATTATCGTCATTCTTCGTCATTTCTCATGCTTATTGGAACCACACTGCATAACTTTGGATTCTGGTCTAATCTTTTCAGTTCAGTTTAGAATAGAGCCGCTTCTTTAGGTTTGCATTATATTTTTAAAAAAAACAGAATAATAAAGCTATTGATTAATATTATTTTTTTTAATGTTTAAGTAGTTAGTGTTCCTTATCCTTCAGTCATTTCCTCGAGTCACGCAGTGAAAACAGCTAAATGGCATGGGGAAAATCATTTACACGCGTTACAAGCTTAGCGTCGTGTTATTCCATTAAGATAACCAACACTAATGTAGGAACCAATAGTATAGACCAGGATATTTATAAGAATATAGGTGAGGTGTGTACAAGGGCGATACGATGTATCATGCACAATGGGATACATGTCGATACGCCAAGGACAATTAAGCTGACAAAAAAGCAGAACTTGGTGAAAGTAGGTCTTGCATATGGCGACCACAAATAAACAAAATTCTTTTCATAGCTGTTTAGATATTTTAATATAAATGTAACCACACGGAAGATGATTTAAAAATAAACAAATCATGGTCGTCTGTATGACCAATGCCTTGGTTTAGAAACTAACTAAGCTGGAGGCAATTACATTCAAATTTCTTTTAAATATTTTTATTTACATTAAATAATTCTTATCTATCAATATAAACGATATATAATTACTAAACGTATACTTTATGCACAATAAGAACACCCGGACGTCACACTAAAATAGACATAGTAGTACGTGAAAGTAGTTTTGAATAATATTAATACAAAGGTAAATGTTTTTAAAATGTTTAATATATCCCTAACAATCACAATTTTGATCTATAGCTTCTAGAATGCTGTTGGAGTCAAAGCCTGCGATAATCCAGCAACCTCTAACGCAACAACTACAAATCCGATGTTCAGTCAAAGACGAAACTCAACACACGAATCCAGCACTGTCTAGATCTTTTGAAAAACGCGATGCACCAACAGCCTCTGGCTCAGTGTCTATAGCATCGAGAGCTACTTCAACTAGTAATAGATCAACGGGTCAAACCACAGAGTCAGAGAAGAATGTGAAAATAATTCAGACCGAGAAAAAAATTACATCAAACTTGCATATTCCAGCACCAAGAACACAGTCGACAAAAAAGCCGCTTACGCGCTCTGGGCATTTTTCTTATGATACAACATCCTCAGAGGCATATGAATACTCTTCTAATACTACAACAACGGCATTACCACGATATGAATATTCTTCTGATGGAATAACGACAACAACACCATTTGAATATTCTTCTGAAGGAACAGCGACAACAACACCATACGAATATTCTTCTGATGGAACAGCGACAACAACACCATATGAATATTCTTCTGATGGAACAATGACAACAACACCTTATGAATATTCTTCTAATGGAACAGCGACAACAACACCATATGAATATTCTTCTGATGGAACAGCGACAACAACACCTTATGAATATTCTTCTGATGGAACAGCGACAACAACACCATATGAATATTCTTCTTATGAAACAAGGACAACAACACCATATGAATATTCTTCTGATGAAACAGCGACAACAAAACCATATGAATATTCTTCTGATGGAATAACGACAACAACACCATATGAATATTCTTCTGATGGAACAGCGACAACAACACCATATGAATATTCTTCTTATGAAGCAAGGACAACAACACCATATGAATATTCTTCTGATGGAACAGCGACAACAACACCATCTGAATATTCTTCTTATGAAACAAGGACAACAACACCATATGAATATTCTTCTTATGAAACAAGGACAACAACACCATATGAATATTCTTCTGATGGAACAGCGACAACAACACCATATGAATATTCTTCTTATGAAACAAGGACAACAACACCATATGAATATTCTTCTGATGGAACAGCGACAACAACACCATCTGAATATTCTTCTTATGAAACAAGGACAACAACACCATCTGAATATTCTTCTTATGAAACAAGGACAACAACACCATATGAATATTCTTCTGATGGAACAGCGACAACAACACCATCTAAATATTCTTCTTATGAAACAAGGACAACAACACCATATGAATATTCTTCTGATGGAACAGCGACAACAACATCATATGAATATTCTTCTGATGGAACAGCGACAACAACACCATATGAATATTCTTCTTATGAAACAAGGACAACAACACCATATGAATATTCTTCTGATGGAACAGCGACAACAACACCATCTGAATATTCTTCTTATGAAACAAGGACAACAACACCATATGAATATTCTTCTGATGGAACAGCGACAACAACACCATCTGTATATTCTTCTTATGAAACAAGGACAACAACACCATATGAATATTCTTCTGATGGAACAGCGACAACAACACCATATGAATATTCTTCTTATGAAACAAGGACAACAACACCATATGAATATTCTTCTGATGGAACAGCGACAACAACACCATCTGAATATTCTTCTTATGAAACAAGGACAACAACACCATATGAATATTCTTCTGATGGAACAGCGACAACAACACCATATGAATATTCTTCTGGTGGAACAGCGACAACAACACCATATGAATATTCTTCTTATGAAACAAGGACAACAACACCATATGAATATTCTTCTGATGGAACAGCGACAACAACACCATCTGAATATTCTTCCTCTGAAACAACGACAACTACGCCATATAAATATTCATCTTATAAAACAACGATAACACCACAAGATAAATATACTTCTCCTGAAATAAGTGCTATCACTTCATTAGAATCATATTCCACTACTGAAACAACTGCAACAACGTCATCAGACTCATATTCTACTACTGAAACAAACGCGTTAATGTCATCAGAATCATATTCCACTACTGAAACAATTGCAGCAACTTCATCAGAATCATATTCCACAACTGAAACAATTGCACCAACTTCATCAGAATCATATTCCACAACTGAAACAATTGCACCAACTTCATCAGAATCATATTCCACAACTGAAACAATTGCAACAACTTCATTAGAACTATATTCCACAACTGAAACAATTGCAACAACTTCATCAGAATTATATTCCACAACTGAAACAATTGCACAAACTTCATCAGAATCAGATTTCACTATTCAAACAATTGCAGCAACGTCATCAGAAACATATTCCACTACGGAAACAAATACGGTAACGTCGCCCGATTCACATTCATTTACCACTGAAACAAATACGCCACCTCCATCAACTACACTACCACCATGGACGTATTCGACTGATGTTTCCATTTCCCATGTCACATCAATCATCATCAGCAAACTAAACACAAACACTGGCCTGAGAGAAACAGTAGCCAGCGTGACGCCATTTGACCCGGCCTCATCTGAAGGACGTTACCAGGAGAACCTGAGAGTAGAGGGCAGCGGTACGACGTCACCTGTCCCAGGTGAGCTGGGTTACCTGCAGCTGACCTGGGAAAGCCCTGTGGCAGATCAAGCCGGTACCTACACGTGTGAAGTCTTTGCACTCAACGGTGAAAAACACTCCGTCTATTTGAACGGTTCTATTCACGTTGACGCCACTGAGCCGACCGTTGCGGATCTAGTCAAGTACATTATCATCCACCAGAATCTGGTAGAAGATCTACAAGAAGAAAATCGACAACTACAACATGAACTGATGGACCTAAAGTTTAACATCACTCTGCCTTTATACCACGAGTTAATGAACATAAAACAGTCTGTAGAAGAAATGAAGAATACAGTCAATCTGCACTCGGCGGAGATAAGTTTTCTAGCTGAAAACTTGCACAATCTGACAGCACCTGAGAACATAACTACAACCACGCAACCAGTCATACCAATGTAACCCGCCATCAATAGAATTGGTCCTGTACACAATGTATATGACTTCGAATAGTGCCCACTGGTCATTTGTAAAATGCATCTACGTCACAAAATAAATGACAGATGATTGCAATACGTATGAAAAATCTAAGTAATCATACTAAATGTTTAAAAAATATTTTTTTTAAAATATGGCAAGTGATAAAATTATAATTACATTTGAAAAAAAATTAAAACTGCTTGGGATCCATCGAATACACTCATCTTTACATTTTTCTATCAAATATAAGCCGTTGAAAGGCCGTTTAGAATTATTTTATCAATTCAAATATTTTCAAGAACTGCCCATAACCTCTCCTTAAAATCAACCGGAATGGCCGGGGGGGGGGCAACACAATAAAAGTCAGAACAATTGTTTTCCGTGATAAAAATACACAATAGTGATGTATGGTGTATAGCGTTGTATTGTATGTATATTAAATAATATAACATCCCGAATCACCACAACACCCTGACTCTACTAATCCAAATAAAAATTAAAGTGTTTGCTAAATTAATATTATATTACAAGTAATTATTTCTTTGACTATTTCTAGCCTAAATGAAACCGGAAGTAATTTTGTACTTATTACACAAATGTTATAAACTGGTTGAAAAATATGCTTTCTCGCAACAAAAATTTGGAACCTTTGGAACCAGCTTTTCAAGTCTATTATTATGCATTTTCACATACTTTGTCAAACAACTTTAACATATTATTGAAATATCACATGAAGGAATATTTTAAAAGATAATCTATTAGAAAACAGGTTTTATACTGATATATTTCTATTTCTATTGGAATATCACATGCACTATGTAATTATTATGTGCACATAGTTCATAACTTTTGTTTTGAAGGGGGGGGGGGGGGGTAAACTCAGACCATGGTCGTAATCACTTTACTTCCCTTTTATAGAAACCAATTTAACACCACTTGGGGAGTTAAGCGTACTTTAGGTTGCTTATAAATGTTCTCTTAATGATTGTACTTAATGGTACAAAAGAAACAAAAAGTTAGATGCACTTTATAAAATTCAGCTGAAATTTATCCAAATGCGAGAGGTGGGGGGTTGGGAAGGGAAGACAGATGAGGGACAGTGGTTTATATTTTCTGTAAATAAAACTGCTAGACACTACACAACTAGAGGGTTCTGATGCAGGATGCCAGCTGTACAAGCACCAAACAGATAAGATAGAGTAATATAAACACAGGAACCAGTGTTATCACTCACTATCAGAAAGTGTGGGGTTAAATGTTTGCGGCTCACAGAGTTATGTCATAAGACGATACAGCCTCGCTCTACCTAGGCTAGACATCAAGAGAAACAGAGCCGCCTGGCATTGCTAACGCTGCAAGTACAATCATGAAGGGAATATTCAATTGTGTGATTTTTGTTGCAGCTTGTATAGTTGCAGGCTTAGGTGAGTACAGACAAATGCTAGATTAAGATTTAGTTAATTCCACGGCAAGACGATATATATTTTTTATATTCGTGTAATGTAAAAAGGTTGTGAACTTGGTTCGTGATTCCTATGGAAAAAAATATTACTACACTCGAAATAAAATAAAGCGGAGTGATCTTCCCTAAAGTTTATCAAATATTCTTAGATAACATTTAGGGGGATAGCAACTACAGTGCAGTCGGTATATAGATCTAGACATTTTTTTAAATCAATTTTTAAATACTGATTTAAAAAAAAAATAGAATAGAATCTCGTAGAAAAAATGGCGCACCAAATTAACAGCAAATAATCTGTTTATAATAGTGCGGAACATTAGTACTTTTTATAAATAATGACAGATGAATCAAATTATAAAAAGAAAATTCATTTCCGTTTTTTTTTTTTTGCGAAATCGGAAATAGGGTAAAATACTACTTCCGGTCATGGGAAATCACTCAAAAAATTGTCAGAAAACAGAGAATTAGATCTTCTCTATAAATTTGACATTATTTCTATGTAACTACTTAAGTTATAGGCTTCTGAAAAACCGTAGAATAAGGTCCACTTCCGGTTACCCGAAATCGCTGAAAAATTGATACAGAACTCTAAATTTGATATAATACTTATTTATGAAATATCGTCAAACTAGCTGTACGGTACTCAAGTTATCATGTTCAACGACACAGACAGACAGAACACACACACACACATACACACACACACACACACAATTGCAAAGTCCTGTTTTTCGGACTCGATCCGTAAAACGCGATATTTTGATAAATCTGAATTTAGAATTTTTGCCCATTACATAAACAAATGTCTCCAAGTTATTACACAGTACTCAATTTGGTGTGTTTGTTGGGATTTTGTTTTTGTTTCTTTTTTGTTTTTAGATAAACAGTGAGACATGAAATAAATATTCGTCTATTTAACGCACGGGTTCCCAACCTGGGGGTCGCGACCCCCCTGGGGGTCGCGAAGGTCTTTTTGGGGGTCGCCAACTGGTATACTAAACCTTAGTAATTTGAAACAAAACATAAATATTTAGGAGAAAATTTGAAATTCGGCTTCATTAACATCACTGGAAATGGAATAGAGAAATAGCAATGCGTAATGTACAAAGTTGTTCTCAGTCACGAATCTATGAAATCTTCAAAACTAAAACGTCATTTGAGACGAGTCATTCGGAACACACCAAAAAATATATGGAGTTCTTTCGTCGATAAGAAGCTAGTTGCAAACGCCAGAGACTTGATCGGAAGGAAGTTTTCACCAGCATTAGTGCAAGCATCAAATGAAGTCGCGATAGAAAATGCCAAGCAAAAAAAAAAAAAAACAATAGGAGAAAATCTCATCAAACGCTGCATGTACGTAAATGTTAAATAACACATTTTTATTGAAATTAAGCTTTCACCATTGTCTGCTTTTCAAGTTGATAAATCAACAGACGTGAGTTCGTGTTCGCAGTTGCTGGTCTGTGTCTATATTCATGCGGATGATAGCAAAGATAAAAGAGTTGCTCTTTTGTGGAGATAGCATGGAGAAAATAAATATCCTTTTTGGAACTGGATGATTAAAATGGGTTAGAACGGCTGTGGGGGTTTGTACGGATGGTGCGCCATCTATGTTTAGCTCAAAATCGGGCTTTCAGAAAACAGAAAAGATTTAGCTCCCTAACCACTGCCCTAACCAATCGACATCAAGAGTCCATTGCTAGTATAAGTCGTAAATTATATAAAACGAGCCGACCCACGGTTGTTGTTTTTTCTACTTTTCAGTAATTCATAATTTGTGAATTCGACAGTACCAATGCTGCCACTGAAAATATTTGCTTTAAAACACTAACCCCCCCCCCCCCCCCCCCCCCGTGAAAGCAGCCTCCTCTTAGTTACCTCCTCTAAGTTTAAAATCGTTTCAAACTAAATTATCTGCCCTAATAGCCGTCACCAAACCCGTCTCTATGATTGTAAAATGTAAACAGAATGAACACCGCTCACCAGATCATGTGGGGGTGGGGTGGGGGTGGTATTGATAGTGATAGAGAGGAAGAGAGGGGACTTCAAAGGCGCGCTTGCAGCTTGTTTTCTAACTGATCCCAGAAGAGAATTATATATATAGATAGATAGATCTAGAGCCTTCAAAGAACTGAGCAAAAACATTAATAAAGATCACGAGGTTCTGCTCTTCTACACTACAGTACGCTGGCTGTCAAACGAAATGTTGTAAATTGTGTTTTTGAATTGAAATCTGAAATTAAATTGTTCTTGGGAGTGCAAAGGAAACAAGACTTTTTGGTATACTTAAAACGACATAGAGTGGTTGGAGAGAGTATCATACCTAGCAGATATGTTCGAACATCAAGATAAGCTTAACCTGAAGCTTCAGGGAAAATGAACGAATATTGTAACTTTCCATGATAATCTCGGGGCATTTTTATCAAAGCTGCAAAATCGGTAAAGAAAACAAATCTTGGAAATATTGTAAATTTGAGAAACTCTGCGGTGTGGTAGATGAATCTGATTGTGAGATAATTAAAATTTTGAAAGAAGCGATTTCTGGGCATCTTGAATCTCTTGAAAACTAACTGCATCGCTATTTCTCTGAGATGAAAAAAGAAGAATTTGCATTTACGCATTACCCATTCTCTTCTTCCCTTGATGTTGCCAGCATTCCCGATGAATTACAAGATGAATTCTTTGATTTGCAGAATGATTCCGTGTAAGATGAAAAACTGCAGACACAATTTCGGTGTAGTATTCACTATTCATACCCAAACGTAAAATTGATTGACTTTTCGAGAATATATTTTCAACACTATTCTTCGATTAAAAACAAAATTAAGATAATTATAATGACATAGGTTGGCGTTAACATTTAAAAAAACAAATTAAAAACTTAACCACGAAGGTTTAGTGAATAGTATGCAATTTTACTCATGCTATTAAAACAGCTATCAAAATTAGTTCATATTGAAAGTCTACTAGAAAATCTTATTTTAGTACTTATTAATTTCCATACCAATTTCGACTTTTTAATTCTATGGGGGTCGCGGGTCACTTACTTTTTATAAAAGGGGGTCGCCACTCGAAAAAGGTTGGGAACCACTGATTTAACGTATTTTTTAATAAGTTAATAAATACAAGTAACGTTTAACCTCGAAAAGATGGCTTTCCACACAAAAATGTATTTATGTGTCAATGAGATACAGATTTACTCGATATCACGGTACACTCCACGTTGTAGTACTTTTAAATGGGAAATGTAAAAAATGTTAAACAAGAATAATTCTTCACAACACTAGTACTACTACTAGTAGAAATGCACTGCTTCTAGTTGGATATGTGTCAACTCTTTTAACGGCACTGCACTTTTATAAATCATATTATCAATATTTTCTTGTTTTCTTAACTGTGTTTCTTCTTTTACTTTTAAATGATTATTTGAAACGAAAAGTTTAGATGAAAGAATAGAACTAGAGCTGGTTACAGCTGAGAAAGTATTATTTTCATTCTTTTATTTTTCAGGTCCCTCTGATGCTACTAACAGTTCTATGAACCTAACAGCCGATCCTTTAGTCATTCAACCTGCGCTGACACGAAAGCTTACAATTAGATGTTCTGTCCTCAACACTTCTGTAACACCAGTCATGAAAGATAACCTAGGTGGAAAAAGTGAAATTTTAAACCAGAAGAAAATATCTCTGACGTCATCCCAGGATGACGTCACTAACCTGCTCTCTATCGTCATCACAAAAGTGAACGACGGGACAGGTAAAAACGAAGTTGCAGCAAGAGTGGCCGGGTGTCTGGCTGCTGATGTGGAGGTCAATGTACTGGGTCAGGTGGAAATTGAAGGAAACACAGAAGGATCACCTGTGGCAGGTGAAGTTGGCTACCTGCAGCTCACGTGGGACAGACCTCTAGGAAACTCTGCAGGCGCGTACACCTGTGAGGTGTCTGCTCTAAACGCCAATAAACATTCCATCTCCTTGAACACTACAGTACGCGTTCAAGCAGAACAACCTTCTATTTCATATATGTCCATGTATATTTCTCAACACGACAGGCACATCGAGTCTTTAACCAAACGAACACTGGAATTAGAACAAGAAAATAAAAACCTCCACACTCAGCTGCACCTGTTCCAGTCTAATGTTTCAGCAGATTCGTTAGAAACAAAAACGAGGTTAAAAAGTCTAGAAGAAAACAGGATGCAAAGAGGAGAATCTAACTGCAGTTCACAGGAAATTAGTTTCGAAATTCCTTACCAAACAATCCCAACTGTAATAGCGTCGTTGAAATCTTTTCGAATCAGAAATGCACAGAACTACTATCTCAATAGCTTTGTTGGTGTCGAAGTGACTGAAGTGAAAAAGACAGGTTTTTATGCCAATTGTACATTCGGTGACTACATGTCGGCTGAATTTATCTGGCTAGCAATACCGTGACAGATATAAAGATATGTAGGAGCATAACTACATTTCGGCTACTTTCAGCCGGTTAGCAATGCATTAACAGAGGTGAAGATCTGTCCATATTCAACTGAAAATGGATTTCTATTTACCATGTAATTGTATTGGTGACAATGCAAAAGGACAGCTCTTTTATTTAGTAATGAAACCTTATACTATCAATTGTATATCCAAATATTAAAAATGTGAAGTGTAACAAAAATGTGAAAAAAAAAATAAAACACACTGTATTGTATAACTACGTCTAACGTCTATATCATGATTATTTAAGATGTAAAAGTAAATAGCGGCTTCATAGTTGTTATAGCCGAGGGTGTCAGCGAGGATAAATAATCTCCCACTGTCTTTAAAATACTCCTAAATGGCATGCGTCTCAGCCAGTCTTTGACATAATAGTCCAATACCTGGCATGCTCGAGTGAAACCACTTGTACTAACAAGTGAAGGGGTGAATGGCGGATACCTGGCGCCAAAATAACCAACATCTTCGGGTAGTTGGGGCTCGTCAGCCTAGTACGGCGCTTTATCTAAGAGAGGGTGCGACGCTGATTTTATAACCCCGCTGCCTTGCGGTAAAATGGCTTCAGGGGTAAACCTCCAGGAAAAATCAGAATTGGAACCTCGTAGGCGATAGAAGTTACAGCTTGGTCTCTTTTAGGCAGCTTCTGCAACTGAGTTGGTTCCTACTGCAATGCCTAACGTTCCTCTGGACTATACCGGTAAAGTCGAGAGAGGGATCGTGATGAATGTGCAACCTACGATCTCTTCACTTGACGCCCACGTACGCGCCAGGTGGAGGTAACTGGTGCTGCTTCAAAGCAGCTAAAACAACACGGGAGGCAAAAATTAATGGCTATAAGGTCCTACTTGAATTGAATTGGCATGATCAGTAACAACATAGTCTGCACCAAAAGAAAATAACTTCTTAATCTCTGGGTGCACATCCCATTGAATCACGAGAAAAATGAGCCATACATAGGAGAAAGATATAAAGGGTCGCTAAACAATAGTAGCATTACATGGAAAGTCTTTAATTTTATTTCGATTCTATTTAAAGTGCAAAAAAGAAGACGCTCTCAGACACCACGTTCTCTATCAGTCATTACCGTAAGCTTCGACTTACTAGTAACTAATTTTTGTGGTCAGTGTTAGTTTGAAGCAGTGGTTCACAACCTTTGGCTTGGAAAACCATAATGGAATAAATCGGATGTTTACATTTGTTAGGAAAGCTTATTACTTAGAAATAAAGGAGAAAATGTACACTTAAAAAAGTAAAAACAACCTCTAAGTAGCCGAGTTCAAACATAATTTTTTTTTCGATGTGATTTTAACCAGTTTAACGAAAATATCTCGTAAAATAACTTTTATTTTTAAAAGTCGACGATACCATGATTAAACTGAAAGGTTCAGAGTTTGCAAATACTGGTAATATCATTGGTATCACAGGGCTAGCTCATAAGTATTAAAATTCGAACATTATTTAAAAGAGTAGGAATAGCGTACAGTATAGAATGTATACAGCAATATTATGCATTGACTTGTTTCATGCACATCAACTATTACAGCTGTGATGTGTACCTCAGCATGTAACAAGATCTTAGCAACACACCATTTCTAAAGAAGCGAGGGTTTAAATTAAAGGCAACGTTTCGGCAATATCCACCCAAGCATGACACGTACATTTTGTGAGGGGAGATAAGCTTGGGTTCATTCAACCTCCTTCAAGTTACGTATGACGGGGTGAACTGAGAATCTAAGTCAGGTCTCGCTAAAACACGAAAATGAAAGCGCACAGTTTTGTTCTTATTTTTGCTATTCTCAACAATCTAAATTCTGAAACAGGTAATTATTCGTTTAATTTATTTTCTAAACGCCATTTTAATTGGTTAATTAAAGCAGATATGTATGTAACTGTAACATTACGAAACGTAATCGAGCTAGTGTATGGATTTGTTAGAGATTTGAATATGAATGATGACATTCTTCTCTCTACTGTTAACAAACAAGCACTCCAAAGCATATTTGCCCCAAAACAAATGTAGAGTTTAAGTTTAAGTTTATGACTTTTGTCTAGTTTGATATTTGTTTAGTCTTGGTGAAAATTTATGAAATTTTAATAAATACAAGAAGAAAATAAATCCAATAGTAAATATAAAGAGAACAGAACTGTAGGTGTGTGAACATTCTTATAGAGGCATATTAACGGTCCGATCGACCTGAAATGGTATTTGTTGATATGAAAAGGAGTGCAAAAATTTTAATTTAAAAAAAAATGAATGTATTACAGTATATGTATATGACGTACTGATCTATATTTCAAAATATATCTAATGAAACAGCTTCTGCGAGTGTACAGTTCGATGCCCAGCCTAACATCATACTGCCGTCGCTTTCTAAATCGCTGCAAATACGCTGCTCAATACAAAACGCGTCTTCTTCGTCTACGTCATACTTGCTGACCACACTAATGCCACCTACAACCCAGATGACCGCGGCCAGCACCCAGATAACCGGACCTGTGCAAGGGCCTGACGTTTCCTATTTGCTGTCTCTGGTCATAGTGAAGGTCAACAAAGCAACCGGCGAGAACGAGACTGTGGCGAGCGTTGCTGGGTGCCTGGCTGCTACCACCGAGGACAGTTTTACAGGAAAAGTAAAGGTGGAAGGGAGCGCAGAAGGATCACCGGTCTCAGGTGAAGTAGGTTACCTGCAAGTAATCTGGGACAGACCTGGAGATCAAGCAGGGGGGAGTTACTATTGCGTGGCCTCGGCTTTAGATAAATTTAAACGCTCCGTCTCTGTGGGCTCGTCTTTACAAATAACATCCAAAGACGCGGCGATCTCCGATCTCGTGACTTACATCGCTGAACACGACAAAAACATTTCCGCCCTCAGTACCCAGATGGTGGTGCTGCAACAGGAAAAGGAAGCTCTGAGAATCGAGGTTGAGTCGCTGAGGTCCAACTTAACATCTGAGTTCAATCAGTTAGAGGCATGGATCAACAACATTCAGGGACACAACGTACAGACTGGCAGCACAGACTGCTCTGGTCACTATGTCTATTTCACGCAGTCCTTCAACAGAACCCCAACCGTTTTTGCCACCCCCGGTAGTTTTTACATCAGCGGGTACTCTTCGTATTCCTCGGGTTCGTTCCAGATCTCAACAAGCTACGTGTCACAGCAGAGCTTTTACTTGTCTTGTTCGATGTCAGGCGCATTCTCTGGCAGTTCCACCAATATCAACTGGCTAGCTATCGCCTAATGAACTATAATTCAAGTAACTGAAATTTGGTTAGAATTACAAGTTCGAATAGCTAACATTTTTTTTCTGTACATATTTTCAATACAGAGATTGTATAAATGAAATATAATATTAAACTAAGTGTTGAAGTTGAAAACTCGTTTTTAAGTAGTTTTAAAGGCCTCGCACATATCAAGACTTACTTAGTGCTGGACTATAAATTGTTTTGTTAGCTATAATATTTTTATTTTACAAATCCTCATACATGTAAATGCATAGAAATAATAATAAAATCCAAAAAGACAAACTTCTCTACATTTGCATGTCATATTATTATTCAATCATATACACGCATTTCTTTCCAATCATGGTTAGGAATAATTATACAAATAAAAATTATAAAAACGTAAATGTGCTTTGGTCTTTATATTGTTTCGTTCGATTTCAAGTTATAATATAAGGCAATACTATTGATGAACTGTAACTAACATCTCCATCCAGCCATGAAGAAAGAGGTGAGACACACATATAGTAAAATATAATTTCAACAGGTCTATTTTGGAATGTTGTTGACACTAAACACCTAAATTAATATTAATTGCTTTCATTAAAAGCATTATCAGCTAAACCGATTGCTTTGACAAAAGCACTGCCAACTATAGGTGTTAATGGGATTTTTCATAAAACCACCGCAACAGGAATGTTGGTAATGATACATTCACCTCGGGCGTGCTAATCTTCTTCTTCTTCGTTCTTAATTTTTGAATATGGTGGAGGATTCAGACAACAAGTCCAACTTCGTGGACAAACCGGACTGTGGTTTCCAGTTTGTCAGGTGTCCCATATAATTTTTCCCTGAGTGGGGTGGGCTGGGGCCAGTGTCTGACTCTTGCCTGGCCATACAGAGTACATTCCTGGAGTACGTGCTCCGTGTTTTCCGGGGCCTTGCCACAAGGGCACATTTCGCTACACCCAACCTTCAGTTTTTTGTGCATGTGTTGATTTAGTCTGTTGTGGCCTGTTCTAAGTCGAAAGATTATGTATTGTTGTTTTCGTGTTAAATTGTAATAGCCGTCGTCTTTAATGTAGTGAGGGTGTGTGACAGACCACATTTGCGTTTGTTTGTTTTTAATTATTCTTTTTATTTCTTTTGGGTGTAGCGAAATTTCCGGTTGTGGTTTCTTTCCCCCAATTTTTGCCAGCTGGTCTGCGATCTCGTTACCCTGGATCTGGCAGTGGCCCGGGATCCACTGCAGCACAATTCTGCTGCAGGTATTTTTTAGCCTCTCTAGTGCTGTCATAAGTGTTTGAATATAGGACTCCGGATTTTGTAGGGATTGCAGGACTGATTTGGCATCTGTAAGAAATACAATCTGACTATTCGGTGATTCAGGGTGTTCTGACAGGAGGTTTGCTGCGTGTTCTAAAGCTTCTTTTAATGACTAGTAATAGTAAGCCTCGGTTGATATGGATGTCATTTGTAACGGAAAGATCATTGTGTAAATTAAATGTGAACGTATTGGCACTATGTAATATTTTTTATCAGCCTGTATACATAGCCGATGTGATCTCAAACATGTGGTCAGCGATACGTCTAGCAGGTGTAACTGTACAAGAGTAAAGTCAGATGACAATTGGAGCTAGAGTCTTATATAACCGAGCAGGAAAACTAAAATTTAGGTTATGTATTCGGACTCTACCACTAGACCATACTTAGGCTTAAACTTAAGCCAAAAAATGTATTCTAACATATAAGGGGAAAAAACGTTACAATGACATTGGATTGAAACTCTAGGTTATTTGCGAAGAAATAAAAGGTTTGTACTTCACAATGAACAAACGCTGTTTTAAATAAACCGTTGTTATATTCGTCATTCCATTATGCTCTGCTGACTACAGATGACTTTGAAATGACCTTTGAGACTCAATGACAAGGCTAAATAAAGACTTTGAGAATTGGCCTGTTGCACAATGCCTGGTCGGATAAGGTATGCACCCATTCTTTGTACTACTACTAGATCAGGCCATGAACATAATGAAATTGTTCAAGTGAAACGTAGGGATGGGAACTTAGAATCTCATGAATTCTTTATAAGAAAATTAGTTTCAATTTAAAACCTTTTTTCATTTCTTCAGTAACTTAAACAGCGCGTTATTCCAGAAAGGTAGTGAAGAAAAAAACGTTATTTATCAATATAAAAATTTAAGATAATTATTTCAGGTATACCATTAAAACAGGCTCAATAAATTATTATACACATGTATTTTTAAAAATTATAGCTGAATCATGTTGGTAACCTTCCAGCAGTTTCAAAATCTGTTTTTTACGTAGACGTAAATTGTAAAACGGGAAGATTGCGTAGATTGCTAAATATGAATATTTACAAGATCTGCCCAAACAAAAACAAAATGTTAAATTCAAAATGAAACAGAAAATTTTAAAATTCTCAGAACTTTATTCAAATTGTGCCGAGAAAGACAAGGACAACGTCGGCTGCACGCTGCAGCTCAACGCGGGACAGGCGAGGGATCAAGAAACTGGAATCAGTGATCCGTGCCGCAAAAAGCAGGGGTAGAGAATTTCTAGTTGGCATTGAATCCAGACTGTGTGGTGGCGAGAGGACCAGAGGAGAAAAATGTCTGACATAAAACTTTGGGCTGCTGTAGCTTTGATTCTGAGCGTACATGTTGCATACACAGGTTAGAGGATATTTCACTTACTGCATTGTAGTTTACTTACATTAGTTTCCTAACAGCTCGTTTTGATAAGTAAATTAAAATAGAGCTTCACCAATCAGATTATGGTGATTTTAAAACGTAATAAATAAAAAAGCTAAATACCTAGGCCTACGTGTAAGCAGAAGGAAATACTGAATGCATTGATATTCATCAATTTTAATTTTTACACTGTAAGAAAAGCACTCTTGTCTAAAAGTTGTAGATTCGAGAATTATTTGACATTCCGTTGACCATTGGTCAATCCACTGCTGTTCTAAGCTAGCAAGTCTCTATGAAAGAATAAATGCTATTTTGATGAAGAACAAAAAGCTTTTAACTAAGATAAGGGTGGTAAAACTTAATTACTATTACTAACTATGGTTTTTGTATAGGGCCTAAATGTTAACGCGGCTTCGACTTAAAAGTTAAAATTTACATAGTGGATCTTTTCTGAAAAAAAAATAGTTGCTATCCACTTAGCGTGGACGCATATCCTATATGATTATTTTTTATGAAACTAAACTAGTAATAGTAGTAAATATATGTTTTAATAGTTAATTTTCCCATGATCAGATGCGTCCACAATGAAAATAGAGGCCAGCCCGGCGAACATCTATCCCATTCTGACGAAAAAGCTTCAAATAAGATGCACTGTTATGGCTCCAGTGGCGACAACAACAGCCAAACCTACGACCACACCGACCACAACAAAAGCTACAACAAAGGCAGCAACTACACTAACTACTACTAAAATGGCCACCACCACAACTAAACCTGCCTTGACGACAACTAAACCTGCCTTGACGACAACTAAACCTGCCTTGACGACAACTAAACCTGCCTTGACGACAACTAAGCCTGTCTCGACAACTAAAGCTAACGTATCAACGACATCTGCAACTGTAAACTTAACCGGCAAAGCAATAAACACGACTACGACAAACGCACAAACAACATCTACCACAACAACCACTACAACAAAACCAACAACCACGCAACCAAAGACAACAACCATCCTAACTTCCCCCACCACTGTAAACCCCACCACCTCTACCCAGGTCGACTTGACATACCTCCTGTCAATCGTCATTTCAAAACAGAACTCGGCCACAGGTAAAACTGAGACTGTGGCTAGTGTAGCTGGACGCCTCGCGGCCAATGCCGAGGTCCAGTATCTGGGAACTGTCGAGGTCCAAGGTAACACAGACAACTCGACAAAATCGGGGGAACAAGGTTTCTTACAGCTGACCTGGAACTATCCACTGGCGCAACATGGCGGCAACTACATTTGTACCGCGTCTGGCCTCAACTCAGCCAAACAAACTGTCTCGTTAAGTACATCCGTGCAGATTGCGGTGACACAGCCCAACATTTCCGACCTGGTCAGTTACATTTCTGACCATGATAAATCACTCACAGATTTACAGCTTCAAGCATCACAACAGAGTCAGAGCACCCAAGACATGAAACTTGACATGGAGGAACTAGAGGCTAATCTAACACAAGAGACAACGGAACTATTTGAGGAAGCGGATGGACTACCCGGACGTACAATTCAATCCGGAAGTTCAGGTTGCTATAACAACTACATATATTTTCCTACTATGTTTAACGCGACTCCTGTAGTATTTCTGTCAGTTTCTAGTTTGAACTTTTATTATAACTATTGGTATGGTGGCGTTGAATCGACATGGCAAGTATTAATCCAAGATGTGACACAAAGTTACTTTGTTTTTAACTGCAATAACAACAACTATTTGACTATACAAAATGTTGACTGGGTTGCTATGTATTAGCTACATTGTATGATACATGGCCTAGATTATGTGTATACTATACTTTCCCAGTTAACAACTGTACACGTCTAACACGGTCTATGTATGATTCGTAACTGTACACGTTTAAATTCGCATTCTAAATAACTGTAACCTGCATGTTTATTTTATATAGACACTATATTATTATAATAAGATTTATGTGAACATTGTTTTTTAAGTGAGATACTTTTGAATTTATTCTCACTGATGTCTTGATTAGGGTTTAGTTTTGTTATTTTGTACTTTTATTCTTACTATGGTATTTAGTGAAAATGTATTCAGCTTATTTAAATGTTCACTCTTAATGAGTTAACGCACATGGTAATCCTAATTAAAGCTTGATTTGAGTACGAGAAATACTCTTTGTGTTAGTGTTATTTTTTAACTATCGGTACACAGCATTTAATTTTGTATCTAGCTGCAAGTACCCCTCGCTATTCGTGTTGTGACTATAGTACATATATACAATGTTTAGGTTGCTTAGGTCGGCACGAAAAATTATAGGTTAGTTGCACAATGCACTACACTGCACTATTAATACGGTTGCAGTCGATTTGCTGAAATAACATTAATAACATGCTACATTTGTTAAATCATTTTTTTAAAACTAAACTTCATCCTACCCAACAATACCACTACAAAGTCCAAATCTATTTTTATTTAACGTAATTACAACACGAACATCAGCTTGTATTCCGATCCTGAATTAAGCTATCAGTATCAACGATACACTCATAAAATTTTACATTGTCTTTAGAAATCACACTTTTAATCGAAATTTTAAAAGGCGCTTATAACTGATCTACTCTGACCTCGGCCTAATAAAACCTTTACTTTTTTAAACGCATGAATAAGATCATCCACTTGCAGACATGACACAAACTTGATATTATTTGTATATAACACTATGGAGGATGGCAACTCGGTATATAGACATGGTTTTTAATCCATTTTTAATTACTTAAACTTTTTAAAATAGAATAGAATATGTAGAAAAAAGAATTGCGCACCAAGTGAACACCAAACAATATGTGTATAATAATGCGGAATATTATTAGTACTTAATAAATTCACATGCGTTTTTTGAGAAATCGGAAATAGCGTAAATTACTACTCCCGGTTAATGAAAATTACTCAAAATTTGACAGAAGGCAGATAATTTGATCTTTTACTTACATGTGAAATTTCATTTATCTATCTGTTACAGTACTCAAGTTATAGGATTTTGAAAAATTGAAAGCAGAATAAGTTCAACTTCTGGTTACCGGGAATAGCTGAAAAGTTGATACAAAACTAGAAATTTCATATAATAATTATATATGCAATTTCATCAACCTAGCTGTAACGGTAATCAAATTATCGTGTTCACAGACACACATACACACACACACACATACATGCACACATCACACACAGACATACGGACAAAAATGCACAACTGTTTCTCCAATTCAGGGAGGTGTAAAACGTCGAAATTTTTAAAATAATCTACGTTTGTTTTTTTTGTTTTTTTTGCACAATTACAAGACTTTCGCTATACTTCGCATACGAGAAAGTAATGAAGATTTACACTATGCGTTTCGAACCCGTACCACCCGCATGGCAACTATTACTACACTGTCATCTCGGCCAGCTGGGCATATATCGTTGATTGGAAATTTATCGGATTATATTTTACTCAGAGTTTCTTCAAGGAATCACTTCGGGGGGGGGGGGGGGGCTCTGACGCCCCCCCCCCCTCCCCCGAAGAAAGTTTACTCCACCCTCAAACTAAATGAAATTATATAGAAAACATATACTTTAACCAGTGTCCGCCCCCTCCCCCCGCAAAATGTTGTCCACCTCCGTCCAGCCCCCCCCCCCCCCACACCCCCCGAAAATATCAAGTGCCCCCGGAGAAAAAAGTCTGGAAGAAACAATGATTTTACTTAGAGCCAAAATAAGCAACTTAAGTTACGCGAATAGGCTCTTTTATTTCAAATTAAATTATATCCTAATTTAGCCAATTCCATAGCTAAACATAGATTTATTTAAAGTAATTAAGACTTGAAATAGTTTAGTATAGAAACTCATTATTGGCGTAGATCTATTAGTAATAGTATATCTAGAGCTCACTGTTGAGAAAGGCAATTCTACATCCAACTGTATAATTAACAGACTATAGATAAACATCGTTAGTATTAAGTCTGCAGTGATTAAAGCTTATACACACACATGTACGCGTATGTGGCATATATTTAATTAAATTGCAGGCACATGTAGGTTGAACACACACACAAACAAACTCTCACATAAATATATATATATATATATATATATATATATATATATATATATATATATATATATATATATATATATATATATATATATACTTTGTTTCTTGGGTGGGGGGCGGGGGGATGACACCACGAAGTGCCGCACCGGGTGACACCCGACCTAGCGACGCCATTGTCTTTCTCATAACCCTATGAGCTTTAGACGGTATTTTGAAATGAACATTGTGTTATTGTTAAAGATATAACATTATGCTTCCTACAAGCTCTGAAAGATTTTATTATATTTCTATTTCTAAGGCACTCGCTCATATGAAATTTTAAACTGGTATGTATTGAAAATGGATAATACCGAAGACAGGCGTTCCATTTTTGACATTTTCTATACACCCTTAGATCGGGGACTATTATAGTTTTTTCTTACTTAAAATCTTTATTAAATCCGGTTTCATGCATTGGTATAAAAAGAAATATTATAACCCAAAGCGTCAGAAATCTAACAGCATAATTCAGTAGGCTACCATTGACAAAAACGTTTTTTTTTTCTATTCATTTCTCTCCTTCATTCATGTCAGTTACGTCAAACGTTGCAGTCACAAAGGCCACTTCTCATAGATCGTGGGAACAGCTATAACCCTCCTTTCATTAGTTTCACTGCCTCGCTTTTTTAAATACTATATTTTCGGGTTGTTTTTTTTAACTGCGGGTAGACTAGATGGTATAAAATACATTACATTAAGGCATGGGTTCCCAACCTGTGGGTCGCGACCCCCTTGGGGGTCGCGAAGGGCTTTCTGTGGGGTCGCCAACTGGTAGACTAAACTCTAGCAATGAATAAAAAAACATAAATATTTAGAAAAATATTTGAAATTCGGCATTACTAACATCACTGGAAATGGAATAGAGAATAAACAATGTGTACTGTGCAAAGTTGTTCTTAGTCAGGAGTCTATGAAACTTCCAAACGTCAATTTGAGACGAGTCATTCGGAACACACCAAAAAAGATATTTAGTTCTTTCGTCAGCATGAAGCTAGTTGCAAACGTCAGAGACGATCGAACAGAACGTTTTCACCAAGAAAACACAGCATCATATGAAGTAGTATTAGAAATAGCCAAGCAAAAAACCTCTCACACAAAGGAGAAAATCTCATCAAAACATGTATGCTGAAGATGGTAAAATTAATTCTTGGGGATTCCAGTGCAGTAAAGATGCAACAAATATCTCTGTCTAATAATACTATGCAGCGGCTTATGTTAAAAGACAAATTTAGAATGAAATCAAGCTTTCACCATTGTTTGATTTTTAGGTTGACGAATCGACAGACGTGAGTTCGTGTTCGCAGTTGTTCGTCTTTGTGAAATATATTCATTCAGATGTTAGCAAATAAGAGTTGATGTTTTGTGAAGATATCATGGAGAAAATAAATACGTTTTTTTGAAACTGGAGGATTAAAATGGGAAAACGGCTGTGGGCTGTGGGGCTTGTACGGATGGTGCGTCATGTTTCAGTACGCTGGCTGTCAATAGGAAATGTCAATCGTGTTTTTGAATTGAAAGATGAAATCAAGATGTTCTTGGAAGTGCAAGGAAACAAGACCTTTTGATATACTTTAACGACATGGTGTGGTTGGAGAGAGTATCATACCTAGCAGATATATTCGAACATCAACATAAGCTTAACCTGATAAAGGAACGAATATTATCTCTTTTCATGATAATCTCTTGGCATTTTTATCAAAGCTGCAAAATTGGCGAGGAAAAATAAGTATTTGAAATACTGCCATGTTTAAGAAACTCTGCAGTGTGGTGTGATAGATAAAAATTTTAAAAGGATTCTGTGCATCTTGAATCTCTTGAAAACGAACTGCGGCGTTATTTTCCCCGAGCTGAAAGAAGAAGAATCTGCACTGTCACCCATTTTCTGCTTTCCTTGATGTTACCAGCATTGCCGATGAATAACAAGATGAATTCTTAAAGTTGCAAAATTTAATTGTTAATGCTAGGTAATGCTTATTAATAGCATGTAATTTTGCTCATCGTATTAAAACAGTTTTCAAGAATAATTCATATTGAAAGTCTACTAGAAAATGTTAATTTAGTGCTTATTATTTTCTTTACTAATTTCGACTTGTTAATTATATGGGGGTCGCGGGTCACTTACGTTTTATGAAAGGGGGTCGCCACTCGAAAAAGGTTGGGAACCACTGCATTAAGGAATAGATCAAATGTACTTTGCCCTGGTTAACAGTTTTATCTTTGTAAACAACTTGTTTGAAAAAAAGTACAAATATAGATACCTGAAAACTATTATTTACCTTTTAAACTTATTTTGTGTTTTTCTTTTAGATGACTTTGAAGTCAACAATATTATAATAACAAGCTATGAGTAGGATATTTTTAAAAAGTTTGTCGTGTGCCTTATATATAGACGTTTTTGTAATTTTACAACATCTATGTCAAGTACTAAATTGCTTGTCGGTTGTATATCATTTGATAACATAATTATAAATTGTATTTATTTTTATTGTTTTTTTTTTTTTTTTTTTATATTCATGTTTTTGAATAATGTCCACTGTGCTAGAAATCGCACGCTGACATGTTTTGGCTGACGAACCCCATTTCCTGGAGATTTTGTTTCAGTTTCGAAGCCTACAGGAACGGCGGTGTTCGTAGGCAGGCCCGGTGATCAGGAATCAGAAAAGCGGTACGAGCCTAGTACGCTGTCACCACTTCATACTGCGGCAGCGAGCTAGTGTCGCGCTTTTACAGCATCAAGCACGAAGATCTACACAGAAATCGTAGCAACATGGCTCAAACGCTGATTTTTACGTTTTTGGTCCTTTTCGGCATGCTATGTCAATATACAGGTGAGATTTAGGTAATCTATTATTTTAGGTGCGTAAAATCGGTCGAGCCTAGTGAAAAAAGTTGCCTCATTTTTATGGCTTTAGTACAAGTACATTGTGATATATTTGTGTCAAATATAATAGATAACTGAATAATAAACCGAAGGCAATGGCTAAATATATCAATATAGGCAAGAAATTAACTTTAAACAGCAGTGTTTGAGAGCAAGATTTGCTACATAAACAGCGGCCATCTGTAAATTAGAGTGGTTTCCACTGATTCTCTAACTATAAAAAAAAATCATTTTACAAAAAAAAAACAACCTTAAGATGGTAAGAGTCACCTTTTTTTCACATTACTAGCCTCAGCCAATTTAACGTACTTAAAACGATAGATTACCGAGATTTAATATATTGGTTTAGTTAATTCAATGAATAAAGTGAAATATCCTTCAAAAGATTTAGCTAGGCTTAAGTTTTGCTAGTGTTTTCGAAGAGACTCATGCTAAGTTTTAAATGGATTGGGGTAAACAAAGTACAGAATTTTTTAAAAGTTGAAGCTTGTAATCAATGTTTTTCATAAACGACGTAGCACCACTGGGGGGAGGGGGATTAGGCTTAGTCTTCAGTGCTGATGTGTGACAAGTGGGTTCGTCACACACTTTGCATTTTGAAAGTAAATATAATTCGAGTAGTAGCCATTCTATCGAATTTTTTAAAAAGACTTGATCTTGAAAATTGTAATAAAAATGTATCAATATGCTCAATCTTGACCGAGCTCGAAAAATATTTTACAAGTAAAAGTTGGGAAAAACTAAAACAGCAATTTTGAGGGGTTGATTAGCTCATATATTTATATATAATGTTTTGCTATATATAAAGCAAAAACAACCCTAAAGTAAAGTGCAAAAACCATTGGACACAACAAAATTAATACCATCCACAATACGGATGTAATAATTTTTGTTTAATCTAATAAGAGCAGTGTGATGGGGGAAAATATGTTTAAGATGTAATAACGCTATAGCTCATCAGGTAAATATATCTCAGCTACGTTACTTATGGAGATAATGTTGAAAAAGTTGAGATAAAAATAAAACGTTGTGTGGAGTTTAAACAGGTATTGGCTCGTCCTAAAAATTAATAATACAATAATTCCCCACTTAAAAATGAATACGGTGTAGAAAATGTCTTAGAAGATATATAAGAGCACTTGTGTAGTTAATGTTTGCTTATAATTTTTTTTCTAACAGATGCTGCGAGTATTAACATTGAAGCCCAGCCTTACGTCATTCTCCCAGTGCTGTCCAAGAAACTAAACATGCGATGCTCCATACAAAATTCCACTGCAAAATCACCTCTTCTGACCACCCTAATGCCGCCCACCACACAGATGACTTCTGCGTCCAGTACCCAGATCGCAGGGCCTGTGTCAGCAGGGCAAGGATCCGATGTTTCCCACCTGCTGTCTCTTGTCATCACGAAGTTTAACGCAGTGACGGGCGAGAACGAGACCTTGGCCAGTGTTGCTGGATGTCTAGCGGCGGCCCCCGAGGTGAATTTTCTCGGGAAGGTCACGGTGGATGGAAACACGGATTGGTCACCTGTAACAGGTGAGGTAGCCTATCTACAGGTAACATGGGAGATGCCGCTTAGCGAACATTCTGGTACCTATTACTGTGAAGCTTCTGCACTGACATCGGAAAAACACTCAATTTCCATAAGCGCGTCTTTGCAGATCGTCACGAAGGACCCAACCATTTCAGATCTGGTCACATATATTTCTGAACATGACAAGAACATATCCTCATTAAGTGCACAGATGCTGGCGCTTAAACTAGAGAAGGAAGCCCTGAAGTTGGAGCTGGAGACGATGAAATCAAACTTAACAGCACAAATGTCGGACATTGAGACCAGAGTAGCCAGCATCAGCGGACATAACATCCAAACCGGAAGTACCAGTTGCTCCTACCAGTACGTCACCTTTCCTGTTGCTTTCAACTCGACCCCAACAGTATTCACTTCCATGGGAAGTTTGTACATGTCCGGCTACTCGTCTTATTCCTCTGCTTCCTACCAAATCTCAACCTCGTCTGTGACTAACGAAAGTTTCTACTTGAGTTGTTCAATCTCTGGAGCTTTCTCCAGCTCTACCAGCATAAACTGGTTAGCCATTGTTTGAATTGAATAAAAAGGTTTAATCTAATAACATTACATGATTACAACTACATCCCTACAACATTCATTTCCCTCACAATAAAAAAAAAACTTTAACCTTAAATGCGTATCGTTATTAAAATGTGTACATTTTGTACTTGAACAAATCGCATTGTTAACAACGATTGTTAATGTAAGTTTCGGCAAATGTGTATATAAATTTCTATTTAGCTGAGGAGATATGACCAGTTTTAATTGATGTTTTGTCATTTGTGAAACGTTTGTAACCAATAAAATCATTACATTTTTATGGTGTGCTTGATTCTACATATTACCTAATGTGCGTTTGTGTGTGTGTGTGTGTATATATATATATATATATATATATATATATATATATATATATATATATATATATATATATATATATATATATATATATATATTGATCTATATATATATATATATATATATATATATATATATATATATATATATATATATATATATGTGTGTGTGTGTGTGTGTGTGTGTGTGTGTGTGTATACAGCAGCAAAGGAATTTTAGTAATGTCTACATTTAGTAATGCAACTATCTTTAAAAAAAAAACATTAAATATAAAGCACTAGAAACATAACTGCGAAAAAACAAAATAGTTTACTGACCAGCCAAATACTTGATACAGATTAATTCTATAAGTGATCGTGAACTAAGGACTACACGGAGGGAGGTAGGGGTAGTTTTTCGTCTTGTTATAGTATGGCACAGTGTTTCTTCCAGACTTTTTTCTCCGGGGGGCAGTTGATATATTCGGGGGGGGGGGGGGGGGGGGGCTGGAAGAAACTCTGGGTTTGGCAAATGGAGCTGGGGAGTAGCCTACGGAGCAATGTTTACAATACTTTCTTTGCTTTATTTTAATAATTATGTTCGGTAATTTTCGTGTATATTAAATATATGGATGAAGAAGTTGATGAAGAACTGGCTTACACTTACAGATTCTGTTCTAACATGAGGTCAGGTTATACAACTGTTAAGTCTAGTGCAGATATAACAATAAGCAATTTCATAACATTCATAACAATTATGTTTTCCATAATTTTGCGTGTTCATTTCTGAACATGAAAACAATGTAAGAATATTCAATCAAAACTAAAAATAAAAACGTTATCAAATCATAGCTAAAAACCTAAATGAAAAGTACAACAGTTCTGATATTTTTTGTGCAATCTAAAGTGTGTTTTCTGCTCCGACCTGGATGTAGGTCTAATTTGTTTTCTGCAACTGTGAGCCTTAATCAAATGTAGCTCTCATAATAAACAGTAGGAAGTTTTTCCGAAAACGGGGGCTCTTATTCTTTTGCACATACTGAGTGGGGATCTATATACAAATTACAATGTTATCTAATGTCACCTGAGGATGGGATTTATAAAAACATGCTTTACTGCTGTACAAATGCTATATTCCCTAGTAAATATGTTGTTTTGGTATTAGTATATTCATATTCAAATGATTTTTTTTTTAAAATATAAAATTGATCAATATGACATGCTTCACTATCATCGTTATGGTGAGCGGGCTATTTCAGGTAACTATGGTAGGATAAGGCATTGCGACATTCGGCCACGTCAAGGCTTCCAGTTCAACGAATTGATCGAAGACCTAATTCATAGCTTAAAGTATTAAGAGACATTCTTCGAGGCAGTGCAGTGTCTGCATCGTGAATTGAAGCAATTAAGTTACAGAAATACATGATGTGAGTTATATCACCTTTGCCGATAAATGATTTTAGGGCAAGGGAATGGGGTAGGGGAAGGAGCTGGGTTCTGCCGTTATGTGGTTCTGCTGTACCCTACTTAAAACTCAACCCCCCCCCCCCCCCCACTGGTAATTGAAATGTCAATACCGAGCACAAACACGGCTTGTTTGGAACTGTTATCTATTGAGTTTTATTTTCTTGGAATGGAAGTTGTTTCAGTTCCTAGTTTCTATACCCCAGTCTCACCTTACCACTGCAGAAATATTTTCGATTTGAAAACTGGGTATGGGGTATTAGCAATTGTAAAATAGGTCTTTCAGACGAGCATTGAGGCGAAACGGCTTATACGACATTGTGAGCTGAGGACATTGGTAAACTTCGTGCTCGTTAGTTGAAAGGTTAAGATGAGCACATTTGCTGTGTATTGCGTGGTTCTTGTCACCTTTATGTTTTATTATTCTACTGATGGTGAGTATATGTATTCGATGTTAACCAATAGGTCTACGAGTAATGGGTTTGTTTTTTTCCGATACAAGGCGTCAGGCTTGTAAAAAAAATTAACAAGCTGAATGGTGACATATTATTACTATTATTATTAAACATTTATTTTATATTTTAAAGTAAAAAGTAAAGTTTCCCTTTCAAACCTGACGGTTTATGGGGCAAGTGAAGTAGAGATCACTTGTTTCTGTGACCTCGGCATATGAAGAGATAGGGGGTGGGGGAGGGTGCAAATCGAAAATTTAAAGTTTGTCCCCGGGAAGGGTCGCTACGCCTCTGGAGGGTGACATAGGTCAGCACTATGCCCAGCCGATTTATATTTTACTGGTTAAAAATAAGTAAGTTTTTTTTATACGTGAAAGAAATAAACTAGTTGCAAACAAAGCAATCAATATAAATCTTAAAATACTTAAAGAATACGCCTCGAAAGTTGCAGGTGTACGCGAAGAACTACTGCTTTGAATTGATTTTCTTATAAATTCTATTCGCGGTAAGGTTAAATTCAGTAGGCAGTGACATGTTTTGTCAAAGTAATAAAAGGAAAGAAAGGGTGAAAAGCTACCTTGGCTACAGACAAACACAATATTACAAAACAGGGTTTTTTTTCCCACCACGCAGCAGCGCGTGACGCAACGTGACACACAAAATATTGCGCTCTATATTATGTGCCCCGAGTATTAATTTATTCTTTAACATGATCTAGTTATTTTTAATGACGTTTTAGAATCGAATGCAGATATCAAATGAATAATCACAACTTGACTTAATTGGGTTTCAACATTTTCAACATTTGAGCTTTGCTTTTTAATTGAATTCTGAAGAGGCGCCTCTCTTTTCAAAAGCCATCTATTAACTTTTTAATGGTAGGGGTTTATTTTAAAAACTAGCCTTGATCACTGGCGTCACAAGGTCGGGTGTCACCAGGTCCGGTCTCTATACATTTCCCAGTATTAATTTATCCTCGTTCAGGTTCAAGTTCAAGCAATGTTATTGTTTTTGAGTTGAATTGAATCTAGATATCTAATGAACAATCACCACTTGACTAAGCTCAGCTGTTTTCAACATATTATTTAAGCTTGTATTCTAATTGCATTACACAGAAGAGCGTTAGTTTTCAAAGAACTTCTATTAGCTTTCTAATGGTGGGGATTTGTTTGTTTGTTTTTAAAACTAGCCTCTAAATCAGCGGCGTCACTATGTGGGGTATCAACCTATCCCTCTTCGGTGTATGATATGTTTAAAGTTTAACTATGATCAGTTCGACAAACATTCATCATCATTCTTTTTGGTTCCTTAAGGAAATTTCACTCCAGACAAAATATCGTTCTGAACAAAGTTCGACTTTTTCATTCAGTTTCATGGTAGACGGCTTTAAACTGTGCAACTTCCAACTGGATGTAGCTAAGTTTTCTCTATAATTTGAAAGTTTCAGCCTTGGAGTCATCCTACATCAACCAATTTTGGTAGTTTTCAATTAGAACTTAATAGCGTTGACTCTAATCAGTCATTAAGATAACTAGAGCCATTATTAAGTTCTGTATATAATATTTTGCCATTTTTCCGCATTGAGTAGTCTAAGCCCCTAAAATGGTATCACCTGTTAAGGTCAAAGGTCAACCTTACCCCCCCCCTTACCACCCCCCCCCCCCCCCCCCTCACTTACCCGCCTCCTTTAACGATACTAGCCTTATAATCATTTAATGAACAAGAAAAAATAAAAAGACTGCTCTTCACGTGTTTAAATGCTATAATCATAATAGAAGTAGCAAGTAGTAAAACGAAATGGGATTAAATTTTAATAAATCAGAGCACACTTTTATTCTCGTTTTACTCTAAATATTAATCTTGATTCACCAAATAAAATATTACATAGCTAAAAAGCAAGACAGGGGAAATTACTAAGACACATTCCAACACCCATAACTAATGAAATCTCTATTAACATTGCACATCGAAAAAACTAACTATTTGAACTACACAATGTTTTAGGAACAAAATATTTTATTTTTTTAGAATATTTAATTTTCGCTGTGTTGTTTTCATTCTTTGACAAATTCAATTCCATTACCAGATCATAAACGAAAACTCTAATTCAGCACTGTATTAACTCCGCAGCTATTTCTAGCATTAAAGTAGATGCCACACCGACCACGATATGCCCGATTTTATCAAAGAAGCTACAGATAAAATGTTCAGTGAGAACCGTGGCAGATACAACGACAGTGCAGCCAACGACTACTACAACTAAGACAACAACAAAACCAACCTCCACCACTAAAACGACAACGAAAGCAATCGTCGCCACCACCAAAGCACCATCAGCAACAACCACTACGAAACCAACAACCACACAGCCCAAGTCAACAACAGTCCTGAACGCCCCCATCAACTCAGACATGACATACCTCCTGTCAATCGTTATTTCAAAACAGAACTCGGTCACAGGTAAAACGGACACTGTGGCCAGTGTAGCTGGACGTCTCGCGGCCAATGCCGAGGTCCAGTATCTGGGAACTGTCGAGGTCCAGGGTAACACAGACAACTCGACAAAATCAGGAGAACAAGGTTTCTTACAGCTGACCTGGAACTATCCACTGGAGCAACATGGCGGCAACTACATTTGTACGGCGTCTGGCCTCAACTCAGCCAAACAAACTGTCTCGTTAAGTACATCCGTGCAGATTGTGGTCACACAGCCCAACATCTCCGACCTGGTTAGTTATATTTCTGACCATGATAAATCACTCACAGATTTACAGCTTCAAGCAACACAACAGAGTCACAGCACCCAAGTTATGAAACTTGACATGGAGGAACTACAGGCTAATCAGACCAAACAAGCATCGGAAGCAGTGGATGAATTGAAAAGTGTACTCGTGCATAATGTACAATCAGGAACCAATGTTTGCTCTGAGAACGTGCAGTACTTTAATGTGTCCTTCAATACTACACCGATTGTTTATGTGTCTGTTTCTAGATTTAACTTATCTCCAGACTCATCTGCCCGGTATGCTAGCATGAATTGGCAAGTGTCTATCCAAACGGTTACGCCTTATTTCTTCACAATGAGCTGTTCGCATTCTAATTATCTCACTCTGTACAATGTTGACTGGCTTGCCATAGCAAATGAAAATAAAAATAACCAGCAATGATACTTACAAGTTTAAAAATCTTTATTGGTTAATTATATTCAAAGATCAGTGTACATATCTTAAAATTAGTGTACTTTTTGTATAAACTGTAAAGTAACAAAATAAAGTTTCTGAATCGATATGTATCGTGTGTTTTTTTCCCACTAAGCATTTAAAAAGTAATGCTTATTTTCAGACTTCCATAACTTCCATTATCTAGATCTTCTAAATATATAATTCTTTTCTTGGAGACCCTAGAAAACACCAAGCTGTCGCGCCTCCTAGCAGTCCCCTCTCTTCCTCTCTAGGCATATCGCTACCACACCCACCCCCACATGGTCTGGTGAGCTGTGGTTCACGCTAAATGTTTACAATCGTAGAGCCGGGTTAAGTGACGGCTATTCGGGGCATATAATTTAGTTTGAAACTATTTTAAACTTAGGGGAGGTAACTAAGAGGAGGCTGCTTTCACGGGGGGTGGGGGGTAGGGGTTGGGGGAAAGGAGGGTTTTAGTGTTTTAAAGCAAATATTTTCAGTGGCAGCATTCAAATTATGAATTACTGAAAAGTAGAAAATAAAACAACTAAATAGCGGCGTATGATTCGCCGCGGGTCGGCTCGTTGTGATATATTTCACTAAGCTGAATAACTGGTGAGATATGGACTAAGCAATACATTCTTGGTTTCAAAGGGTGAATATGAGATGAAATAATGTGAGGGCATACATTTTATGGTATCTTTCAAGGCAAAAAAGATTAATTACGTTTTAATATATTAATACAATTTTTCGTAATTCTGGGGGAGGGAGGGGCAGGGGATGGGTTATGTGTGGTGGTGGATAAGGATAAAAACCGGCTAATATGCGTGAAGTCTTATACGGGTCCCCTCTGTTATACACACACACACACACCTTAATGGTATAGTCATGTGTCGCTATGTGGTATCAGACTACGTCAATTGATAATTTCAACAGGCTATAACGTAATTCTAATCTTTCAGCAAGGGGTTTTTAGAGGATAGTTTTGATAAAAATATAGAATCAACAATGCGGGAGTATGTCAAGTGCCTTAAAGTGAAATAACAACTGAGAATATCTTAAAGCAGGGAAGATAGACATTCACTAGTTCGTTTGGTGTTTGTTTTTTATCGGAATACAAATTATTGTTAATGTTGTACAGATTGTTTTATGTTTGTTGTATCCTCTTTTTTTGTTAGCTGACGCCCAGGACTTATTAATACAATACATAACATTTTTAAAAGCATGCAGATCTAGTCTAAAATGTTATTGTATTAAAATAATTGATATAGGCTAAAAATACTTTCATATTCGTTGTTTTGTTGACTAAGATTTAAAGTGGCTATTTTTCGACAGTGTTGAGTGCCATTAAGTGGGCAAGATAAAGTTCTTAGAACCACTTCATTTATTAACAAAAGGTATAAATTGAACCGTTACAGTACTACGACTCTAGTTTCATAACGTGGCGCACATCAAAATGCAAGTAATGTATACAAACATGATCACAGCTATTATGGTAGGCCTACTGGGTATCGCTTTAGGTGAGTTTTCTTCGTTTGTGTACATTACTGTAAGTGCTATTATAAATTAATGTAAGTGCTAAACAACTTGTAAGCTTTTTAGTTATATGATACTAATAAACTGAAGGTAGGTAATCCATTCGCGTTGTTTAACCACAGAAGCTCGATACGTGTACCCAAAGAGCTTCAGTGTAGGTCTAAATTGGTGTGTCGAACTGCATAGGGTTAACTCAATTATTTTTTTTTATTTTTTTTTATTCTTTAAGCTTCCGAGCTGAAGTTTGAATCTAACCCATCCAACATCCACCCAATTCTGACCAAAACTCTACAAGTTCGATGTGCGGTGAAAATCAGTTCGTTAAGAATTCAAGGAAGTGCTCGTTTAGGTCATGGTTTCGTTGATCCCAGCAATGCTAAAATCCAACAAAACGCCACAGCTATCCAAAGAAACAATAGAACACAGAATACCACAACCTCTCCAACACCACACAGTCAACTACTGACGGGTAACCAATCAACGAGCACACCCCCACATGTCAATGATGATGTATCTCACATTACATCCATTATAATAAGCAAAGAGGTGTCTGGACACAAAGTAACTGTAGCCAGCGTCACCGCATTCGATAGCCCCAGCATAGAGAGCCCATTCACGGGGATTGTTTCCGTGGAGGGGAACAGTAACACGTCTCCGGTGACAGGTGAACAGGGATACCTGCAGCTGAGGTGGGAGGAACCTCTGGCTAGGGAGGCAGGTGTGTACACGTGTGAAGTGTTTGGTTTAAACACAGACAAGCATCCCGTGTCCTTGTACGACACGGTACAAGTACAGTCATCTGAGCCAACTTACACAGAACTGATTGCCTACATCTCGGCATTTGACAAAGCAGTAAGTTTTATTCCCCCACACTAAACTTCGTGAATAATGGTAATTAGTTTTCAAGTCAGATTTAACATTTTCATTGTTTCTGTTCAGTTTTTTTTTAAATTATCAATTTGTTAAAATCCAGCATTAAAATAAGAACTGGTTTGCATATGATTTGCATATTAGCATAGATGAGCATAGTTGTTTTTTTGTTGTTGTTGCCGTAACTACAATTAGTCTTCCTCTCCCTCACCACCTCATCTCCATACATGTTAACAAAGCAAAAACTTCTCTAAGAATGAGCCAAAAAGTTAGTAAATTGTTAGTTAGCCCAATTCATTCATTATTGAGCCACACTGTATTCAATTATTTAAAATTAAATAATTGTCAAGTTTTCTACTTTTAATCAAAACCCACTTTGCTCTTCATTCACCATGTCTTTTACAATCAGCTTTCAGAGCTACAGAAAGAAAATAAAGAGCTGCGGATGTTTCAGTCAAATATAACAGCAGATATTTCAGAGATGGGCACCAAACTGTACAACCTAACAGGACCGGAAATTCAGACTGGAAGAGTTAGTTGCTTATCTACAACTGTCAACTTTCAAAGTTCATTTAGTAAAACACCTGTAGTTTATGTATCTTTATCTGGGTTTCGCACATCAAGTTCTCCCACTAGTGGGTTAATTGAAGCTAGTATCAGGTCTATAGCCAACAGTTATTTCTATCTTGACTGTTCAATGTCTGGTTTCTATAATACTCCCACAGTAAGCTGGATTGCTATTTGTTAAGTATTATCTCTTTCAAATGTTAGTTTTGTACTTTCAAAACTAACATCAGCATAACATTGAGTTTTTTACTGCCATTTTACTGCTTTGTTATTACTACTCTAATGTTGAGTTTTGTTACTGCCATTTTATTGCTTTATTATTACTATCTTCCAACTAACAGGCCTAAAAATGAAATAACAAAAGAAAAATTAAATAAAGAACTTTGCTGTTAAAAATTCATATACTGTTATTTTTGAAGTGATAACAGATTTACATTATACCTAGTTTATAAATGAAATAATATTTTACTACTATTTGACTTGGAACATTTACACAGAGATGTATTTTTGTATTTTTTTCAAAAAAGAAATAAAGAGAAATTTTGATGTTAAAATTCATTTAGACCCGGTGTCATATTGAGAAAGCACAAGTCCAGTTAAACAAAAAATAATAGAATAATTATAGAACTTTTATATTCCTTCATATCATGCCAAGATCAGTAAAAGAAAAACAATTTGGGCCTAAAGAAAATCTGGTGTGAAGGATGTTTAACATTTACCAGTGTCAGACTGAAGAAACCTGTCACCACATCTAAGCTTAGTGTACTTACCTGCTGGTTGAAGAGTGCCCAGAAGATAGGAAGTGGCAGAAATAGAAACAACACTTTCAGCAAAGACTTCACATCCTCTACAAAGTCTTCCTGTATACAAAGCCAAAATGTTCATGGTAGTTTTAACCAAAACAAATCAATAATTATTAAACATTCCTCAGTGGGATGTGCATAAGGGAGATTGGAAGTTTATTATTTATGGAAGGTTTAGACTTCACATTTGTTAGTAATTTCTGTACTAACTTTAACCTATGTTGTGAGGTGGTGAGGTCGAGTGGTAGAGCGCTCAACTGCTAGTCCAAAGGTTTCGAGTTCAGGTCTTGTTCTGGACTTTTTACTGTAAGGCTTCCCTGTGTCCACCCAGATCTGATGGGTGACTGACTCAAGTTAGGGAAAGTAAAGATGGCTGGGGATCGTGCTCACCACACCGTCCCTTCATATGTTGAGGTCAAGAAAATTATAAACTCGACTTATCTGTCCTAAGGATTGTTAAGTCTGAAAAGGGAGCTTTAGTTCACTAGCCTATGTTATTATTCAGTCAAACAGTAAACAGTTAAAGCTGATTTAAAATGAAGAAGCTTGTGGAAAAAATTAACTCACTTCAAATGTATCTGTGGCATGATTTAGCCAGTGATGGTCTCGCTCTTCATTCTTTCCATTTCTGATTCTTAGCTTTAGTCCATGCTGTAGCAAGAAAGCAAATATGTTTTAAATAGAGCATAGGGTACATTTTTAAATTTATAGGCTGTTAAATGGTAAAGTACACTGGTTAGATCAGGTGATAACATTTTAATTTCTCCCCCCCATATCTCAACTCCTCCTTTCTGTTTAACATGACTTGTAGTCTGACATACAGGGGAAACAATTCATGTTTAATTAATGTTTTTTTGTTTTACTAATGGTAGGTAATTGAGAATATTTTTTAATTAATGTGTGAACCCCAACTATTGTTCATTTAGAATTTTTAAAATACAATTGGTTTAATAATCTCTTTCAATGGTAAAATAAAAGCAGACGTACCCAGACACAACGAGACACTCTGCCAACCAAATTCCCTGTTGGGGGAATCTGCTTGTAGTGCTTTCTTCCACAGACAAAAATCACTAGAATAAAATAAGAAAATCATTTTAAACTTTCTGTACTGTAGAAACAAAGAAAAGACAGAAATGATAAGAATTAACAATAAACGGGAGGCTCCAGTGACAATAAACGGAAGACAGGTAAATGATGTGCAAGAGTTTGTCTACCTTGGCAGCAAGATCAGCAAAACGGGAGGCACAGAGGAGGACATACGCGCTAGAGTTAATAGAGCCCGCTGCGCTTTCACAGTCCTGCGACCCATATGGAAAAGTTCGGCCATCTCCATTACCAAAAAAATTAGGATATTTAACTCTAATGTCAAGGCAGTTCTGCTGTATGGAGCAGAGACATGGAGAGTCTCCAAGGCAAGCACAGCAAAGATACAGACCTTCATGAATAGATGCCTTAGACAAATACTGAAACTGAGATGGCAGGACAAAGTGCCGAACTTGGAACTATGGAGGAAAGCTAGGCAGGAGCCTATGGGTGTGCAAATAAGAAGGAGGAAGTGGCACTGGGTGGGTCACACACTGCGAAAGGCTCACACAAATGTTACACGCCAAGTGCTTGAGTGGAACCCCCAGGGAAAGCGGAAGAGAGGGCGCCCAAGACAGACCTGGAGGCGGAGTCTTCTTGAAGAACTGAAGCCAACAGGGATGTCTTGGGAGATGTCAAAATTAAAAGCCGAGGATAGGAAGAAATGGACGGAAATGGTGGAGGCCCTATGCTCCATAAGGAGCAAAGAGGACTAAGTCAAGTAAGTCAAGTATTGTAGAAAACTCTCTTGATAGGGTTGTGTTCCATGTTTCTTACAAAAGGCTCATTATTATATTTCATTTAAACACTCTAATCAAACTACATTTTAAAACTAAATTATATCAACAATAATCTGAATTTATAACACTATTAAACCTAACTATCATTAGATTATTTTAAGCATTCAGTATTTTTATAATTAATTAATTCTATAAAAAAAACACAAATTTGTGTTTATAAATGTTTATATTCCAATGGTAACAAATATGGCTCTAGTACCTATGGCAATTGCTATATTTGGCCAAAGTCCTAAACATTAGAAACATTACCAATGGATAAGATCATCAAGATAGTTGGCACACCAAATGCCAGGGGGTAGCAAGCATTTCTGTAGCAATGAACATCAGCTGTTTGAGAAATAAACATAAAATAATGGTATTTTTTTGTGCAAACCCAAGATTATAAAATCACACTTAAAGAATAATATATTAAAGCATCAGTTAGATAATTAATTTTATTATTATAAAATACATAGATTTACAAATTCCTACCTCTTAATATAGGGGTAATAAATGTAGACAATGTACTCCCTAAATTTATCATAAAGTAAAATGTTGAGAAGAAAGACAGCCTTTCATTTTCCTGGAAAAGTATTATTTGAAAAGCAATTAGTAATACAAGATGTACAAAAGTTAACATATTAAACAACTTATCTTAAATATTTCTTTATAAAATTACTTTTTTATTTAATTTAAATATTTCATACTGCCTTGTCAGCTTTAGGTAACCGCAATCAAATAGGTGGTCTCCCTTTTGATTCCAGGCCAAATTAATTTTTTAAAATTGATATTTACCTGATGTGATGAGAACTGATCACCACCAAATGCTGAAACACATGGCTTAATGCCTCCAGTTCCAATGCTTATCAACAGGAGACCAATTACAGGGCCATAGCTGAACAAATAAACAATGTATTTATTACAAACATATAACATACAGCAATACATAAAATGACAGCAATTCATATGTCTAAAATAGTTAAAATAATCTTATTATGATGTGATCCATCTTGAAAATCCATGAAAGGAAACTTAAGAGTTTGTAACAAAATGTCAACTAAGTTTCATCAAATGACTGAAGTAAAACTGAATTAATGTTTAATATGTATAATTTCAACATCCGTCTAGTTAGTCACTTACATCTCTGGTGGTGGGAATGCTGTCAAGGAAAGAATCAGTGTTCCTATTGCATACAAGATTGAGATGTAAAAGATTGTTCTGTAGAGCAGAAACAAAATGCCTGTTCATAGGTTTAGACTTTTTATGTTTCCCTTAATTTACTTTACTGCTAACAATGTATAGACAATTATGCCCTATATTTTATATTTTATATATTTATCCAAATATAGAACTGCCTTAAATATATATTTTTAGAAAATAAGCAATTTATTTATTTAGACTATCCTTTTACATAAAACTGAATGTTTATCTAATGAATTACTTTTAACAACGTCACACCCATTTAAAATCCTTTTAAATGCTTTACTTTAATATAAATATTTTCTGAAGACGCACTTGTATCTCCCAAGGTAACCATCAGCTATTATTGCTCCCAAAATTGGTGAGAAATAGGCCAACATGCTAAAGAAATGATACACAGAAACACCTGTGTAGTATGGAAGCTCTAACCATTCTGTCAGGTAGATGACTAGAATTGCTAAAAAAGTAAAATAATATATGGGTTAAGATTGCTTTTGCAATAATCTGTAAATCTATAGAAATGTTAAGTTAGAACTAAGATAAAACATTAGTTTTATAGGCTAATTAATTTACATAAATTGTATTGGTTTATTTTAATTATTAAAATAAGCACATTTTTAATGGGTTTAATTAATTGATAAAAGTTTATAGGCTTATTTCAATCATTAAAATAAACTTCAGTTTCATGGGTTTATTTTATAGGATTAACATCCTTCATTACTTCTCATCCCATAGTAGTTAAACCTTTCACAAAACTCAGTCCACAAAATCAGGAACACTGTCTTTGGGTAGTCTGAGCTGTGTGTGAAGAAATTCTGTAAAAATTGTAAAAATGTTCTATAAACTTATACAGAAATAGAATAACAGTTGACTTATATGTTTGCTTTTTAATCCATACCCATATCTGTGAGTGCAGCAAGCATGAGAATGTATATAGATAGACTATTTTTTTAGATCAACTTTGACATTTTACTTTAAAAACATTGGCAATGAGTTGGCTACTATGTGTGATGCTTCAGTTTCAAAATGAATATTTTGATAACTAATTTTGTAAGTTAATGCTACAAAAATGATAAAAATACAAAAGTATTTTTTTTAAACATTAAAATGTATGCATATTTCTTGACTACCTAAGGAAAAAGAATTTAATAGTGTGCATTGTTCAGGGGTATATATAAATGCCCAAATTAAAAAATCAGGTTAGTCTTCTGCTCTTAGATTCACAGCAATACAAATCGTACAAAAGCTGCTGATTGTTGAAAAAACTGGCTTGATAGATTTGATATATATTATTATATTGGTTGTGTTCAAAATAATTTTTAAATAAAAGCTGCACTTATAGTTTAATTATGCATTTGTTCTACAAATAAATAATAACTCCTACATGAAATTCTAGCATAGTTGTGAAAAAAAATTATTTTTAAGTGATGTTTTTATTATTAAAATCATTGATCTTTGGTGTTTTAAAATAAAGATATTACTTGTATAAGAGTGAACATATATAGGTTTAATATGAATTTCGCTTGAAGGAAAACTGCTTAGCTGGTGGTTGTAGTGGAATATATAGACAATAAAAGAACATTAGGCAGCTAATTAATATAATTCTGGGAGGATAACAATGGTCAAAGCTATAAAATAAACGTCCTTTTGTTTTAAGTTTTACACAAATTTTGAACTTAATATTTAGGGCCGGGTTATGTCTTTTCTGCTAAACTTTACATGTGCATGTATATGTAAATGTTTTCCTTATACCAAAGCATTTCAGACCAGAAACTAAAGATAACCATATTTAATTGTTACTAAAATAATCAAACACATGTTGCCTGATGAATATGATGTAAGGGGGATTTTTATCTGATAGCATTGTAGAGAATAGCAATAACAAAGATGTATGCAGCTGTTACAGGGGGTGTATTCATTGTTTAGATAACATCCATGCATCAGTGTTAGGTGAATTGAAGATCATGGTTCATTCAATCAATAAAGTTTTCAAATTCTAGTTAATGTTTGAAACTTCGAACTTGCATTTCTAATATTCTTATTGCCTATCTAATTGCTTTAAATTTTTCCTTTTTTAGTAATATGAAAAAGTATTTGACTTAATTTAATAAGGTAAAATGCTGAATTGTAGGCCTATTATAACTAATGATAATTAAAAAGATTTATTCCTAATTTACAAATATTTTTATAGTTATCAAACAATTTGTTTCTTATTAATAGTTTTTCAGACAATTAACAAGCAATTCAATCCTAAATAATAATCTTTTTTAATAGCTTACAAGCAGTTGATTTCTAATTAATAGATATGTTAATAGTTTACAAGCGATTCATAAGTAATTAATATCTATTCAAATAGCTCACAGATGATTTATTTCTAGATCTACATATAGATTTTCCAAAAGATACATTCATAATAAGCAACAATTCAAACAGCGATTCACTTCTTGTAGTTCACAAAAAACTAAAAAATAAAACTACTCAATTTCAATAAACTTTCCAACCATTACAAAAAATCAATTGTGAAGGTTAAGCTCTGGTTCAATATGTTAATATATTCACAAATAAATTTTCTGTAAGTTACAGAAACAAATTGTAAATAAAGTTGAATCCATCTAGTTTTATGATTTAACAACCTGTTCAACTTAGGCTGCTGCAAGTAAATTTTAAAAAATTACCTTTACTTGTCCCCATGATGAAGTGCCCATATCTGCACTACCCCTGCCACCTGGTAGCAATGACTCTTCTGTAGATATGTTAAGTACATTTAGATAGGGATGATGCATTAAAATATATGAGTCGTAAAAAAGCATGCTGGTCATACAAGGAGTATATGATCTTGATCACACTGTTATATAATTAATAAAATAACAATTTATAATAATTACATTAATATATCATTTTATTTTTTATAATAAAGTAAAAGGAAACCTTTTAAAAATCTAATTTGTATTACATGTGGAACAGAACATGACAATACAACAAAATCCATTTTTTAAGGGCTAGTCCTAGATAAATGACAAAAAAAAAGCTAACTGTATTTGAACTAATTGGCTTGCAAAATAGATCACCTTCATTGGCTGCAGGTTTTTGTATTTGCTTGGAATAATGAACCTGGCGGTCATCATCAGACTCACTTGTCAACATCGTCATTGGTAACGAGTGTTAGTGTTAGAGTGTAGGTTAATAGTTTTAAGGACAAGCTATAAGAAAGATGTTAGTTTGTTAGTGTATTAATTCATAATAATGCTAGAATTAAAAATAAAGGTATTATCATTGGTGGATCTAGCCTATGAGGTTTTTGTTGCTTTCTTTCTATGGGAGGGGGGAGAAGGTTTAGATATACATAAATATAATGTGAGGAGGGGGTCAGACCTACAAGATTTCCTGAGATCACCCCATAACTATATACAGTTAAGAAATATTAAGAACAGAACAACTTCTAAAACATAAAAACAAATAAAGCATTTGTTAATCTGATAGGCATTTATTTATTTTTTTAAATAACAAATTTCATGGGTAGGCACGCCCTCATCCCCTCCCCTGATGCACCTACTATGTGTATGACTAATTAAGTTATATTGATAAGCATATCATTATTAAGTTAAACATTCTTGATTGTATCTATCATGGAAACCATGTTATTCCATATGCAGAGTTATTCCATATCCCAACAGTCACAATGATTTTTTAATCTTAACAATCTATCCTCATTTCAATGTTTAATTTTCAACATATTTGAGTGTGTAGAGGATATTTATAGGGGTGTCCATAAATGATGACACACTTGTAGGGGGAATGGTCCGTAATTATGTGATGAGGAGGAGGAGTGGAGGGGGAGTTCAGACAGTGTGACATCGAACTTGCATTTTTTTAAAAAGTAATGTTAGAAACTGAATTTTAGCTGTTATTTCACCTTTCAGAAAACTGCTTTAATAAATTGTAATAAAAATTTATCAAAGTTGAAATTATATATTAAATTAAAATTTGATGTTTAAAAAATGTAACTGCAATTTTAAAGGGGGTTGTAGGCTGAACTGTGACATCCTTTAAGGGGGTGTCTGGCTCTTAGTGACAATCTGTGATGTCATTAAAGGATGGCCCCATATTTCTTTTGTGTGTAAACTTACTATGAGAAAAGGATTTTTTAAACAGCTAAAAGGAGTAAATTTGAGGCATAATACAAAGTGCAAACTAAAAACTTAGTAAAACCAAATTAAATTATACCATACCTTTTGTGACAGATGGGTTTAGAGATATATCACAAAAATCACTGATTTCATGTTCACTGGAGGCCATTTTTCAACAGCATTCCTATAAAAAAAGAATTAAAGTTTACTTTAATATCATTTACTGCTTAGTAGTGTACCTACGTAATGTTATTAGTGTGCATCAATGTAATTATTCTTTACACTTTCAATGACGAAACGGGAAATGTGGTAATTGGTATATTTTATTTGACCCAAAACAACTTCAAGAGTACCAAGCATTAGCTATGTTTAAATAATACAAAAACCAGAGCAATAGTAGAGTCCTAGACAGAATTGTTTTTTTTGTTTCATGATTTCAAAAGTTTTTATTCCCAATCTGTACCTTAACCCTAGTTCCAGTCATAAATTTTTAAAAAGCAAAGAGTTTTTCAACATAGCATCAGAATAAAGTGGGTCAGCAAATCCAGTGTTAAAGAGATAAGGAGGATTGACCTAAAGGATATTGTTTGAGAAAAAAAGGACAAAAGAATGGCAAGGGCTTGCTCATGCCAAGTGTTACTCTAAGAAAAGGATTTGGAAACATAAAGAAAAGAGATAAAATAAGAGGCCAAAGAAAAAACGGGGCATGAACTCAAGTGGTATCCCAGCACTAGGGTGCATGAGAGTTATTGCTGCCTTATGTTCCACATGATGCAACATGGATAAGTAAATAACTTTTAGTGATAAATTAAGAGAAAATTGCTAGGTATGCTTTATGTAACATAATAAACTTCAGCCACTACTATCATTTTCCTACAATCTCATCCATAACCAAAAGGATTTTAAGTAGCATTATTTTTCATAAATCCTTACCAATGGAGCAAAGCGCAAAGACTACCTTTTTTAAACAAACTGGTTCTCAGGTAGGGCCTACATTCATTATCTAACACCTAACATTGTTATCATAATCATATAATCTTCTTCGACCCACATAGCTTTAATCCCACATTATATCATAAATGGTATTAGCTTTAATTTTTATTTTCAGGGTGAAAAAGAGTAAAATGAAACTAAATCTGCTAGAAGCAGTCATCAAATAAAACAGCATGAAGCAGATCCTTACTTGTGCAAAATTAGTCCAAAATTATATATTTCTAATAAATCTAATGAACCAAAATGTTAAAGAAACAAAAACAACATCCTTTGACATAAAAAGGCTTTAACTTTATTCACATATAAATTCTATTAATGTAATGGTAGAATGTCGGCTTGTTAACCTGAAAATCTCCAGCATGGAACATGGGCTAAGGACCGTAGATTGTGCACTGAATGAACTGCCCTTTCATATGCAAAACATATGGTTGCGATGCACTGGGGGAAGGAAGAAAAACCTTGGTGGACAGACATGTGTCTAGCAGTTGGCAATATGATGTTTGAGAGAAATGCTCAATCTGAAGCCTGTTCCAGTCAGCCTTGCTTATAAGCAAAAATTTGAGCTGGCAATGAAGGTATGGGAGAGAGAGAGAGCACTTGATTCCATATATATTTGGGATTACAACAAGTAGATCTAGATAGATCTAGATCAATTTTTTTTAGCTTTACAAATTTACTAAAAGAAATATTTAGAGTAGAGTTAGAGTTTTAAAATTAAAATTACTAATTAGTATTACATCAGTATTACTAATAAGTAATTAGTAACTATGGCTACAACAGGCGTACACAGGTTGCTAAATTAAAAGCCCTGAAAGAATATACTGAAACAAACAAAAGTGTCAACAAATGCATGAGGAAAGACAAACAAAGTTATTTAATTATTTAGATCTAGAGCTGCTGGCAAGTGAAGCAGAAGAAGCACTTTACCATGGGAATGTTCTGACTGGGATTCAAAGGGACGACTCAAAATATCATCCTAACAGGTTACTAACATTGGCAGAAGAAGCCCTATAGGTCGCCTATAAGAAGTGGATAGATTCTCCTACCTTGGAAGTATTGACTGTTGATAAGCAGGGCGGGACAGAAGCAGACATAAAAATAAGGACAGGCAAGGCAAGAGCAGACTTCAACCAACTACAAAATGTTTTGGGTTCTGGATCTGGATATTTAAGTTAGATCTACACTTGCCTTGGAATATCATCCCTAGAACTTTAGACTTTAAGTCAGTCTAAAGTTTAGACTGACTTAGAGTTTAGAACTTACTAGATTTCTAGATCTAGATCTAGTCTAGATAGATACTAAGATACTAGGTCTAGATTCTATCTCTACTCTAACTATTAAACAACTAACTAAACTAAAATTCATTATTGCACAGCAGGTTACAATTTGCAAACTTTTAGGTCTTTAAGAGTCTTAAACTTAAAGGTAGATCGTCTCCTGGCTGAGATGGCGGGATGACCTCTGACCCTGAAACGTCACTCGTCTTTTTTTTCGTTTTTTTCGTTTTTTTTAGGGGTCCGTTACACGACAAATGAAAAAACTGCTAATATCGCAAAATCTCATCATTATTTTAATGTGAGATGCTAACTAAATGGACGCCATGCCTTAAAATGTTCGAAATATTCACGAGATACGTGGTTTTAATTAATACACGCTATTTTTGTCGAGTACTCTTGGGAAAAACTGAACTGCCGCCTTAAACGGCCCAGTACATGGTCGAAACCCCCTGGTACAAATGCAGAAATATATAATTGAGATATTTATAATGATTCATTACAGATCTGTTGATACATTTTTTAAAAATCGAATATGAGGATGAGGTACCCATGCAGAAATTTCTGTCCGCTTTGTTTACTATCGTGACGTCATTGTTACGCTAGTTACCTCACAGAAACAACTAGTTTTTGTTTTTTGCGGAATGAACCTTTAAGTCTAGTATTTTAATTATAATTCAATTGTAGCGTGTGCAGAAAAAGTAAAATTATGGACATTATTATTGTATTAGTAATTTTATTAAAATATGGCCTATATTGATTTTTTTCTTCACTGTGGGCCGACAGTAGCTGCATTGAATTTAATTCGTGACCGGTGGTTAACCTCGCCAACGCTGCGTGGCCTATTCGTTTATATAATCAGTGATGCTCGTTCAGTGGCCTTTTTCAGAGCTAGGCCTAATTTCGGGCGATTTTTAGACTTATTTGATAGGCCGTTAGCCTTTTTCATTGCTGCGTATTTTAAACAATGCTTGTTCAGCGGCCTTTTTTTTTGGCGCTAAATAATCTGTTTACGGGCATTTTAAGCGTTTATGTGTTTATTATTTTTAAAGCTAGACGTAGATCTAGTTTTAAAAAATGTGCGCGAGCATCATTTTCGTCTGTTAAAATTACAATTGGTTTAAGTTCAGGATGGAGATCTTTTATCGTTTTTTTTTCTTGACAGATTTTATCAAGATAGATCGACTTCAAGTTGATATTGAATATTTAAATTACTTTACCTTACTACATTAAACTACATTTGCTTTATCTTTTAAGAGAGTAGACAAAAAAAATTAAGCTAAGTTTTAAAATTAGTCTTAGTTTTGTATCCATTCGGCTCTACTCTATTATAATTTGCTTGAAGAAGGGGGGGGGGGGAAGAGAGAGAGAGAAGTGAAGACACCGACGATCTCGTGTACGCGTGTTCATTCTATGACGTGTACTACAGGCCTGCTGACCGCACAGTGACCCCTCGACCGTGGTGGGATTTTTCACCGCGGGATAGTAAACATAAGCAAGCAATCACGCGAGTGACGATGTTTGGAGATTTTATTAAAAAAAAATTACACGTCACGTTTTCAATATGAAAAAAATGTAATGTAAAAAAAAAAGACACTAATACCGTGTATGAACTTCAGCTTCCACACTGTTGACTCAATATAATGTGAATTGAGTTAGGCCTATTTCTTGTATTTATAGACTACATAACAATCATATTATTTTAAGCATATTTAATAAAATTAGAATTTGAAATAAAAATATTTTTTATGGTAATTTGAGTTATGCAAGTGTTCATTATTTCATAAAAAATGGTATGAATAACATGTAGAGTAGAATTTGTAATGTACATTTTCCTTTACCAATTTAATAAATAACTATATCTAGTTTTATTATCAATCAGTTGGTTTTTTTTTTGTTATTTTCCGGTGAGTAAATAACCTAAGTTGACACACCCCTTAAAAAACTTGTGCACACCAGTTCACGACGTCATGCCATGCCGGCAGGGATCGAGAACGTGGGTTTTGTCATTCATTTTCCATTCTAGACAAATTTTAAAATTCTCTCTTTTCTCGTCAACTGAGTAAGCTAGATATTTAAATGTGGTGTCAAATGTTCTCTTAAGGGGTAAGGAACTTAATAGTGTATTTGAAATAACAGAATATTTTATTTTAAAAAATCCATAATTAAACCTATAATAAAGAGCATAACTATTATAAATATAACTAAACTAGATCTAGATCTAGATCTAGATGTATAAATCTAGTAAGATATTTAGATTGTAGAATCTAGAATCTATAGGCCTATGTAAATAAATACCCCTATATTTCTGTTATGGCTTTGATAAAAATGCACATAATATTTAATTGCGTACCATATGCCATAATGCACAAAATTATAATTTTGTTGTGACTCTAGCAGACGGATATTTCAGGACATCTTAATTACCGAGAATTCACCGCTTTTAACCTGTCGTTGACTATGAAATGAAAAACTATTTTGTAAAATATTTTCTAAATCTAGATCTAGATCTATAGACATATCAATAGAAACAATCTACCGTAAATTATTTTTTAAAAAATTAATATAAAATCAAAAGTCCCTCACATTATCTAGTAATGTTAGTATAGTTATTTGTTTATGTTTCTTTCTATGAAGATTTCATTGGTTTAAAATTTAATAACGATGTCAAATATCCCTTCCCGTAAATGTAAATGTCACAAATATATAGATCTAGGTAGTGCGGAGTCAAGAGGTCAGGTGTCGTACGGAGTGGTAACTCATAGACTCATTCCACCAGAGGCGTAGCGACCCTTCCCGGCGCCCGGGGACAAACTTTTCGATTTGCACACCCCCCCCCCCCCTCGAAATTTCCATTTGCACCCCCTCAAACTTTCGATTTGCACCCCCTCAACCTTTCTATTTATTTTTCCAACCCATTTTGGCGCCCCCTAAGGTACGTAATTCAAAAAGTATCATGTTTTTACTCTTTAAGTGCTACTGTAAATGGACTTTGCCTACCAAACGTAGTCTGTCATTATGTAAATCTGAAAATCCTAACAACATTTGATCGCTTAGCTCGTAAAAGTATTCTTCTTAAGGTAGATTTAATGCTGGACCAGTCTGCCTTGTTCATAAATAACCGAGCGAAAATATGTTCAGGATCTCTAGATTATAGTTGTGGTTAAAAAGTGTTGAAATTAAGTGCCATTGTGTATAGGCCTAAAAATTGTACTTTTTTAAAACAACTGGTAGTTCAGTGGTTTATATGCATTGTGTAGAACAAGAATATCACTACGATATTCAATAAATATGTTGTTTGTTTTGTTTGTTTTTGCCTTGAGTGTGAGATATTTAATCATAGTAAACAAAATCTAATATATAAAGCTCAATTCTGTAACGCATATGTTTGTTTGTCGCTGGTTATCAATGGATTTAAGTGTTAGAAAATTATCGTGCGCATTTGTCTAAATTTATGAGCTAAAAAATTACTATTAAAAGTGTTGGGAAATAATTTTCATTTTTCAAATTATAGTAATAATTGTCGGCATGTTCATTAAACACAAGTTTTAAAAAAATATCATCTTTTACAAAAATTCTAATTATGTCTTTATTTAGTCCTATAGCGTTTACTTCCCTTTGATAAATTAGGCAAAACACAATTACTTCCCTTTATAAAACCATTGCATTAGTTCAGGGGTCTCCAAACTTTTCAGTCCGAGGGCCGCATTAACTATCAAATTTCAATTCGGGGGCCAGTTTCTTCCAGGCATATCCTTGATTTTTCTGGGCAAAGTTCCTCAGCCATCACCAACAAACGTTTTTTCCTTGGACAAAGAGATCACCGCGGGCCGGATGAGGGGACATCGCGGGCCGCATCCGGCCCGCGGGCCGTAGTTTGGAGACCCCTGCATTAGTTGAAAAGTATTTACTTTTTAATTACTTTGTTTTGGTGTTGGGAAAAAAATAATTACATAATTAGCGGGGATTGATCAAGTGCAAATGTTGTAGGTATTTTACGGATAAGCTTGGAGTATTATAATTGTTCATTAAATTGAAACAGGCGCGTTCGTTTAAGTGAGTGCAAAAACTATGAATAAGTTGGGGTACTATAGTCGTTTATTAAGCTAAAACAGGCGATTCTGCCCCGGGCGTTTATGTTCGCGTTAGTGTTTTCTTTGTGTTTAGGTGGGTTTGCGTTAGTGGTTGCGTTTTGATTTGGTTCGTTTTTGTTCTTTCTTTTTTCGTTTTTGTTTGTGTTTTTTTTTGTTTGGGTTTGTATTTGTGTTTTTGGTTGGTTTTGCGTTTGGATTTGGTTTGTTTTCGTTTGCTTTTTCGTTTTTTTTTTTTGTATTGGTGTTTGTGGTTGGGTTTGTTGTTAGGTTTTTGTTTTCGTTTGCTTTTTTGTTTGTTTTTTCTTTGTGTTTGTATTGGTGTTTGTGGTTGTGGTTGGGTTTGTTGCTAGGTTTTTGTTTTCGTTTGTATTTGTAATTGTGTTAGCGTTATGTTTGCGTTTTGTTGTTTTGGTTTTGGTTGGTTGTGGTTTGGGCGAGCAATGCCGGGTTTATGATGATTACTAAACACACAGGTAATGGTCTTTAACAGAAAGGTTTTTCACAGAAGCCAGAGCAGGGCCTGGCCGGGACGGCTAGTCTATATATATATAATTCTCTTCATGGAGACCATAGAAAACACCAAGCTGTAAGCGCGCCTAGCAGCCCCCTTTCTTCCTCTCTAGGGATATCCCTACCACCCCCACGTCACATGGTCTGGTGAGCTGTGGTTCACGCTAAATGTTTACAATCGTAGAGTCGGGTTTAGTCAGGTTTATTGACGGCTATTAGGGGCAGAAAATTTAGTTTGAAACGATTTTAAACTTAGGAGAGGTAACTAAAAGGAGGCTGCTTTCACGGTGGGGGGACGGGGGGTAGGGGTTGGGGTTGGGGGAAAGGAAGGTGGGGGGGGGTATCGTCCTTAATGACTTACTGATAGTGTTTTAAAGCAAATATTTTCAGTGGCAGCATTGGTACTGTCGAATTCACAAATTATGAATTACTGAAAAGTAGAAAATAAAACAACTAAATAGCGGCATATGATACGCCGCGGGTCGGCTCGTATATATTAATTTACTTCATTAATTTGCGATTGTACAATTAAACGAAATAATGAAAGAAATTTGCAACAAATTCTTTAAAGAATAAAATGTAAAATGTGCATTGAATTTCATTTAGGACGCTAAAACTGCACGAAAAATACTTAAAATACACTTACAATTATTGCATACGTATTCGCAAAATGTATTGGTAGTTTTTGAGAATTAACTTTACCCTGTTACTACTACAAACAACATGGCTGACAGGAGAAAAGCATTGGGAATTGTTGCAGATGGCAATCAAGAAACTGACAGACAGTTCATGGGTTTGTTAGGAATTAGAAGATATTTATCTTTCATAATTGGTAGCTAGATTTTAGTAGTTAACACTTTACTACTAAGTCACTAGACTAGGCTTGACGAGAGTAAAACTACTACTACTACTACTACAAGTACTAGAAACTAGATTACACAGTTATAGTCTCTTCATTACTCTACACTCTGCAGCTCTTCTTCCTTCATGCTAGTCACCACACTCACCTTTTCAACAGTTCTGCTAAACATGAAATATACTTCTATCAAAATGTTTTTAGATAAAAATAATGTCAATGGAATGTTGAAGGATGTTTTAACTAAGCTTATAGCTAATCGTCCAGATGACCCTATCAGATTTATCGCTAATTAGTAAGTAGCCTATAGTTTATTCTCCATTTATTTTTTATATAACCTTAAAAGATCTAATATTGGATCAACTTTATATTTTTTACTTGAATTAGATAATGACTCAGCTATTCAGATCTTTACGATGCAGACCTATAACTTTAAAGTTAAAAGTAAAGTAAATAAAATTTCCCCTTCAGAATTAATGATCCATAGGGCAAATAAATATTCCTCTTTAGAACTAATGATCCTTTGGGAAGATGAAGTAGAGTTCATATATATCTTGATCTCAGCATATCAAGAGATAGTGTGGTCAGCACTATGTCCAGCCACGTTTACTTTTCCTTATTTGAGTCAGGTAGCTAGACTGAGATCCAAACTTGAGACTTTTGGGTCGTTGTTTCCGCACTCTACTCCCGACTACATCTTCCCATAAAGTAAAAGGTCATATGTTTATTTATTAAATATTATTGTGTGCTTTCAAAAATTTCATTATTTTTAATCTTATAGTTTTGAGACAATCAATTTAGAAGATCAATCGAATGACCTTATTGCGAGAGTTGTGCAAATCATTAACCTCACACATCACAGTCGACCAGTTTTTGAAACCAACATCATGGCAGCATATGACTTACTAAATAACCACAAAAGTAAGTTCTTAAATTGATCTATTTTTTGTGTGGTCATCATTAAATTGTGTCTATTGCTAATATTGTCTTTTACTTCAATTGCACATATTAATGATATTGCTAGGAAGAGTCATGTATGGCTTTTAAATCAATAGATGCACTTCTTTCATTTGGTATTAGAACTTTCCTAACAAAAGGGTTTATTACTTTTGAAATGTTACACATAAATAATTAACTGAAATGGATATGTTCATGAATCAGCACTTTTAAGATCATTTAAAGTTTATATTGTTGGGTTTTAGTTAGCAAGAAAATTCATGGTGTCAATGGCACAGTACACAGCCAACTACTGCAGTCTCTATGCACGTAAGTTTCAGTGATTCATAATCTGTAGGATAACCTAATTTGCAAACATTGCTAGATTGGGCCAAAATAAAGTTGAACTAATAGATAAAGTATGAGATAAACTCTGCTTTACCTACCCTTAGAGGGGAAATTTACTACATTTTACTTGCATTTGCAAACAAATTAAAGTTTCTTTTTTTTTTTAAATTTGGAAAAATCAAAGCTAGAAAAGAAATTGAAAAATAGAATTACAAAAATTTGGAACATGTGAACTGCCAAACTCATTTAAATAAAGTAGGCCTAAAATTAATTTATAATTAACCTGGATTAAGTTTTTCTTATTATTTCTTGTAACATGAATTATTTATAGAACTAACCATGTCCAATGTTTTTATCCTTAGAGAGATTCCATTACCTGTCACTGTGAAGTTGTTTAAGAAAATTGGTTGTGCTGAGCACGAGGCAGTGCCTTATGATGTGTTTAGGTCAACTGTCTTTACCTGTTGTGTTCTTAAAGGTGAGTTTTGTTATTTTCTTTTAGCTGGTATGCAAAGAGGTTTGTAAAAAATACTTTCAACCTTTAATCACCCTTCTAAGTAGCATTCTATGAGTGCATTTTTTCTTCCTAATCCTCACAGTTGTTGTGTTGGTTTTTTTTTCTTTAATCATCATCACCATCATCCCTTAACCCTTATCATGGTCATTAGGGCACCACAGTTGATCTTAACAATACTCCACCATCCATCTCAGTCCTGTGACGCTCTTATTAGTTCTGAGATGTTCAATGTTGTCTTTGCCTTCCCCTTCTTCTCCCTTCTTGCACAGTGCCTTTCAATATTGTTTTTGATTGTATTAGGTTGTTTGATCTTATGACATGCACATACCAACTCAATTTTCTAGTTTAGACTATGCTCAGTAGACTCTCAAAGGGACCAATCACATTAGTGATTCTTTTTCGGACTTCTTCATTAATAGTAAAATTGAAATTACCTTTTCAACACATTTCAGCTCATCTGTCTTTCTGGCTTCTGCTCTTAAAGGATTTTTTTGGGCCATTATAATGTCTAGCCACCCTTAGTCTCTTCAGCATTAGCAAACTTCTTACAAATTTGGCCACTCTACCATTAAACATTAAAATGTTATTTGAAATTTTTTGGTCCAGGTTAAGCTTCAATTTTGGCCATTGAGAAATCTGTTGCATTTAGTATATAAGTGACTGTGTTTCTGTTTTCATTCTTATATGCAGATTATGTTGGCATGACTGGAAACCTTTTCAACATTCTGGATGTCAGGAAGACTGGTAAAGTTGATAAAGTTTTATGTGAGTCAACCCTGGAGCAACTCAACACAGCATTAGCTAGCTCTCAGAAGGATGTCAAAAGGTAGTTAAAGTTGAATTTTTTTCTATTTTTAAAGACATACCAAAAAATGTATACAGATAAACTAAATCTCTTCTAGCAATCAAGCGAAGAACATATTTTAAATGTGTTAATTTATTTAAAATCTTTTTTTTTTAATTCTTACACTATTTACCATATGGGATGTAGTGTTCTTATGGTAAAGTGTTTGAATTCTAGCCCGAAGGTCTTGAGTTCGGATCTTAGTTTGGACTTGTAACTGTAGGATATCCCTGAGTCCACCCAGCTCTGATGGGTACCTGATTTATGTTGGGGAAAGTTACGGCAGCTAGCCATAGTGCTTAGCACCTTAACCCTTAATATTTCAAGGTGAAGAAACATATGAACTCTACTTCACCTGCCCAATGGATTGCTAGGCTTAAAGAGGAATCTTTACTTTTACTTTATCATTAAGTTACACTTTCAGACTTATGGTCCATTGGGAACATGAAGTAGAATTACTTCATATTTCTTTTGTATTTTTAAGATTCTATTATTTACATTACTTGTTTATTAGTATAAAAGGTAAAATGTACACAGGTCTTCTAACTTATCAAGCACTCTTGAAGTTTTTTTAATGCCAAAGTAAAAAATTGTCATGTTAAAATAATAGGATCATGGAGTCCAGCTATCACTTAGGACCTGAGAGTCTCTTTAAAGCACTTGATAAGGTAAAATAATAACACATTCCAAAGACATCTACAGTTATAAAAATTTTAACTTTTGTTTTAAATTTTTAAACTTTATTCAGGATGTGTGGACATATTTTAGTTAGCTTTTCTTTCAATACAACTTCTTCTTTCATATTTATCCAAAGATTTATTATCCAAAAATACTACACTTCAAAGTCAACAACAGTTATACAAATTTAAATTTAATTTTAAACTTTATTCAGGATGTGTGGACATATTTTAGTTAGTTGTCTACTAAATATCTCTATCATCTGCTATCATATTTATCCAAAGATATCTTATCCAAAAATCCCACACTTCGAAATCAATAAAGTTATAAACAACAAAATTTATATTTTTAAATATTATACAGAATGTGTAGACATATTTTAGTTAGGTTTTTTCTACTAAATATCTCTATCATCTGCTGTCATATTTGTCCAAATATTTATTATCCAAACAATTTGTCCTCAGGCCTTGTCTAAAAGTCACACCAAGCTTTCAGGTGTGTTCACACGTGATCAGTTTGTGATAGAAGCTTGTGAATGTTTCCTCGCAAAGGTTAGTTCTTTCAAACCTCGCTATCTTTTTAAAGGTTTTTGAAAAAAATGAAAATAATATTATTGTTATGATATAATTGGCTTAATATTGTTGTAAAAAAAAACAGATTTTTACAAGGAATTATTCCAAACTTTAAATCTTATTTCATGTTTTTGAAAGTGAGTCTTTTCTTGTGTTTATTTTATGTTTTTTTTTTGTTCACTTTCAAATGCAAATCATTATTTATTAGGATTAAGGGCCTATTAAAGTAAATATTTCTTTGGAATTTAATCAACTTCTTTTTTATGTCATTAATCATAATTAATGTTGTTCATTTACTTCAGGTGAAAAAGTTGAAGTGAAGATTTCACAGCTAGCTGATGACAAAAAGTGTATTGTTTCTTTTCACAAGTCACAGGAATATTGAATAAATCAAAGTTTGCATTTCTCACACATTCCATTTAACTGCATTCTACTGTGTGGTAGTTATTTATTGTTGAAGAGAGATAACTGAGTATTTTAAATATATGACTGAGTTATCTCCATTTTTTTTTAAATAAATAAACTTTGTTATGGTTACAAAAGTTATAGTAGGCATCTGTTAATTATTAGTCCCCCTACCCCCGCCTCAATTAAGCACTAATAATTATAAAACAGTTTTCACATTATTTAGTGACACTAATTAGCACTTAAACTTGTTGATGTTATCATTTGTACAGTGGTTTGTTGTTGGTTGTTTGATTTTTTAAATAAAGGTAAACATTTTCAACATATGTGTTGGTACATTTATTCCACATGTTATTGTTGTTTTTTTTTGTGTATTTTTTCATTTCTGTAATAGCTATAATATGGTGTTTGGAGCAGTATTAATTACTTTTATTTTGTAAAATCTAGTCTTAAAGAGAGTGTGGTTTGACTGCAGGAAAAAGGTGTGAATAACTCCAGTTGATATACATATTTAGCCGGAATAAAATGTAAACACGCTGCAGATCCAATGATTTATAATGCCGATTAAGTAAACTTCTTCATCTGTCTAAGTATACCTAGGTGCCGTTAAAGTGTCCTTACCTAGGTGCAGCTAATTTGTCTAAGTATACACAGGTGCAGCTAATGTGTCTAAGCTTACACAGGTGCAGCGAATGTGTCTATACCTAGGTGCAGCTAATTTGTCTAAGTATACCCAGGTGCAGCTAATTTGTCTAAGTATACCTAGGTGCAGCTAATTTGTCTATACCTAGTTGCAGCTAATTTGTCTAAGTATACCCAGGTGCAGCTAATGTGTCTATACCTAGGTGCAGCTAATTTGTCTAAATATACCTAGGTGCAGCTAATTTGTCTATACCTAGGTGCAGTTAATTTGAGTTCCAATTGTGCCTAATGAAAAAGAAACTAGTACCCTTATCTGGCTGTGTCCAAGAGGCCTAGGAATTTTTTAAGCATGAGATGCCATTTGCTTGTTTCTCTTAATAGTGGAGGGGAAGGAATCTACTCGCTTCAGAAAGTGTAGTGTGTAGACTAGCTTCACATAGGGGATTGGGGGGAGGTGGGATTATAATATTAGCCTATTTCTACCTTATCACCCCACTACTCAAATTGTTGTTACAAAAAACTGCAAGGATAGCTCACACCCCTTTTTTTCTTTACAGGCACACCCACTTAAAATGACCTCAGGGTTATCATTTGAATAAATACTTATAATTGCATGGTCCTTAAAAATCATCTCTAGAGTTTCTTCCAGGCATCTCTTCGGAGGGGGGGGAGGAAAGCAGCCGCCAACCCCCCACCCCGAAAAAGTCTACCGCCCCCCCCCCCCCGAACGAAAGGGAATGTATATAGAAAATATATACTTTTGACAGTGTCCCCCCCCCCCCTCCCCCCCCCCCCCCCCCCCCGCCCCCCGAAAATTTCAAATGCACCCCCGGAGAAAAAAGTCTGGAAGAAACACTGATCATCTCTAGTTTTAAGAAATACAAAATATATGCTACCTAACAGTATTGAAGCCCATCCCCCCTAGGTCACTAAAGTCAGACATCCCGATATCTTCACCACCCCCCCCCCCCCTCTTCCCCCACGACATTATAAAGTAATATCAGACAAGACAAGCCCGAGGTGCTATTGACCAGGGTATCTTTTTTTTTTACCCAACACCGCACGCAGTTTATACACTTGCACCCAATGTGGTTAGTCATTCAAAAACCTTTTAACACCGGACCCCTATCCTCAACATCTGGTGATTGAATTAATGCCCCCTTTTTTATGTGTGCACGTAGAATAGTAAATCGCATCATTCGTTCAATGGGAACAAAGGGTCGCTCTATAGCTTGGCCATAATGAACACGGCCCTCTGTTGCTGTATTGTCTTCAGTCTTATCAAGCGCGCCTAGACAAGGTGCTACATAATTATTTTTACTTTGATCACTTGCCGTGACAAAACAGTGTCGATTTTTTATAATGCGGGTGTTGCTGGTATAGAGATATATTTAGAGTATCGATAGCAGCAAATGAGACATTACAGTTTACATAAGCACTGACAATGCTTCAAAGTGATAACAATACAATGGCTTAATACTTCTTCCACTCTCGCCCTAAAGAGAGTCCATTAACTCTTTAACGGAAAGGCCGTTATAGAAACATTGCATTCATTTTGGTCTTGAAACTATGAAAACGCACCTGATCGAGGGAGCTGCATTGAGCTCTATTGGGGCCCCTGCATGATAACGTTTCGAGGTCCGTCAAATCATTAAATCGCTAGGCTGTTTGCATTTTTTTTTCAAATTGAGATTAAAAGTACCCATTGAAATATGACTCCCGATAAAAGGCTCCCCATCTTCCAGCATCTGAAGACCGCGGTTCCCAAAAACTACACTACGAACACCCCCCCCCCCCCCCCGCGCCTCCCATTACATTCCTCGACATTCGTGTAGGTATCTATCTTGTTTACTTGGAATACATCTCAAGATCAACTGTTTAGTTTTTCTACCACGTTTGACGTGCGAGTCAGTGGCGTAGCTACCGTAAAGATAGCGTAAGCATGGCATAGGGGCCCAAGGCAAATCGGGGTCCTTTTTCGAAAGTTTGAGGGGGGGGTGCAAATCGAAAGTCTGAGGGGGGGGGGTGCAAATCGAAAGTTTGAGGGGGTGAGGGGGTGTGCAAATCGAAAGTCTGAGGGGGGGGGGGGGGCGCAAATCGAAAGTTTGTCCCCGGTCGCCGGGAAGGGGTCGCTACGCCACTGGTGCGAGTTTGATACATTCTGGCCATTACTTCATGTCATAAATGCTGCAGTCAGAGTTATCCACGTATGAACTCCCTCTGTAAAGTGTCAAGGTCTTGAATAAATAAAAAATAAAAAATTTAAAGTTTCCTTTCGAACCTAACGGTCTATGGGCAAGGGAAGTAGAGTTTAACTGTTTCTATTACCTCGGCAAATGAAAAGATAGTATGGTCGACACTATGCCAGCCGCCTTTTCTTTACCCTAACCCTAGAATACATACTCACATACTCGTAAGAAACCCAAGCTATAGGTTTTTTGTTTTTTTTTTAAATTTGGAGCATTGCTTAAAGCTGGATGGTATAAGTAGGACTACATTAAGGTGGCATCCTTCATGTATTTGCTCTATGGTCCGTTTTTCTGAAATAAAACAAAAAAGTATTTTAAAAAATAGAGATTGCAGTTAAAAAAAAATTAAACATTGATATTTTTCTAAAATCTTGTCTAAACCACGGGTCGGCAACCTGCGGCTCGCGAACCGCATGCGTCTCTTTTGGTGTCAAGATGCGGCTCTTCAGCTCCATGCACAAATACTAATAATTATTTTATTTTATTTTTAAAACCAATAAAAGTATTAGTCTGCAACACTCAGTAATGAACGATATAATTATAAATATAAACAATAAACACTCGCTATTCTATTAGAATGTTACTCCCTATTTCAATGTACTTCCTTGTTTTCTAAAGCTGAGTTATTTCCATGTAAATAATGCCTGTTCTTGGATCATATTTATCGGGCACGGGTTTACCTATACTACCGCCCAGCCAGTGGCGGAACTAGAAAAAAAGGGCCACCCCGCAAAAAAATGTCTACCCACCCCTATATGTGTATATATATATATATATATATATATATATATATATATATATATATATATATATATATATATATATATATATATATATATATGTATATGATATATGATATAAACACTGGATAGTCATTTCTGGCCTGATCGGGTTTTGAAAAAAAAAATTCAATTTAAACAAATTACAACATGTCATGTGTGTGAGCACTTTAATCTGTTTTGAATTATTTTTTTTTTTAGATTTAGAACTAGTTTATTCAATATGTTTGCTGTAATACTGCTTACCCTCTAGTATTTAGCCGGTTAAAAGAATATAAAGCGTAAAAGCTTTGTATGTGTAATGGTTTCACGTGTTATGTTTATTTTATGTTTTTTTTTTTATTTGTATTATTTGTTTTAAATATATTTCCTTTTATTCTACGCCAATCTTTAGTATGTATTTTTTTTAAATAATTAAGAGGAGTAATTGCTTTTTAATTTGTTTAGTTCAAATACACTAAAAGAAGCTTATAAGCACCCCTATTTAACCATTTAAAAAGGGAAATATGTCATGGAAGTGTTTTGAACGTTTGCCTATCTTTCACACTACAGCTCAGGCATTTTTATTTTATTCCGCAACAGCTACTGTATAACATCACTCATGTAGTAGATCTGTTTGTTATTTACAAAAGATTTTACCGTCAAGTCAAAAATGCAAGAATATTATTTTTTTTTAACTATAAAAAATTTATTATGGTCGGCTATGGGCCCCTAAATGACGCCCCCCCCCCCGCATTGCGGGGTCTGGCGGCACTGTAGTTCCGCCCCTGCACCCAGCACGCCTTGAGTGTAAGTTAATCACTGACCATAATATCATGGTTAATCACTCACCGCCTAAGTGTCAGGGACGGAAAGTGGCGCTCTTGTGAACCTGATTACAGTACTGCAGGGGCACCGCGTACGGCCCTTAGCTCGGTTTAATCATCGAATGTCGTGTGCCGCATTATCAATATTGTAAGGTGCTCCTTAAAACTAACGTAGGTGCGTAGTGCTCGTGGGATAGCCCAGGGCGCCAAATCGCACCCGACAGAGACGCCAGAGGACGCGCCCGATTCGATTTAATAAGCGACTGTATTGCATCCATAGTCTGTCGCGCTGTTAAAAATGAACGATGGCGTCAATCGTCTCGTTAGTGTATAGCCTTTTTTTTTAAACGAACGTAGGCGCCATAGTGCTCGCTGGTGAGCCCGTGGCGCTTCGGGTCGCGAAATTGCCAAGTGGCCGGCGTTTGCGCCTGTTCCAGTTTTGACGCTTAATAAAGTAATACCCCTATCCCACTATGCAGGACGTCCGATTAAAGGATGCCAAGTGTCAAACGGTGTCAATCCGCAATCGACTTTAATTTTTATATACCTTATATAGGAAGAATCGAATAAAGCCACCCCTGCGAATTTGACATTTTTTTCCGCTGGTACCTCCCCAGGAGTATTTTCAACAACTTTCTAAACTTTCATGGCGAACTTTCAGTTAGCATTACCTTTGTACCATCTTATCTCCGTTCTTTTCAACTGAGTTGGAAGACACATTATTTTTCATTCTTTCGAACATGTGGCATTTTAAAAGGTAATAATTTTTTTAGCCAAAAGTCCGAGGCAGATACTCAACATTTTTCAACCTGAATAATTTGCTTGTCTCTGAAAGCAACATTAAATAAGCACGCAATATTCGTTTTCTAAATGTATCAATAGCATTAATAAAACATTCAAGAACATCTTTCCTTGCTTAAGCATTTAATAATAATTTATATTTGCTTTAATAGATCTTAAATAATATGTGAGCATATTTTTCTTGTTTTTCTTCTTTTTTTAAATTTGGATTTATTTAGTTAGGAATCGGTTTTGTATCCGTGAGTTGTTTCCCACTAATACAGTAGAAAATAAATGGGAAGTAATTGTGATATGCTTGTTTAAAATGCCAATTCAAATTAATATTCATTGACTTAATTTAAGATCACCCAATCTTATAATAACTGTGCATTTCCACTAATAAATAGACCATGGGCTGATTATTTTAAGAGTTTCAAATACAGTTTTGTAACTGAATTCAAGGTAATGTGAGGGTGGAGTAGAAGAATGTTTGATTCTATATATAAATACAATGTTGCGTAATGAATACACGGTGTATATATATATATATATATATATATATATATATATATATATATATATATATATATATATATATATATACACAGGGGCGTAGCGAGGGGGGGGGGCGGGGGTGCGGACAGCACCGGGTGACACCATTTAGGGGGGTGACACCAAGGCAAAAAATAGCAAAATATATAGAGAAAAACTTGAGGGGGGGTGCAAATCGAAAGTTTGATGGGGGGGGGTGCAAATCGAAAACTTGAAAGTTTGTCCCCGGGAAGGGTCGCAACGCCTCTGGGGGGGGGGGGGGGTGACACCATTAAGTGCCGCACCGGGTGACACCCGACCTCGCTACGCCACTGCTTTAGGCTCTTCTGTCTGAAAAGGTTGCCGACCCCTGGTCTTAACTATTACAATTTATTAAAACAGTTATCTAAAACGCGAAATAACGTCTAAAATTCGTTTTCTAACATTGCTTTTTATAATGCAAAAGTGTGACGTCGCAACATCTGAACCCCCCCCCCCTCCCCCTCATCACACATTGTCACAAAATTACGGACCCTCTCCCCCCCCCCCCCTATGAGTGTGACGTCATTTATGGATGACCCCTTAGGGTGCAAAAAATAGCAAAATATATAAAGAAAAATTTGAGGGGAGGGGGGTGCAAATCAAAAGTTTGAGGGGGGGGGGGTGCAAATAGAAAATTTGAAAGTTTGTCCCTGTGAAGTGTCGCTACGACCTCGCTACGCCACTGGGGGGGGGGGGGGGGGGGAAGAGAATAGACTTAGGAAAAACACATTTTGCTATATAGGGTGCCCCACCCTACCTCCTTTCCAGTGGCATCATTTATAGTTGACCTCTATAAATATAAACTTTTTTTTTCTGAATGTTTTAGATCTAAATATTCTGACTGCATTGCTCTTTTACTTAGCGTCAATCCAATTCATCAATTAACACGGACACGGCGAATACCACTTATATTCACTAGTAGGCCAACACGATCGAACACCGAGCGATATGCCGAGGGTGGGAAAAAATCCGGTAATGATTTTAAAGCACGACCAAACCAGTGAAAGAAATTTTTTTTTTTAGAAAAAATCGACCGCGAGAATGCTGTAGACGAGTGCTTAGAACTCACGCTCTCGCGCATGCGCGATGGTTTATTTTAAGCACGGAAGCTGAGTGTGCGACGATAAAACAAACCTTTACTGTCACTCTTACATTTTTGCGTTTTGCGTGTATCATTGCTGTCAGTTTGTGTTATTTTACAGAGTAAGTTCTGCCATATGCTGTGTTTTTCGTGAATTTAAATTGGAAGACAAAGAATTTAGCACGAGTAAATATTAGGTTGCGGGCGACTTAATTCTAAAATTGTTCCTTGTTGGAGGTCGAATGCGTTTGCTCCCAAGGTGGATATTTTTTTCGCTTTATTTAAAAAAAAAATCAGTAAGTTTTGGCTGTCCGTTAGTCCTAGATCGGCTTTTTTTTTTATTTCGTGTGCTTGTTCGCGATTTTTTCCTCTCTCTCTCTCTCTCTCTTTTATATATTTAATCCATGAAACCTTCTATTAACGTAATTCAATTTGAAGGCCCATTCTAGATCTTTTCAAATTTTAGATGTCTAAAATTCAAATGTAAAAGAAAATTTTGTAATTGGTTATAAAAATAGTCTAGACTAGGCTATTTGTCTAAAGAAGAAATTTTATTTCGTTCTGTTTGATTGGTTAATGATCTTACACATGATCTAATATCGTCTGCTTCACCACAACCAAGCTGAAAAAAAAAGATCCAACTTGTATGTCGTCTAGTATTAGTAGTAATAGTAGACTAAATGATCAATAAATTAATCTAAGTCTTTACTCTTTGTAAAAGTTATGTATGAGAGCTTATGTGAATGCTTCCTAGAAAATAATGAAATTATATAAATGAAGACTAATCTCAAAATCTATGAATGTATGTTGTGGTTGTATTTGTAAGTTGTAATTGTAGGCCAAATGTAGAATCTAGATCTAGTGATGGTGAGAGCAAACATAAAATGAATAAATTTCTTTCAATAATTAAAGATAACACTCTAGCACACTCTTGGCTCTAGTAAATATCACATTGATAGTCACAATGTGACAATAGTCTATCCTTAGTAGACTTATCGATCACATAGATTTTACTTACAGTAGATAAATTGTATTTATTAATTCATAATTTATTTTGAATCATAAATCTATCATACATGTATCATAAAATTATGTAATAATTATAATTTAAAAAGTTCAAATTCTAAAATGAGTTAATCACTCATATTTTTAAAAGGGTAAACCATTACACTAGTTCAGTAATCTTTTAAAAAGAACTTTAATTATAATTAGTATTAAGCCTAAATGTTTTTATTTTGTTTTTTATATTTTATTTAAATGTAACAATTATCAATAATTATATGTTATATCTAAATGTTTTTCAGCACTTTTACAAGTTATCCCCCTTTCTAAAATTAAAATAATACTTATATTAATAAATGCTCATTAAGCATTATAATGTATTCAAAGTGGAGTTAGCACCCAGGTGGATGCTGACAACTGGAATTTATTTTTATCTCTTGGGGTTTTGAATTTTATGACCCTGGGTTAAATAAAAGTCATTAGATTTACAAATTCATTATACAATAAATGAACTTTATATATATATATATATATATATATATATATATATATATATATATATATATATATATATATATATATATATATATATATATATATATATATATATATTGCATGATTACATGTACATAGTAAATAGTGTAAATGAATTAATTATATAGTTTTAAAAAATATTAGCCATGCACTTTTTTTAGTTTATCAGCACTGAAACAATACAACTGTTGTGTCTGTAATAATTTTCAACACTTAACAAAAGTGGTTTTTGTAAGTAGGCAACTGTAGCCAGATAATTAAATAGGCGGTTTCCTTGAAACAACAATAAGTAGAGACTATATCTTTATTTTTAGAAGACATCTATTTTGCAAACATTGATGCAAATGTCAAATTACATTGCTAATATCAATACCTGAAATGAGTGGTGTTACTAGGTGAGGTGTCACCGGATGAGATAACTGAGGGTGTCACAGGCGCTGCCCCCCCCCCCCCCCCCCCCCCCCCCTAAGAATTTAACATTTTTGGTTGGTTGTCATTTCTCCACTACTTTATTTTAACTAGAAAGAACATTGTTTTGACAATAAATTTTTAAAATATTTATGAATTGGTATCACTCCCTAAATGGTGTCACTCCCTAAATGGTGTCACTCCCTAAATGGTGTGACTCTGTTCAGACCACCCCTCATCCCTCCTGCCCTGTGTGTGATGCTATGCCCATAATCATAATAAATCATATGCCAATGAAGAAATTCAACCAAACCCAGGATCAACAGAAAGATTAATATGAGTTGTTCAGTGGTTCAAATATGAACTCTCTATTCATCCAATATTAATAATTATCTAATAATTAATATAAACCCAGATCAATAAAAAAATTGCATTGAAAAAAATAAATGTATTTATTTTCATTTTCTTAAATTTAATCAAGCTGGAATCCTTACTTAATTAGTTTTTCACTCATTAATGACAGCATGATGTAATTATTCCAGTACACTGATAAATGTAAATTTTGTATCTTAGCTAATTAATTTTAAAATCCATATTGCTTGTTATAGGTTGCTAAGCAACAAGTGACATTCAAGCCAGGAGTATAAAAGGGCTCTTCAAGGATTGCTGTGTGAGCTAAATTCGTTTTGGCTTCTTTTCAAATATTTTTTTTAAGCTTGGAGTTTATTTTATTTATCAATGTGTAAGTACTTTTTTTAAATTTTTAATTTAAATTAATTAATATATTTAAAAAATATTTTATTTAAAAAAATGAAATAAAAAACGAATTGGAAACCACCTCACATTAAAATGTAGGCAGGTTAATGTTATTTGAAATACATTTAAAAGTATTGGTATGAAATATTACACCAGGCTTTGTAAAAGGTAATATTTGATTAGTGTCTCATTACGTTTTGGAACTCAAGACCAGAATATGTACTTAAGTTGAGGTCGGGTGTCACCCAGTGTCTTAACTGAGGGTGCCACCCAATCCCCCTCCAACAATTATTCATTTTTTGCTTCGGTGTCATCCCCTTCGCTCTACTGTTTTATTATTTTCACTGGATAAAATGCTATTTTTTTTAATCAGTAAATTTCATGATTTTTCTAATTTTTGCTGCCTGGTGCAGATTGCATTCACCTTATGTAGCTTTAATGTGTACCTGGCTCTTGTTAGCATATAACTGCTATGACACTACTGCCTTGAGTCCATGTAGCTTTCATGGGTACCTGTTAGAATAGAGCAGGGGTCTCCAAACTTTTCAGTCCGAGGGCCGCATTACTTATCAATTTTCAGTTCGAGGGCCAGTTTCTTCCAGGCATGTCTTTGAATTTTCTGGGCAAAGTTCCCCAGCTATCACCAACAAACGATTTTTCCTTGGACAAAATGATCTCCACAGGCCGGATGAGAGAACTTCTCTGGCCACATCCGGCCCGCTGGCCGTAGTTTGGAGACCCCTGGTATAGAGCTACACTATCCCACTATAAACTGAGGTCACAATACGACTACCTATATGCCAAGGTCACAAAAACAGGTGTAAATTACTTCATCTTTTCTATTGATCATCTATTTTATAAAGGAAACCTTATCTTTATTTATAGGCCTACACCATGTATTTATTTGAATCATCTAGTTATATATTTTTTTAGAAAGACTAGCAGTCTAAGTTGAAAACAGAAATATAACTTTTGGCTAAAGCCCATGATTAAAATTAGACCTGGGGCACTGTGCTATCATTTTTCTAATCCTTCCTAATTTTTATTGTTGGTGTTATTTTTTGTACAATAATTAAATTTAAAATAAAATAAATTTGGTATTCTCTTAATAGCCAATCCCAATTTTTAGATGTTTATGTTAACATTAAAGTTTATTGCACCAGAGGATGCTTTTTATGTAATTGCACCCAAACTCAAAGACCACAAATCGAATTTAAAATATCTCATATTATCCACCACTATATAAAACAATAAGAAAAGGGATGTAATCAGAATATGTTAGAGAGTAATGCAACTTTTATGTGCAGATAACTGTCCCATCAAGTTAGAAGGTAGATGTCACAACATTGCAATGTCTAATCTAATTATTGTCAGGATATTTTCATTATTTATAAATCATGTCAATTGAAGCAGAAGTGACTTCATTCTCTTAGCCTGTCTAAATTTAAACACAGAGTCATTATTCTGGAAAACAAATTAATTAAGTTTAGAAAAATGTTTCAATACAAGCACTGTAACTAATTAAGGGACGGAGTGGTCTAGCGGTAGAGAGCTGGACTGCTAACCCGTAAGTCTCGAGTTTGAATCCGGGTTCAAGTCAGTAGACCGTCCCTGAGTCCACCCAACTCTGATGGGTACCTAACTCACGTTAGGGAAAGTAAAGGCGGCTGGGCATAGTGCTGACCACACTATCTCTTCATATGCCGAGGTCACAGAAACAAATGAACTCTACTTCACTTGCCCCATAGACCGTCAGGTTTGAAAGGGAAACTTTACTTTACTTACTGTAGCTAATTAATCAACAAAATAGTTTATTTTTCACCACATTACTTTTCTTCTCTTATAAGCTTGTAATTTTCCGATTCCCTAATGGGTTATGCATGAGTTCTTAATTCATTTCAACATTAAAATGTAACATAATTAGAATGCAGTCTGATTAATGGACCCTTAATGTTCTTTAATTCATTACTCATTTTATTATTTGTATTTTCATTTTATAGCTAGATAGTTAGATGGAAGATATTTTGGATTGTATGAGGTTGCAACTGATCCTCTTTTTAAAAACCACTACTTAATTAATAAATGTTGGCTTAATCATATAGCCTACAAATTATATTAGGATTAGGCTTACGAATGGTTATGATAATTATGGTGTAATGGATGTGATTGCCATGAAAATGGCTGCTAAGCCAACATTATCCTGAATTAAAAGTGGGCACAAAAAAATTCACTTGTATGAGCATTCAGCTTTATCCTCTTTTAAACTAATATCACTATAAAACATGTAAGTAATACTTAAACAGGCCAATAGGCTAACATATATGGCTTAAACTGAACAAGAAAATATAATATGGCATTTAAACTTACCAATAGAATTTTTTTTTCAAAAGGATGGTTAAAGTGACCTGTAAGACAATTAACTAATACAACTGAATAAAATTTGACATTTAAACTGACCAAAAAAGTATGATGATTGAGCTGACCAATAGCAAAGGATAAAAAAATCTATCACATTGTGAATGACAAATTGACAATTACACAGTTAGTTAAAATAAACAAAAGACAATCAATTTAAAAAAAAAAATGCAATTGTTATTTTATTTAAAAAAATAATCTAATTAGGAAACACAAGTTCCTAAAAAAATGAACTGACAGAAATGACTAATCAAACATTCCTGCCTTGTTTTTACCATGTTTATGAAACAACATTTATAAGACTTCATTACTCACTGTCTTTTAAACACCTATCAAATCTTCAGGAATTAGACATATACAGCCACATATAAATAGACAAAGCTTAGATCAACACACCTAAAAACTACTGTTATAGAAAGCCTTCAAAAGTAAACATATCATATGCACAGCATGAAAAATGGAATAATGGAAATATGTTTAAAATATTGTGTCACTGACTCTATATTTATAAAAAAAAATGCTTCAATTATTAGAAGAAAAAAAACTATTGATTTTCCCCAAAACAAAAGGTTACAATTTTAGAAAACCATTAAAAGTGTCTATTATAATAAACAAAATTTTTAATGATACAGTTATTGATAGTTATGAAAAGTATCCTCAATAGAAAAACAAAATAATGTTACAGCGACAAAATGCTATGTAAAGTAGGCTATCCTAATAACAAATACAAAATGCTACAATTTGGCCTATAGAAAGTCATTAAAATCATAATTAAGGCAAAAACAAAATTTAATAATTATAGAAAGCTTTAAAAGCATCCTTTTGTCAAAAACAAAACAATTAAAGAAAGCCATTAAAAATATCCTCATTTCAAAAACAAAATACCACAATTAGAGTAATTAAAAGCATCCTTATGGTAAAAACAAAATACCACAATTATAAAAAGTCATTAAAAGAATCCTCTTGTAAAAACAAAATGCCACCATTATAGAAAGCCATTAAAAAGCATCCTCTTGTAAAAACAAAATACCACAATTATAGAAAGCCATTAAAAGCATCCTCTTGTAAAAACAAAATACCACCATTATAGAAAGCCATTAAAAGCATCCTCTTGTAAAAACAAAATACTACCATTATAGAAAGCCATTAAAAGCATCCTCTTGTAAAAACAAAATACCACCATTATAGAAAGCCATTAAAAGTCTCCTCTGCCCTTTTGATACCACCAGCAGTTTCTAAATTATTCACCGAATCGTGTACTTCGCGGAGAAAGGTTGCGATGACGCCAAGAGCCGATTCGGAAATTTCCGATTGAGCACGGTCGGTTAACTTACGAACTCATTCTAATATCTAATTTTAGAACGTTCGGCTTTCTTTTTACTCCTTTTTTTTCCCGTGCCTTGTGTAGTTTTTAATCTGTAACATTCGGAATAAACATTTTGCAGGCTTGTACTTCTTTGTGAATCAAAATAAACTGCATTGAGTAGCCATCGATTAACAATAAATGCGTAGGCTAGTATCTTTGATACTTTATCCCAAAACCCAAGCCCAGCTGGGATATCGAAATTTGATATTATCAATCTTTGAGAATTCGGTAACGCTATTGTGATAACATGGTGATCGATAAAGGACCGATTTACAAAACTGGGATGTCGACCGTCGCTGATTACTTTAATTTTAAAGTCAAAGGTCGCTGACCTTTACTGAAATAGCAGCAACCAGTAATGTATGTGGGAGTTGGCGGAAATCGATGCGCATTACCGGCAAAATGGCTGCCAGGACCGTGTTGTTAAATGAAAGTTCAGGATTTATTATTTTTTTTTTATATATTTTAGCTTGGTTACAAACTGGCAAGTAGTCGTCCGTAAACGGCGTCACTCATCTTTTTTTTTAACTAAAGGAGGGGGGGGGGAGTTCGGAATTTTGAGACGATGTATGATAAGGGGGAAATGTGTGGGGGGGGGGGGGGGTAAATAGAAAATTTGCGTTTTTTGTGGGTTCTTGTTTTATTTACTATGATTTATTACAAGAGACGATATACGGATTTAAAAAACTGAAACCCCCCTCCCCCCACCCCGACACCTCCGAACGAAATAAAAATATACATATACTTTTACCAGTGACAGTCCCCCACCCCGATAATTTTAGTCCCCCCCCCCCCCCCCCCCCCCGAAGAAAAAAGTCTGGAATAAACACTGCTTCACTACCCGGAAACATTCCCAGGAAAAATGTTATAGTCAGAATACATGTTAACCCCAGGCTTAACATAATATAAGGGTGAGTCTAACTTTACTTGGCTGTTTCTGTGGTTTAGTTAACTGTCAAAATCTCATGTGTGGGTTGCGCAATACAGCACTCGTTTATATTTTTAGCACGCGCTCGGATTTCAATAACAAAAATATAACATTTTATAAAGTCTCGGTTTACCAAATCTCGTAGCTGTTGAGTTATTTCGAGTGGTGAAATCTCCAAGAGACGCGGCCATTGAACTTTAGAAGCAGGCTTTACTTTACTGTGTTAGCTTAATACCTCCTGTATGTAAAACCCTTCAAAAACAACTTGATTAAAACG